CACAACACACCCAGTAGTGGTAGCAATGTATTTCCTTATGATTAAAAATTTATATTTTTGACCCCTTTTTTAGGACTGAACATTTCCAGCCTGATCGACTTGAGTTAAATGTGAATGAGTGAAATAGCCCAAAACAACATCTGGATCAGTTCAGTTGCTTAAAGTTTTAAAAAAAAATCATATTTTATTGTGATTAATTAAAAAAAAAACCAACTTGATTTATGTCGGAATTCAATTGTAAAAAGCGTGTCCTTCAAGAGCTACAAATACCTCCCCCTCTTTACACATGCTGTGTTAATCTGTGCACAACTTTTAGGTTAATCAGTATCAAAAGCTCCTATCTTCTCGAGCCCTCTCACACCAGAGCTGCTAAATCAATTATGGGGGCCGACTAATTAAGCCACATGTCAATAACTCATCCCAATTAAGGCACGGCACAAAAATCAAGCATGCAGGGTGTCTAGGCCGCTCTGCTTCTTATCGATCCTGTGGTAATGCCAGGCATTTGTCCAAGGCTGCTGTACTTTCACAGTTTCTGTCAGTCAGTCAACAAGTGCTGTAATCAAGTGTGTAGATAAGGGGAGTAACAAGCCAAAAACCATCAGAATCCATTACTGATGTCTGAGTGTGACATGAAGATTGATCACTGCTGCACAGCTCAAAGATCACTATGACAGAGAGAGGGGGATAATTCTCACCCCATCATTTTACAAATTGTATTTTGCTCGGCTTCTCCTCATTTAACAGCAAGAGATAGAAAACAATACCACGCTCAATTGGTGCGGTCCGCCTTTTTGATACATTTTAGTGTTCTCAGAAGCAAATGAGCAAGAAAATCTGATGGTATTGGTAAATTTCCAACAAAAATTCAAGAACCTCTTGCTTTATTATTCTTTCTTGACTTGGACTGGATAACAGAGGAGTCCACTAGAATCAAACTGAAAAAAAAGGTAAGTGGAAATGCATCCAGGTCAATCAATCAATCTTTACATATAGAGAGCTGATTCACCACAAATGTTTATCTTAAGATGACAAAAAGCTGGTCTGGACCATACTCTATCTACAAAGACCCAGTGCAAAGATGGGATAAGAGTGAGCCTTGTCCTGTAAGATCAGATCCCTTCTAAGCCCATCTTCAGCCTCAGGAGTGTAACACTTTGCAGCATTTAGCAGGTTCAGAAAAATGAACTGTAACAGGTAGAAACCTTAAGCAGAGCCAGACTCACGTTAGACAGTCATCTACCACTACTGCATTGAGTTTATTCCACCCTCCTGTGATAATGAGCTAATTTCATTGATTCTCTTGAGATCTTGACTTTTTGTATCTCATTATCTCCAAATAACAACTCTGGATTTCTTGTGATAAGGAGACAGTTGGAATTTTAAGATACTGACTAATCTTGAGACATCATTAATTGACAAAGGATTATGTTGAATCATGGCCAGACTGCCATGCTGCGACTGTTCACACCCTTTTGTTGGTGCTTGTGTAATTTTGGTAATACAATCATCCAATGTCCAAGAACGAAAAATGTTATCATGTGTCATGCTACATATTAGGTTTAATTAAAGGCTTCTTCACTTTGTTACTTTTTTAAAACATTAAACTAACCTAAATTCAGTTCATCAAGTTAACAATTTCTCTAGCATAGTGGATCCAAAATTAGCTTAGCTTAGGAAGTCGTTGATAACAAAAGAACAGGCTAACTTGTTAGCATCACAGCTGCCTTATTTCTCATCCAGCTGACACAAATATTACCTTTATCATTCATTTTAAATTCTGTGTGTAGGTATTTGTCAACTGACCTGTTACTTTTGGTTTCCTAACGCTTAAAAATATATATCTTCCTTTCTGCTAAGTAGCTGAATTTGTTTTTGAGCTAACATAGTCTTTATACTTGAGCAACTATGTTTGTTTGTCATAATAAGCAACCTTTTGCTTTGTTCGCTTTGTTTTGTTTCAGATGTGACTAAATGGGTTGCATCATCTAACGACACCATCCATATTAGTATTCTTGTTTATACTCTCACTAGTTGCAGTGGGCCCTTGAGGAGCTTTCTATGACAGGTTGACATCATTTCGCTCTTCGGCGTCGGCTCCTCAGCCTCTTTGACACATTTTGTTCTTCTGTCACCTCTGCAGCAACATACTTTTTTTTGTAGTTTTGCCTCCAGCAGTGTGACGTATACAAGTACTTGACAACACAAGTGCAGTGGTTCAATTATAGGAAAAACATGCTGAGGAGTTTTTTGTTTTTTTTTCTCTTTGCACAGTGGAAGCAGCAGATTTTGACGGATTAGCCTCATTATACTCTTCATGCTGACTTCTATTAAAAACCCCTAGACAGACAGTCACATTATGTGATCTACGATGAAGACCTCTTTAGCAGCATGTGTATTTCCCTCTTACATTGTGTGTGTGTGTGTGTGTGTGTGTGTGTGTGTGTGTGTGTGTGTGTGTGTGTGTGTGTGTGTGATGATATTTTTAACCTATAACAAGCTCTGATTGTTATTCTTCTGCTTAGCACCATAGAATAGTTGGAGATTGTTACCAGTCCTATTCTTAGATCGACTGCATCAATCATTGTGAGAGAGATTGCACGGCACTCATTACACAGGAGGCATAACCAGCGAACACACACAACACACACATACAAATAAATATCATGAAACTGTCTGTAAAAAATATGCAGCAAGGAAAACTGCTCTTGCACACAGAGAGGAAAATGCCCAAAGATATGAGAAAAACTGAAGTATGTAATGAAAGTCAGTCCATCTATTCATGTTTGAGCTGAACCCTCATCACTTCGAACAAAGGCCAGGAAAATTGACCATTCTGCGTGCATTTATTTGACATCCATCATTCATAAATTAGATAACCTTTTTCTTCATGCATTACTATCACTCAAATGTGTAAAGTGCTGCATCAAGAGTCATAGTTTCTATAAGAAACATTTCAGCTTAATTGGAAACACTGGAAATCTAATTCAGCATACGCTACTAATCTTCTAAATTTCATTTTCTGGCTGAAATTGGTTAACGCCCGCCTTCATGTTGCAGAAACAATAAGAAGCGAAAGTGATTTTAACAAAAAAAGAAAAGGACCCTGCCGTGGTCCGATAAGTGAGCTCATCGCTAATCCTAATTGTGTCAAAGGCAGGATTTGCCACTTCATTTTCTAAACAAGCACCGGGGCATCCCACCATAGTGAGGTTTGCAATCAATCTCATGTGAATATCGCCAGTGCCGGTTAATTTAGCAGTGTGTACAAAAGCACCGGGCATGTACCTTTTCTACAGAAAATAATTGGCTGTAGCTGTCTGTAAATACACGGTTTAAATCATAGCCATCCTTATCAGCTGCTCGCCAGTGCTGCTCTGTGAGAGGGAGGGGGAGCACGCCAAACGAAAGCCCGCTTTCACACTCAGAATTACACAATTTGTATAAAACCAAGAAAGTTAAAAGGGTAAATCCTGGTATTATTAAGAACATTTTATGGAGTGTGCTCCCCCACTGTTAAACTTTTGAAACTCTGTAAAGTATTTTCCAGTTTTAAATCTAAGCCTGTTTGGGAGCTGGCAAACAAAGCAGTGCCCCATCATTTTACTACTTTTTAATAGCTTATGCTGTTACCAAGCAAAGCCACTCATTTAGCCTTCAGACCTGTGATCTACCTCTTCAGAATAAGCAACCAATACAAGACATACAAAGACACTCACTCCTTGTATAATCATCCGTAAGAACTGCCCTGTCAGTTTATCTTTACTCAAGGACAATGGACTGATCTTACTAGCAACCTCAGCTGTCAATCAATGACAAGCACACTGAGAAAGGTTCAAATGTTCTTAATTGCCTTCAAATGTGAGGGTACTGCATTGTTTCAGTGCTGTCAAAACATGAAGACTTCACCAAATCATTAGTGTGGTTGTTAGTACATTTGGAGGTCTTCCTCGTTGCTGTAAAATCCCAATTAAAACCTGACTTCTATAAATGAAGCACTGAACAATGGTGTGGAGTCTTTCTGCTTTTACTAACAGTGAGTCATGCTGAACCCATTTCCAAAAAAAAAAAAAAAAGGTTTTAATTCAGTTTCACAATCACAATTACTTCAGAAATGACACTCAGTTTGTCCTCTAAGTAAAAAATGAAACAGAGGTGTACAGTTTGCTTTATTTTTGTACCAGATGCAATAAATAAAAAAGCCTCAGAGGATCCATTTATTTGATGTTATTAAGTTTGGGTTCAGATTATGAAATTGCAGAAGGGTCACTTTGATTCTCCTCGTGTAAAATTTGAGATTTAGTCTCTGTGTATAAAAACATGGATTATGTGGTAATATCTCCGGATTGGTTTTGGGGGGTTTACACCACTGCTGGTTGGTTGTGCAATGGATGGTGCATGCTGAAAAGTGAACACCCTCTTTTAACTGGACTGTAAACAATAAAAACGTTGGTCTACTTGTTAAGTTTTCAGACAGTGAATTAAGGATAGGCTTTTTGTAGTGTAGGCCAGTGAATGGACAAGAAATCCGGTGCGTCTCCAGAGGGACCTGTGGGTGCGCTATAAAGGTGTACACTGCAAAAAATGTTCACCCTGCGAGGGTTTTGCGGGAGACTGACGCGTGAAAGTGCTTTGCCTTCTTTCACTGAGACAAAATCATCCTTTTTTTGTGAGGTTATTTAATAATTTTCTCCGCAAATCAGCTTTTTCTCGGATCGTTTGACAAAGATTGGTTGATTATCTCCTGTTTTTGTGGTAGATCTGCTCCAATCTATCTTGTTGCTGAGTTATTTTCAAGCATTTATTGAAATAACCGAAATTTCCCCTCAAGGAAGAGAAATCATCACTCCGAATTGCGGAAAAGGGAAAAGAGAGAGAAAAAAAACCAAATTGAAATTGAGAATCAACAGCTTTCCAAGACTGGCATATTTTTTGCAGTGCGGCTAATGCTGAAGTCATTCTCCGTCTCATACAACAGCAGCCAAGGACATACGAGCATCAGCAGAGAGAGGAGGAAGAGGAGAGAGAAAGGTGCCTCCTCTCGCCATCGCGATCACTGTCTCGCTGCTGTACCGATGCTTGTGTAAAAGCTGCTCCAACAGGAGGCGAAAGGAGCGGCGTGGAGCGGGGGATCTAACTTCACACACGGACAAACCTATGCTTGGATTTCGGCTCTTTTTCCCTTCGCCAATGCAAAAGGAAATATGCAGCGAAGCTTCACCATCCTCTACACCAGTTTACTGGGGATATGCTTGGGTTCAAGCTCAAGTTTTCCAAGTAACATCAACATAGGTGAGAATTGCGCACACGCAGCAGACCTTTTGTCTCCTTTTTTTAAGTTTAGCTCATGCATCTTTGTGTGTTTCTCCTGATTTTCCCGTGGGTCTGGTGAGTCCATCATTAACTCCTGCTTCTTAACTGCTCAACAGGAGGATTGTTCCCAACAGAATCGCACGAATATGAGGTTTTTCGTTTCGCCCTCTCGCACCACCAGGACATCCCCAAACTGGTGCCGCAGGTGGATATGGTCAAAATGGGGAATAGCTTCTCCATGACATATGCCTGTAAGTAGAATCTGATTGAAGGCAGATTATAATCGCACATTGTGTCTGTTCTGCGTGTCTTCACTCCCCCTCAATCTGTCCATCTACTTCGAAAACAAAGAAGAACTCCATGCATACATCGGTAAAACCTGAGCAGGCTGTAGTCACATACATGATAGGCCTACTGAAAAGATTCACGAGTGTTGGTAGGTTTATTGTACTGTTGCGTGGGACTAAGGAATACTTATTTTATTCGCTTTTCTCTGCATGATTGGAGCGTGATTGTGCGCTCCAGGGAAACCACGGGGGCTTTTCAAATCAACCTCTGCTACAGCAGCTGTGGTGATCCCACAACCCTATACCATCAGGTTTTGGAGATATGTGGATTTTTTACAGGAATGCCACAGATTGTTCTAGTTCAAATTGAGGGGGAAACAAAGAGCCAAATCGCAGATCAGGACTCCATCCAAACTGAGGAAGGGAAAATGACTCCAAATGCATCTCAAATGAGGCACTGATCACAATATGCGTGCCATTTTTTGGGAAGTCGCAGCTGCATGTCCTATTTAACCCTTCCTATTAAGAACATTTGTAGCTAAAAGGACATTATAATTTCATACCTGCATGTGTCTGATCTGATCATGAAGCCTTTTATTGGTTTAAAGAAAGGCAATGCTGGGAGTGTCTTTAATTAATCTGTGTGAGAACATTATCCGCAGCATTTATGGTCAACAAGTGTGTTTTAAAACCATTAGTTTGTGTCCTTGCTCAGAGAAATGGGGATGCCATTCTCCTGTGGGGGATAATGCGTGCCATTATGCCAGCCAAACAATTACTACGTGCCAGCTACCCAAAAGAAACGCCGGTCTAAATTGTTTCTTCTTTGTTAACCATGCACTTATCCCTCCTTTGTATTCTGACAAGATTTTGTCACCACTGAGACTTTTACAGCTGAGTTTTTTTTTTTCTTCTCTCATACCATCCTCTTCTCCGAAGAAATAGGCTGCAGTTCACTCACATTTGCTCTGTAGTGAAGTCAAACACTTTCAGGATAGCCTTTGAAAGCTGTGCCTTCCTGTTTCTGCGCCTGGTTTTTGAAGCATTGGCTCAGTGGCAGATTTGATTATTCCTCTCAGACATCACTTGTTGTATGCTCAATGTGAAACCTGTCTGGAATTCAAAGGATATCAGTCATAGCCCACTGAATGTTTGAAAAATATATTCATTTTGTAAAAGACATGAACTACAAGTATAATGACCGTCTGACTCAGAGTGAAAGAAACTTTGATGAACTGTCCCTCCATAACCTTCAACTACTGCCTTCGCCGTTAACACCCACTTGGTGATTAGTTCATGGTTCTACACAAAAGAATAGATGTTAAGTTATAAATGGCATATTGAGCCTGAAGTATTTAAATATAAATAATATGCAAATGTCTGCACTGTGGCTGGGTTAACATTATGCATTGCTAATAAGCGGCCAACTTAGCCTTTTAGCTTCATAATACTTCACAGTTACTCACTACTGCAAAAATTGCACCAACTGGACAAATGAAATATCTGTCGAAATCTAGAATTTCTGTGTAGATGCTGTTTTATATAAATCAAGAAGATTTTTAATTTATTATTGTGACTTTACTATCATATAAATCAATCAATCCATCAGGAACTGCATTGTTAGTAGTGATGTCATATATCTCACAGAGTTGCTCTGTCTGTCCACTCAAAGAATTGGGACTTCATAAAAGACTTACTGCTGGCATATCTCTTACCAAAGATATACACAGTGGAGTCAGACCGGAGCTTATCCTGTCACATGGGAGACTAAGCTCAGTCTTCAGAACTGGATTTATTTGGAAGCACATGAAATGACACAAGGTTTCTACCTGTGGAAGTGGTGCAATATTTGATCTTGCAGCTAGTGCCGGGACTTTGAAATGTCCTTCGGGGCTTTCTTTGACAAGGTGAATTACTAAGAAGCCTCTGGTGTGTTGCATAAGACACATCTTTTTTGGTTGTGGTTGTAAGCATCCAGAAAGAAATATGTTCCGGGGCTGAGGGAACTCTGCCTCCAAAGTGTGCCGTATACGCATACAGGGTGTGTTGAATTCACACCAAAACACCTACTGCAGACGGGTTAAGCATACAGTCTAAGGTATTGGACATCACTTCTCAACTAAATCCCAGGAGCTAGAGGTTCACATGACAAAACTTTTGCACTGACTTGCCCACATGCTTCCTGCATGTATTACACAACAAAGGGACTGCTAGAAGTCCCAATGGGAGTACCTGCCCGCCATACACACCAGACTGAGTTTTCCTTCTGGAGACAAGCTTGAAGAGAAAAGATGATCCTCTGGGAGAAGTCTCCCACCTACATGTTCTGTTGATGGAGGTGGCCACCATATGTTTAGAAGCATTGGAAGAAAAGGTGTGCCAAGAGAGGATCCCAGTTGGATGGATGTTCAAGTTCTTTCTACAATGCCAGCATTGAGGGTTCAATTCTACATTTTTCTTGCCAGACTGCTGTTGCACAGTACCATTCACCCAAAGATTGCTCAATTTTTTGGGGGTTGCAGCTTGACGCTGTAACAAGAGTATATCTTCTGAATATGCAAAATAGGAATTTCTGAATGTCTTCCTTCATTTACCCTTGAGAATAGATTTTCAGAAAATCAGAAGCTCAAGCTCATCCTGTTGCTTTTACAGTACCTGGTTCCACTATTGATATGAATGTAAATAACAATCAGATAGGTCGCAGAGATACAGAGCTGTATTTTGGTAGAGATGCACCTTGCTCCATGAACATATACGTCATTTATCTCAGTTGAAAGGGTCACGGCAGGCTCATTGTCATGTCAGGACCTTGTGCTAACCATGGAGCATTCATTTAGAGGTATGCCACAGAAATTTCATAAGCAGTTCACTGATCTCTGTTGTTTATGTAAAGTCTAGAACTAAGCTAGCCAGACTTCGAGACTTGATTGTCACAAATAATTTTGTCAGGTTTTTTTCCTGCTTTACAAGAGACTGTCCCTCTGTAGTTCACCTCTGCTTGCTTGAGCAAACCAACCATTGACCGATATCTGTAAGGCGTCAACATGGCCACTGCAAATATTTGGTCCATCACTGCTCGGTTTGATGGTTAAAACTGTTGGTCCAAAGTCTCTGTGTAGAATTGCAAGATATAAATGCTATTCTGGGAGACGAAAACTACCTGGTTTCTAGATCATATATGACCCCATGAACCCTTAACTACAGTGGAGAGTAATGGGACTGAAGCTGGTTTCAGTGATATGTCTACATTGGTCAGTGAAGACCATCTCTCAAATTTAATGGTCAAGAAATTGACCAGTTACTCTCTTGGGCCTCCAAGTCATGCCTGTCCTAACCCCATAATGTCACTGAATGTATCTACATGCGTTTTCTAATGATCATCTGGATGACACAAGAAGCGATAAGATGTGACCAGATAGCCCTTCATTAGGTTCTACGTGGTTTGTCACAGCTGGCTGCTGGACATACTGCTTAATAATGAGGGCTGATGGCTCACCTTGATCTTAAATATCAGTTTACTTTCCCCCCATCTTTGCTTGCAGTATAGTTGAAGTCGGTCTGTTAGGAGACAAACCTTTGTTGGCTTCAGCTGTTATTGGTGAACTTTTAATCACTCACCAGCCTATTAGTCTATAATTGCCTGAAGGCCTGTAGGTAACTTATCTGCTCTGGAAAGTGATTTATGTAACATTTCTTGCCACAAACCAGCTGTTGCCGTACATAGATTGCACTTATATACCACTCGGTTTGTCCTCTAATTACTTAAATCTATTTTACACTGTTATCTTGCCCTCACTGGTGGCAGATGCAAATGAGCAAAGTGCCAGGCTGACCACTGTGTCTGATTCAGAATTCACATACATTCATCCTCTGAAGGCCATCCCTTCAAAAGCAATTTTTGTGCAATAACTTCCACATGGGCACTTCGACATGTGGGCCTCAGGGGTGGTTGAATCACCAATCAACTGGTTAAGAGACAATCTGCTGCACTTCAGGGGGCCAAGGTTGCCCCAGGAAGACTCTTCTTACGGCATAGTGACTGATTTTGTCTTTGAACCACTTCAGTTAAATTGTACAGATCCCACAGAAGAAGGCTTCTTGAATGCTGGCTTACAGCAGCACCAGAAATTCAAAAGTCCTCATTATGGGATTTGCTAGCTTTATAATTGGTGGTATATGATCCGCACAGTGATAAACATTTGCTTCCTTACCCCCCCGGCTTGGAAAAACCAGTTGAAAGAAAATCTTTGGAGCTGGTTCTTTACAACTTGAACATGTGTAATTTAATGTGCTGCATACCCTCTCAGGTCTAATCAGAAGACTTGAATTACATTCACTTGTTTACTGACCACGCAAGTCTATATGAACCTGCCTGTATGTTTATTGGCATGTGCAATAAAACAGACAGGAGTAGCTGTTTGTCAAGCATATACATCTTGATGTAAATAAACAAATAACAAGATTTGCTTGTTTGTTCGTACCCGCCACCAGGGTTTCACGTAATGTGGTTGTAGCAGTTCTTATGAGATTCTGTTATGAGTTTAAGATTGGATTTGAAGTAAAGCATTATGTGCAACAGCACTCATGCAGATTTATAGACGCTCCGTGCTGGCTGCTGCCTCATGTTGAACACTCTCTCTAAAAGGAAATTTACTGTTGTTTGTCACAGTACGCTCCAATATCCCTTTGATATTACTTTGTGTAGTTCTCTAACTCCTGTACATAAAAACACAGACTTTATGAAGTCATCCTGTCTAGATGCAGGTCCATGTGATGCATTATTTTGCAGAGATATCTTTAAAAAATAGACCTGTGTAAACTATTGAAAACCTGGACGGAGCCCAGACAATACTAACATCCTCCCTCCCCCTTACTCTCCCAGCAATTTGAGCCTGTCAGGGCTGTGTAATGAAATGTAAACACACCCAGTATGCCCTCATTATTGAGATGGTCTTACGCTCAGAAGGGAATTTGATGTGAGTATAAGGGTCAGGCAGCCGCTGGACTTTTCTAGGAGAGTTGCTGGTGAATCAAACATAGCACTTATATTATAGATGGAAAGGGAGGGATATGCTCAATAAAGTCACAGCTTAAGCCAAATGGAGAGAAACTGTTACATACAGTCGACTTTCAAAGAACATTTTGACTAAGTGGTCTCACATGGTTAATCAGGTGTAAACGATTTCCCCCCGTCTTTTATTCATATCAATTACTTTTGGAACATTTAACCAAATGTGGTTGGAGTCTAAAAGAAGATCCTTTGTAATTTCTTATGTAAGGTTTCAGGGACTTGCCTGGGATCGTTGATTTGATCGAGGCTCATTGCCAACATTCAGAGCTTCAATAGATCCGTTTAACATTGGCACTGCTAGATATCTAGATTTTCCGTCCTGTCACCAACCCCTCCCTTTCAGCCTTCTGCACAAAGCCTTCAGATGTGACATCTTATCTTCATAGTCATGCCTATCACTGCAGTTCATGGCTATGATGGTGGGCTGTGGTACAAGCATGTCAAAAAGATTCAAAGCTGCGGGAGGTGGCAAAAATGAAAGTGACACCTTTTCCTGCTGTGTATCTCTCGTTCCAAAAGAATAATTAGATGTGGAGGCTTTAGAGATGTGCTCGCAAGGAAAAAAGAAGGGCTCGGGGGCCTGTTTATAATGACTCAGATGAGAAAAGCAGCCTATTCCTGGCTTTGTGTGTGGGAGTGGGATCGTGTGTACATCTGGGTGCCATTTTGGCATCTGTGTAGGATGTCATGAGTGAGATTAGTGAGTGACGGTTCACCCCTGTAAGCGCGTGTGAGTGTTGGAGCGTGCCCGGGGACATTGGGGTCCACAAGTGTGAGAAGCAGCGTGTGAATGGACCCTTGTGCACAGGGATGAATGGAGCTCCGGATGAGGGTGATACTCATCAGCTGGCTCCTATGACTTGCTACTTCCTTCAGCAGCAAGACCTCCCACCACAAACACATGCAACCCCTCACATGCACAAACACAAAAAACCCACACATGTACGTATGCTCATGGCAACTCACTGACACCTGCCTCAAAGCTAAGGTTCTGTAAGTTTGGGGAGTGAAAAAGACCAAACAAAGAGAGAAAAGGGATAAAAAACAACCCAAAGAAACAATGACTTTCAATGGAAGATGGATTCATTCATTTTTTCTGATGTTGGAGTCATTAGGGTGGAAATTGGGGGAATAATTCAGCTTACTTTCATTTTGATGTCTTCTCACATACACAAACAAAACCACAAATAGGTAGAATATTTGCTTGACTGCATTTTTTTTCTCGCATCCTTGTCTTTTTCTACATGTGTGCCTTTCAGTGAAAGCCTCATTTTACATGTTTCCAGTAGTTAAAAATAACTGCCAGGGATGTGGTGTGCACATGGAGAATATTAGTCACCGTTCCCTCAGTTAGATATCACATTACCATAATCTGCTATTGACTTGGTTTATAATAAGGACGTCACTGAATCGCTAGCTTCATGTCAAATCCCCTGGGAGCTCCTGCCTATATTATCTTCTTTTCCCTTTGATATCCTGCATGTGTGTGGTGAGATTTAGGCTAAGCTATGGCTATTTTTGGTTGAAAACCTGTCTGCAGAGTATTGCACCAAGCAGCAGAGGCTTGTCCAGGAGGGGGGCCAGGGGTGCGAGAGCCTTAATTGTTAGAGAGGTAAAAAAAGAAACTGTCCTCTGTGTGAACAAATCAAAATTGGCTTTGAAAACCATGGATGCTGCATCCCCATTCTAAAGAGGAGAGGGACCACATGGCTTGTTATCTTTGCAGGGTTCAAAAGCCAGTATCTGTGGTGTTATGGGTATCTGTCGGTTGCAAAAGTAAGGTACACATTTGGAAGGTGCCGTGCATGCTAAAAAACCTGTATAGGTTTAGAGCAACATAAACTGCCATCCAGAAAATACATTTTCAAGGATGAGCTTGCATGTTGTATATCGTAGTACATCCTGCATGTATTACAATATATTGTCAGCAGTAGAAGAGCCTTGGTGCCTGCAGTACTGACTTGGCACCCATTGGAAACATTTTGCATATCAGGAAACAAAAAATGGGGGAAAAGGACCCCAAAGGTCAACGCAGATGATCCCAGGCTAGAATGGGACATTTTCTATTCAAATCACCAGAAACTTGTCTTCTGGATTCCTCGGTATTTAATCAGTTTTAAATGTGTTGCTGGTATCCAATTTCAAACGAGCATATATTTTTCATAACACAATAACATTATCCAATTTAATTACAATATTTTGGTTATGCCTTGTTTTTCAAATTGATATAGGTTCCATTGATTTGCAAACCAATGAAATTCTGATTAATTATAATTTTATTCAGCATTTCCAATACTATGGAATTGACATTATAAGTAGTTAAAGTACATATGATTAGTGGAGATTAAAAAAAAAAAGGTACATAATATGATGCTTTATATTGTTAATGTTAGCATTGCAGCCTACTTCAAATTGGTGCCATAACTGGGCCACCTCAGTCTAGACACGCCCCTGCCAAGCAACAAATGTGATATCTCAAACAGTTTTTAAATTCATGTCACTGACTTACTCTTGATTTTGTGTCCACTTAGTTCTGATAATAAACCTTTCATTAAGACTGATTAGTATTCATGGGAAAGACGATGTGTTGTCACTGCCATCTTGGCGGCAGTATTTCTGCGGGTCTCTGAAGGGCAGTTAAGGAGAACTGGAAGAGGATCCATGAGGCAGTCATGATCAATGAACTGAGTGCTGCGCAGAGACCTTCTCAGCCGATCAATACACTACAGATGATAGGAGAGAGGGCTGCTGCCATCCAGGCAGGTCTACAGGACTGATGCAAATACGTATTACAGGTAGAGGTCAATTCTAGTGGTGGTCAAATGTTCAAGTAAAATTGAGATTCCTCATTGTAGCCTATAAATTTAATCATATTTACACTTAGTAGTGATGTAAAAAGTAATTTTGACAATATTTTGATTGTTTGGTTCACATTTAATAAACAAGGACTTATATTTTATCCTTCGTAAGACACTGGTAGGTTTATTCAATCTTCAGACAGGATCACCTTCAAACAAGGTTTTTGCCTGCCATAAAAATCCAATGATGTTTTAATTTGCATGATGTTTTAATTTGCATGTCATATAAATGAGTTTCTGTCAGTGCAGGTGACTGGAAGATGAACATTTGTATAAATCATCTTTTTAGTGGCCTGATAACCTCTCTGTGAAAGTCATCTTCATGGAAAGTTCAAATACCTGGTTGGGGACAGTTGTTTTGGAAAACTTAACATCGGAATCAGTCCACTATTGTCAGATGGGGATAGAGCTGCTGGGAACAATGACTTACTTTTCAGGGCTTCTTCTGTTGCCAGAAATTAGCGATAAATTGACGTCAGCCGGCTTTTTCTTCTCCATAAATTTCGTGGTGTTCACAGTCTGACTCACAAGATTGTTAAATAAAGACTGGAAAAATGTCTGGCCTACTTTTACTGTTTACAACTTCAAATGTCAATCACAGCAGTGTATAATTGATTAGTTCATCAGCATATGTTTGATTCTGTAGGATGAATAATCAACATCAACCATCTTCCTCTCTAATATAGATATAAGTGAAATATACAAATAATGGTCTTTTGTGGGACAGCGTTGCAGCATATTGAATTAGTAATTAATATGTGTTACCTGTTTAGCCCTGAAAACAGTTTAAAATTGAGGTGTGACTTCACTGCTTAACAACCAGAAACCTCAGAGTTACGGACAATATTATCAAAACCCAAATGAGGCTTACAGGACTATAAAAATTGGTGTTACTGAATTAAAACCTCAGGTGTCTTTAAAACAGTTTCTATCCCTCCTGTTTAGTTTTTAATGTTTCTGTCTACTGCAAAATTCACCTGTTTGAGGTTTTCCTCACCAGGGTAGGTTCTCGGTCTGGCTGCTAAACTGAAATCTGTGGGAGCATGTGAGGCAGTTTGTGAAGTTCTCTGGTCACACACATACACACCACTCAGCACACAATAGCTACAAGAGACAGAGCTCGAGCAGATGCATTTTATGTATTATTCAGTGCAACACATCCAAAGCTATCACTCCATGGAGTTACAGGCATAAATATGTAATAATAACCCTGCAGAAAAAAAAGACAATTGAACTGATTCAACTACAACTGCAACAATACTTAAAACAGAAATACTCAGCTCTCTATAGGATCTGCCTGAAGAACAGAGAAACAGAAATGTTTGCCTCCTAGGAGACCCTTATTTCTGTCTTTGTTATACCCCCATTTTGCTCTACTCCTCCCCCCTTCAGAGGCAAAAATCACCCCGAAAGAGCGAGTCTCAGCTGGGCTGTAAATTGCTAAGAGGAAGGAGTTTGGGTTGGAGGTTGAGCTGCATTTTCAGACCCAGTGGCTGGTGTCATTGAGGCTCTGGGGTGTTGTTTTTGTGTAGCCGCTGTGTCAGTCACTGAGCTACAACTGCGGTGACTGACTTCTACAGTTCATGCGTGTTCAGAGGGATTAACGCTTGTTGTTGAGAAAGGCAGATCACCGCTCCCTCCTGACTGTTCAGGACATGACAGTTATTTGCGGAGGAGAAACAAAGAGAGCGGGAGAGTCAGAGTGAAAGAAAAGAAACTGACGGTCGTTCTCTCGGGCAGGAGTCTGGCAGGTGCCGGTTTGATGAATGAGAGGGCTTGGATTTTCTTGCTCTGGAGCGCTAGGGATGGAGCATGGCCCATAGCAATCAATGTAGATCAGCCGAAACTGCTCCCCAAGCAGCAGAGTGATAGAGTGTGGAGAAGAAGAAGGGGGGTGGAGACTGTGTGAGGTGTGCGAAGAAGAGGAGAGGGGATACATAGACGGGGCAGGGGTGAAAAGAAGAGAGAATTGTTTAGGAAGGAGGAAATCGGCACGCTGTTATTTAATCTCCTCTTTCTCTCCATGACAATTTTCAAGGAAACGCTCACTTGAGGTTGAAGGTTCTTAACCACTGCCTTGAGGTTTCTGTTAACAAAAAAATTCCCTTCTTTACGCACACTTTTCTCACACTGTGTCCGCTCTGTTTCTATTTGCTCTCCTCATTGTCTTTCTGTGTCGCTTCGAGTGCTCTTCTGTATTCATACAAGCTCCTCAACTATTTAAAACAAATCTGCTGTCCCTAGAGGTAATGACAGCTGGGACGCAGAGGTCTGAGCTGAGGCGTGTGGGGCTGGCAATTAGAAAACAATGTGTTCGAGGGATGAGGACCAGGATTTGAGCTGCAGGGTGGAGGGACGAGCGCCGGATGATGGCAGCTGTCATGGTTTCTCTACAAAGACAGCAGCGGAGGACCCTCTTTTGTCGTACAGCACATCTCAGGAGCTTGTGTGTACTTTAATGAGCAACAAAGCCTACAAGCAAATTAAACAGTTTGACACAGTGTAACTGCTCCTGTAGTGACAGCTCAAGACTGCTCTTGTCATCCACACAGCAGCACAGATGCTCCCAGTGCTAAATTACTGCCCTGCAACAGTTATGAAGGGTTGAAAGAGAAAAGAAAAATGACAGTAAACAAACACACTTAAAACAAGATTTAGTATTCCAGCTGGATTCAGTTTAGATCTGTATTGAAACAGTTTTAGATTTTTCACCGTACAGTTTTGACTATCCAATTATATCTGTGAGTATATGATACTCTTGTGACTAATGTTTTAAATCAGTAAGCATGACCAGCATCAGATAACACTGATTTTATGGCCTATGTAATTGAGTCTTTGCTTTGCACCGCCCTCTTATTTTCTGCTGCTTTGCCTCGTTGTTTGATGGCTAATATGCTGTTTTCAGTGCAGCAGGAGAACATCATGATAGTCTGAGTCTGTGAGTGGTGACATGTTTACTCAAGACGACAGCAGACAAAAGCCGACTCCTTGATTCATATGGTCAACATCGTCGGCTAAAATTGCACTTTTGAAACAGTTAGCTGTGAAGGGTTAAATATTAATTGTTTACCACACGAGAGTTAGCTGGAAGCTCTGCTCTCTTTCCTGCATGACTTAATCAGAAATGAAGAAATGTATCAGAAAAATCCTCAAGGAGGCGTTTTTTTTTTTTTAATCTGGCAAATGGATGGAAGTCTATTTACATAATAGGCTTTGGAAAGCCTTTATAGCATTGTTCTCTCAGAAGTGGCTGAATGCTAATGTTAGCCAACAGGCGGTCCAATCTCTCTCCTGATTTTTGTCATTTATGGTCTTTGTGGCAGCTTTATCAATCAGGGAGCTGTGAAATGTCCACAATTTAAGAGATTATTGAGGTTTACACAACATACAACTAGGAACACCCTAATAATACATGACAACAATCAGTATGTTTACATGTACAGTTAAATCGATCTACAGTTATAACTTGATTAAACTGGACTGTTGTCCTTGTCTCAGTTACATGCACCAGGCAAGAATTGAATTATTGACAGAAGCAGGTCTGTCTGTGCCACGTTAGGTGGTGACACGCCCCCTTTCAACTCGTTAATACTGGGTCACCTCCCAGCTGACCCGTTACATACCCAAACAAACCCCTTTATCAACAGCAACACTTGTACAGCTCTGTACCTTCTGAACCTGTAATTCAGTTTGATCAATTTTTATTCTACTTCTGTCGAGGTTTTGTTTACCCCTCGGCTTTCTAACCTTTCAACCTCCAGATTAAACCCCTGTGTGTGAATTCTGGAGTGGAGCACTGAGGTCAGTTTCAGTCTGATCGAACCGTGCACAAGAATGTGAAATCAATCCTCAAACACATTATCCAGGTGTGTTAGTCCGAATATGAGAAGTTTGACTTAGTGTTAATTCAGTCAGGATGTTTTTAAAAGTCCAGTTTTGGTCAGACTAATGCAAGACATTGATTTTTTGAACAGTTTATAAACGTAATGTATGTAAAAGTCACAAGAAGATGGTTGCTATGAGAATATGGTCTATTAGAATGGCTACTATTTTCAGCTTATATCTTTGCAAGCTGATGAATTTAAACTTCTCACTTATGACAGTGTGTTTTTGGTACCCTTTTTAAATGAGACATACAGTAATTCCACTGTTTGATCTATGGCAATTCTTGTCAGACCTTAAGAAATATCTCAAGAGCACCTTACCTATTTAGGATATTATCAATTTTCTGCAACACTTCCAGAAGCATTGAGCTGTGCTGCGACAGGTTAGTTTTAGTGCTGCATTTTTAAAGGCCACACTCGGAAAAGTAGAGAGGATGATCGCAGAACAAGCGTGTGCATTAGCGGATTGCAATGCTCGTAAGAAAGCTAATAATGATATTAGTTTTCATTGTGCTCCCAAAGACATCAGTGTGCAAGAGCTGAATAGCTCCTCCGTACCTTCCGCTTCTACTACACCGCCAATGTTAAGGTCCTTTCACACCAGGACCGTTTTTGTTGTGCGATGATTTCGGACGTCAATTTTTTTTTTTTAACCCGTATCCTGTCAATACAAGCGTTCACATCAGCGACGTTTTCCCGTCCTGCAATATTGCGGCATTTATTTTCATGGTCAATTTTTCTAAAGTTTCGCATGCTGTGTGTCCACTTCTTACCAATCAGACAACTTGTGGAGAGTCATCGTGTCAGATCTCTCACATTACGATGTTTTGTGTGCTTTAACAGTTTGCTAAACGCCTTGGTTCTAACTTTTATCTGTGCTAACGTAAGCTAACGGCTGTTACCATAGTTTCATGTGCTTATCTTATCGCCTCTGATTGGCTTTAAGTGCTGACCGTTTGGCTTGAGCGTGTGATGGCGTTTCTAGCTTTACTAGCCAATCAGAGGCGAAAGAGGCAGGACTTTTTCAGGCCCGTCAAAATTAACTTCCGAATATCTTGTAATTTCGCTTTCTATATCGGGGTCGGCCCTGGTGTGTAAGCCAGCGTGACAAGGATCTGCAGAAGAAAAGCCATTGAAAATGCCACAGATAACGTGATTTTGGCTAAAAATTTCATAACCACAATTTAAAGACCACTGAGAAGACTTGAAGTGGTAAAAAAAAGATCATAGTGGGACTTTAAATTAACATCTGGGAAGTAAGGGTGGAAAGTTCTCTGTAAAGGTATGTTTTGTTGTAGATTGATTTCAGTGGTTTTTTAAAGTGGTTTTACTAAGTGGTTTAGTTGTCAGATGTTGTTAAATCCGATGTTTTTAGCTACCTGGAGACTTTGCTCAGGTCTTTTAAGAACACTTCCTCCAAGTGTCTGAAATGTGTTCATGAGAATTACTTATTTATACAGCACCTTCCCATTGAATTAGCATGCAGCTTGTGTGTTTGCCTCTTCTTGCACCGTACATCCACCTCCATCCCTTCCTCTGTCAGAGAAATGAGTGTGTGGGAGCGGGACCCTCCCTCTGCACCTGTCGACACTGATAAGCAGATGGGGAGATAATTGCGAAAGAAATGACGGTTAAGAAGATAATTGGAGTTTCCATACCCCCTGATAGGAGCTGGTCTGGGCTGGGTTTCTGACCCGCTGCCCAGGTAAGCATTTATTCAGCGGGTGGCAGGGCGCTCCGCTGCAAACCAGATTGGGATTGTGGTGAGAAACAGCGAGGAGGAGAGACAATAGCGTAGCGTGACAGGGTTAGAGAGTGAGACACAGGAAGGGAGAGATATGTTCGGAGCCGAGGGGAGTACTCTCACACCCTCGATTACCCATTTAATGAGGCGACACAGTGCCATTGTTTTATTACTTAGAGGAAATAGGAGGAATCTAGATTTCTCTGTGTGGTCCCAGTGTTTCCTACTGCTAGGCTGGCATCTGTTCTCTTTGTTCGCAGCGGTCTCCCTATCATCCCCTCTCAGAGACACTAATGTTTCTGATTCTTCTCCTTTCAGACATCCAGCTTTGCCTTCTGTCTCACTTTCATTTTCGAGACATGCTTGTTTTTTGGCTCATCCTTATTAACCTTCTATTACCCTCTTTTCAACTAATGTAATCTCCCCTAAGTATCCAGTGCTCCCTGACATTAATCTAAGATCTGTTTGGCTGGTCAGCTGCTCTGATCGCTGCTATTCCCACCAGCGGAAGCTTAAGAGAATAATGCCTTCCTGTCTGCCTTCTCTCTTTATTTCCTTCATTTGTCTCCTGCTCACCTCCTCATCTGTCTTTTCCCTCCCTTTTTTTCATATGGTCTCTATTTTTTCTGCCACACACAGCGGTAACAGCAGTGACATAAACACAGTTTTATTGCTCTTGCACAGGCGGTAAATCTCCCTTAAGCTCGAGGAGCTAAAGCTGTTTATACCCAGGAACAGTGAGTGCACCTCCCTGGTGTGTAGCTCTCTATGGGGGTATCTGGTACCCCAAGAGAGGTAGAAAAGCGCTGAGGCAACACCCACTACTACTTAAAAAATCTCTTAAACCTATCTAGCGTTATCTTGGCTGGGTATTACAGCGTATGCATGGCTAAGAATATGTCTTTTCTCCGTAAATTGACACGTTATCACTGAATGAATCATCATCTGCAGGACATTTATTTCCAGGAGACTCCACAGAAAATTGCTCCCTCAGTAAAAACCCACCTCCTCAAGTCATTCCCGCAGACATTCATGCAGATCCACGTAGGTGCTGCCTTTCAGTCCCCACGGTCTCTTGTCCTCTGAATAGTAGGGGATTGATTGCATTGTGTGAGTCATGCTGTGATGGAGGCCCTTGCGGTGCAGACCACCCCCGCCCATCACCTAAGGGAGTTTTTTGCAAGCAGATGCTGTTTGAGACACTCTCATGTCAAAGCCAGGGAGACGATTTTTTTCATTGAAAACTAACGAGTGTTATAGAGCATCCAGGGAGCATGTGCACCCTTGGTATGAGTTCTCAATTCATGTACATGCTCCCATGTGCGAATATGGATATTGACTTTTTAAGCCCTGCCTCTCATTAGCATACACCTGATTAGCTCCCTAGAAGAAACATGGGACCAGAGGGACCGCAACATGCTCTCTGGTTTTATTACACACATCATCTGACAGTTATTAGCCATGGGTGGCTGAGTGGAAGATGATTGTGTGCGTCTCTGTGTCTGGTGTCAGATGTGTTTATCTCTCCTCAAAGTGCTCCGTGGTTGATTGAGTGACCCTTCACCCTTGTGGAGGTGGTGTATATTACTGCCTAATGGGACAGCCACCTCCTTGCTCCAGTCATCCCTCTCATCTTTCTCTGGGTACTTTCAACTTAATACAGGGCAGATACTGAAGCACCTTGAGGAAGTAGAGAAACTACATGGCCGCCGAATGAAATCCACTTTGTCACCTGCTAGAGCTGTCTGAAATATAAGACTATCTTTTGGAGAGAGAGGTGGGGTCGGGGATTGTGTTGGGATGAGATCAATGAATCTATCATAAAGCTGACCGAAAGAGATGAGAAGAAAAGATGAGCAAGAGAAATAGATGGGAAATAACATTAACACACACTGTCCAAAACCTGAGGCTCACACTTGCGATAGAAATGTTTAGTTTTCACAAATTAAGTTTGACTTAATTCCAAATGAAAGCTAAAATAGACTTGTACTAGATGCCTTCTCTTGAGAGAATTACATAATTGCCTTTTACAAAATCTACAAACAATAGTATCTGTGCAGCAATGGTGCTGCACAAGGTAGGACCCAAAGTAATTTAAGACATGATCCCGAGACATGAGGGTATTTCCTTGTTTGATAAAGGACCCCATAACACTTCAAAAATGGAGAAGCAGATATGTCCTGGACTTGAGGCCTATTCAGAAATTTTTGGATGATGTACATTATAACAAACACACTTCAGTCATGACTACTTTTGTCTTTAAGAATCTCTCTCCCAGTTCCCAGAGGCGAAGAAACATATATAACACGCACATCCAGATCATGTATGAGTTTGTGCTGCGTCAAGCGAAACCATAACCACAGTAGACAGACAGAAGAAAATGGCTTGCACACTGCAGCAATCCAATATACCAGAAGTTTAAAGCGGTGTTATTATGCTTTTCCACATTTACAACAAAAAATTCAAAGTAAGTACAATGTTTGGTGTCTATACTAGATATATTATTTAAAGTTTCAAATCACAAGGTATTTTGTTATACACAGTGCATCCGTGACAATATATATATATATATATTTATGACATTGATCAAACCAGACTTAGCATAAAAAAGAGGGGCTGGGCTGGGGTTGTTTTGCAGATAAGTTTGCCGCAGTAAGAGTATGCAGGTGAAAGCAGATCACATATAATGTCCATTTTGATTTTTTGGCAGAGACAGCTGTAGAAATATTATAACACCCCCAAGGTGATAACACATGTTTTCTCCATTCAAAATGACAGCAGTATCTGATCCAGAAGAGTGTTAAATATGTATTCTGTTCTGATGTATGAAATCATGAAGTTAAATTTTGTTCTTATAACTCTAGCATAACAGTGTATTTTTGTCTTTTGTGTGTCTTTAAAAAAATGCATTGAAAACATGTTACTGGCTAAGATAACCATGTGTATTAGATTGTAATTGGCATGGAACAATGGGTTGCCATCATAAAACTGTTGAATTCATTAAGATGAAAACAACAACATGATATCTGCATTATGTATTTGTCATCAATCAACGTTCCCTTTAATCACCAGCCATTAAAATAAAGTTTATCACTAGTTCTTTAGTCTTCTTATGTCCATCTGCTGGGGCTGGGTGCCAGAGGGATGGAGGTGGGGGGGTTGGTATCTGCTCTGGGGTATGCTGAATTTATCTGTATTTTGTAATTAGAACACCATTGTTTTTTTCTAATATGTAATATTTCAATAAACAGACTGTAAAAAATAGAATAAAATAAGGAAAGTCATTAATTCTTACATTAAATGGTTCAGTTTGGAATAACTGCTTTTGAAAAACTGAGAGTAAAAAACATTATGAGTCGAAGAAGATACAAGTGTCAGCTAGATTTTCTTGTTGTATCCTATTTTGCTGCCAGCTTTGGCTGAAAAGGGAAAAGGATCTGACCTCCCCTGGCGTCAGTCTTGGGATACAGAGGTGTCGCTGGATGGACAACATAAACCCAGTTGTTGTTGCAGGATTGAGAGTCACAGTATAAAGGAGGTGCAGGACTCCAGGAATCAATCTGGCTGGGTTATGTTGCTTTAGAGAAAAGTGGGACTGGATTTAGCTATTAACTCTTCTACCCCAGGGTCTTTGTTCATCTAAGGAAAAAGAAAACATGATTTTATATTTCTAGATTTTTTTCTCTTTAATTCCTCAAAGCAAATATACAAAGAGTAGAATACATTGAAAGTTGGTGGTGGAGATAAGCAACACAGCCTTTTTTTTTTTCAAGTCACCCAACATGTCAAGTCTCAGTAGTGGGGCTCTTTTAAAAAAAAGGACCTTCATGGTCGGCTGAACAAAAAACCCTCCGATCAGCACGCTCCCTCTAGCTGAACCCGACTTCTACTGCTGTGAAATTCCCTCTGTACTGCTGACCTTAATGTTGCACAGGATAATGGCATGCAAGTCCCAGGGGAAGAAAATAGTGGAAATCCTGTGTTCCTCCTTCTGTGTGTTTGTGGATGTATATAATGTAAATAACATCCGTGTCACAGTTTGTGGTTTGTGTGCAGTTACAGCAAGCGCATGAGACCACATGTAGCATGTACACAACTGTTTACAGAGACAGCACACTCAGAAAACCTCCGTCATATTGATTCTGGCAAGGCTGGATGTAACTCCCCCAAAAAGACATTTAAAAAATGGTTCTGCAAAAGCACTTGGTACATTTCAATTCATCTGTATTGATTCTTTTTTGAAAGTATTGTGAAGATACTGGAGAGAGAGTGATACACACACACACACTGATACCACAGTCTTACACTCAGGTTTTCAGCAGCTCTAGTGGAGCAGCTAAGAGCAGGTGCATGCACAAGGGCACCTTGAAACCTTTGATGCATTTTTTGAAATATATACGTAACCTGTCCAAAATCGACCGTTATTGACACATTGCTTATAAAAATGTGTCCTTTTGCTTCTTGGTTAGTCTCCTTTTTTCCCACTATCCAGAAAAAAATGGTACAAATTTGAACCTGTTTCCTCTCTGATTCTGAGCATCCATCAAAGTGTCACGAACTAATACCAGAACCAATAGTTTTCTTCTTCTTCTTCCTTTTTTTTTAAAAGATTACCATAAATACAGATCCATACGCTAGAAAGTTTGATTACAAAACTGTCATTTATTCAAATTCAGACCTATTTTGTAAGAGGAAAAAACAAATGGTCAGGAAAAAGTGAATTAATTTGTGTTAGACTTAAAATATTCATGGGCACTGTTGAGGATGCAGCCCGCCCATCATCTACAAACTTCAGATGCAGAAACAACTGTCACAAACAGATCCTCTTTGTGCAGCCGGCACAGACACGTCTGTCATTTGCTATTTGGCTCATGCTAAGCAGAGGAACAGCTGCAGGGCACGGGAAACAGAGAAGAGGGAAGACAGAAACTGCATGAGTTGTTCCTGACAGCTCCTCCTGTTGTGCTAGTATCTGTCCCTTCAGGTTTGGAATTTTTTTTTTCTTCGCTCTTTTCCTGCAGCACTAAACACTCCAGCCACACAGAATACAAATTTGTACGCAAATTTTGGTGGTTCATTCATAGGGAAAGTTTCGAACGGCTGGACAGCTTTCCGGCATCATCTGTATGCATGTGCTGGAGACTTCTGTCAGCTTTTGGAAATGGTTTTGGTTTGTTTGAGTGTAAATAAAAAAGCGAGGCTGTGGAAAAGTGCTGCAAATGCACCATTATTCCAGGAACTATCTAAGGATTTCACAAAGCCAAGTCAGTTTTGCAAATTTGCTAATTCCTTGGGGAGAGACCTAATTATGACAAAATGTCCAAACACTCACAATTCCCACTTCATCTTCCAAAAGTCTTTTAGCAGCTCAGAGCTACACTAATCCCTGCCAGAGAAACAGACCGTTGCCGGGGCAACCTCAGTCCTGCCGCCGTGGCAGCTGTAACTGTGGCGAGGAGACACGGCGTGCCAGGGTGGACAGGTGTTGCCGGGGTCTTCGAGATCACTTCGGGTCTCTGGGCTCATCCTCCGTTGTCGTTACACATGTGGAGCAGCGCTAACAAGCCACTAGTGCATAAACACACTCGGCACGCCGCTCCTCTACGCCGCTATCTGACCAGGACCAGAGACTGCTGAGTTACACTAATGTTCTGTGTCATGCTCTTGTCGAATTAGACGAAGGCACGCTTCTCTTGCCAGCTCAAAGCAGGAGGTCTGTGCCACATGGCTTTTTTTTTTTTTTTTTTTTCTTCCTCTTTTTTTTTTTTTTGTCTTTCTTTTTTTCAGTCAGACATTACTGCAGGTATGAGCAATGACTCATTTTCAGTGAAACCTGGTTACCTGCTGTAGGGCAGGGTAATGGGACACTGCACAAAAAGTCAAACAAGCTCTCATTACCTTTTATCCAGGCGGAACAGGGAGGCCACAGCTGAAATTGGTCCTAGAAAATTGTAAGGGGAAACATAATGTGTGCTAGAGGAAAGCAATAGCAGAGCGAGTGTCGATTTAATAGTGAGAGCGTGTGCGGACCATGAAGGAAAGATAGTTCTGTTACTGAGTCAGTGTGGCGAGGCTCAAAATGTCTATTTCAGGGTTTGCTTTAAGTAGGGTGAGTCACCAGGCTTTTGGAGCACTAGAGACTGCATATATGTGTATGTATGTGTGTGTGTGTGTGTGTGTGTGTGTGTGTGTGTGTGTGTGTGTGTGTGTGTGTGTGTGTGTGCGTGTGCGTGTGCGCGTGTGCATGCATTTATATGTGATACAGCTGAATTTTTCTCACCCTCTTTCTCCGTCACACACACTCATAGACACACACACGTGCCTGCCTGGAGGTTGCGGGTCTGTGACAGGTTAGGCATTTTGGGTACGGGCCATGCTCGCTCTGTCTTTCCCTCAGCCTCCAGCAGCGATCTGGCCCTCGCACAGGGACAGGCAGCAGCTTCAATCTGTTTGGTAAATACTGCGATAAGTAAGGCCCACCCATCGCCATGGCAGAAAATAGCCCAGGCCAGACCTGTGCGTGCAAAGATAGCATGTCATGCTGAAATCACAAAGAGGATATACCTTCCAAAGAGAAGCCTGTGATCATAAATGAGCTATTTAAGGGTACAAGAGGGTGTGGAGAGAGAGAGTCAGACTGACATGCAGATGAGGAGAAAGAGAAATGCACTGACGGAAGGAGAAAGCAAATGAGAGATGGAAACCGCCTCCTGCTGCTTGTAAAATGTCAGTGGGACCCCAGGGATGCATTGATTAACCTCTCTACTTCTAATCTGCCTTCACCCCCTCCACCTCCCACTGAAGGCAAACACACACACTGCTGGTACACAGATGGACAAACTGGTCAAATTTACATGAACATGTCACAAGATGCTGGAAAGACTCAGTGGTAGAAGTGGAGCTACTTTGGACCTAAAATCACAAACGCTGTGATCTCTTCTCTCTCGCTCTCTTCATTTCTCGCCTCTTGACTTGATTGAAAGTGCAGACTGTTTTTACATATTTAGATTTGAAAGGGAATGAACTGAAAAAGATTTAAAAAAAAAAAAAATCACCAAGCCATCTAAAACTCAATTTAGTTCAATTCAGCATCACTCAACTCAGTGCAGATCAATGATTTTAATATCAGGCAGTCACAAACGGCTGTTTTCAGTATTGACACGACTAATGGTCATTTCCAGATTCAATCATTAGTCATTACTAGAAAGCTGTAGCAATGTTGATATATCTGAGTTCATATGGATGTCTAAAGAAAGTATTTTGAGCCGGCTGAAAGCCAGGCCGGAAAATATTCAATCTTCTTCATTGTGAGATGGGAAAGCAGCAAATCTTTACTGTGGAGTTGACGGTCGAGTCAATCGTTGGACAAATCATTCTTACTTGATTTCAATACATCTTTGTCTTGTATGTATGAGGGAATCTATAGGACACTTCTGAATCACAGTTATAAAAGCCAACCTATGATAAAGAGTGATCACAACAAAAAAAATATAATACACAAATACAGATACAGACAGAGTCTTCTCCATGTACTCTGGGTTCATATAGTCTGTTTTTCTGTACCTTTGTTGAAAGCTTATGGATATAGACAAAACCTTGTGTGGAACTATTATTTTATGAAGACAATTTATTGCTGCATACAAAGATTTACAAATGCGTGCATACATCCGAAATCTGTAAAATGATCCAGTTGCATCATAAGTCCACAAATGTGAACACAGATCTGTAAATATTAAAACTGAACTGCAAAGTTGTGTACCCATTTGTGGATGCATGCGCACATTTGTAAGCTTTTTATGCATTTTCAGTGTTTTTACTCACTCAGATCAGTGAATGCATTTGTAAATCAGATCACACATTAGTGGCTACACTTAAGCAGTTGTGAATCTTTGTAGGCTTATGTGTTCTTTTTATTTTATTTGATTTTATTTTTTATAACAATAGTTCATAAAATTGCTGTACCATGTGGGGGCAGTGTTGAGCAGCTAAGCCAACAGTTCAAACCAAGAAAAATAATGCAAATGGTACGACTTTATGAGGAAAGGTTATGCAAGTTTGGCGCCTTGCCTACTTCCAGTATTTCCTCTTTGCTAACAGATACACGTTCAGAATCCATTAATGCTATTTTTTGCCAGCAGAAACCTTTGACTCTTCTTCTGTGGTGTAAATTTTGACTGAGTGGTGCCTTCTAGTGGATGCATAACAAAATCAAAGGACACAAGGGACTATGTTAGTCGTGACATTTCAGTATTTTAAAATGTACATATATATCTGCAGTTGTTTGAATTATATTGTCTCCTGCAAAGATGGTTGAATTTTCAATTAGCCTTTTAACTTACATTTTATGGATTTGGTCAAAAAGAGTTTGGTGTGCACCAGAATAACAAATCCCAACGAGAGTAATTATTACAATTTCATTTAAACCAGTCAGTGTTTATAGAAATATTAAAAGATTCAGGACTCAGAATGAACTCCAGTTACTAACTTTCTTTTTGTCTCCTCTCTCTCAACCCTCTTTTCTCTGGCAGTTTGCTCCCAGTTCTCCAAAGGTGTGTACGCCATCATTGGTCTGTATGACAGGAAGACGGTCAACATGCTCATGTCCTTTTGTGGAGCGCTGCATGTCTGCTTTGTCACGCCGTCCTTCCCCATCGAGACGGCTAACCAGTTTGTGATCCAGCTGAGACCTGAGCTGCAGGACGCTCTAGTTGGAGTGATTGAGCATTACGGATGGAGCAAGTTTGTCTACATGTACAGTTCTGACTCTGGTAGGAAATCTACTCCCTATTAACCAATCATCATGCTGTTAATTTCATATAATTGTTCATTCACAAACATGCATCCTTCAAGCCTTATAGACAGATGTGATAATTCTTGTTTTAAGAATTAAGCGATTGTTTAACTGCATTCATCATTTATCACCACCATGAGAGAAAAGCATTTCCACTTTTAAACATGCACATTAAGACTATTGAAGTCATTAGAGATACCACCATTTGCTAACCTCATATTGCCATGGCGACAGCAATAGGTTCATTCATAGCCATTGTACAATCAACAGCCTTCAGAGCGTTATTTCAGGCCACCGTCTTTGTACTGACAGAGGACAGAGTAACAGAACATTGACCTGCACTGAATGGTAGATAAATCGCACAATGGGACAAAAGATGCAGCTTTTCATTGAGTGGTCCTCAGCAGTAAGCAATTTCTTTGTCAGTAGTATGCCAGAAGAAAAAAAAAAAACAACACAAAAGGTGCTGTAGCGTTTAGTTGAAACATCTCAACCACTCTCCTGCAAGAGCAGACAGAAATAAAGCAGGACACACCTGTCAGCCTCCTGCCTCCTCCTTTTCTTCTCATCTCCAGCCAATCAGCTAATACCTTCACATTATGTCTTGCCATCTGTTCCAGGTGTTGGGGGTTTTAGAGCATGAAGCGTGTTTTTTTTTTGTGTATGCGGTTTCACTTTGGAAATTGCAAATTCTGCACACATGCGGCATGAAGGCTTCTTGCGACAGTTATCTGCTCATGTCTTTGGATTGGTTGAGACAGAAGCAAGCTTAAGTAAGCTTAAAAAGACAGATGCCGTCATGTCACTGCAAAGCAAACACTGACAGGAGAGATTTTAAAGTGATCTCTAACACCGTTGATGTGTGATGGCTGTAACTTCACACACGTCCTACAGATTTTTTCTCTCTTCAGTGATTCCTTCATTATCCCCTCATGCACTCTTGCTTTTGTGTGTTTGTGAGAAGGGTCACCCTTGTGTGATTGAGTGGTGGGATGAAGCCATTGGAAACTGTATTAGTAGTCCTCTGTTGCCTGGATACAACAGAGTAGTCACCCTTCCTACGGGGTTATTTTAAGCCTTAAAAAAAAACATGTTTAGTTGAGCAAGCATTTGTCTGGAATATGTGTGTGTGTGTGTTATCTTATTACAACATTTCCAGATTAAAGAGTCTATTAAAAGGGCTAATTATTTTATTTTATTACACACCAAGCTTGAGTAAGATCATCTACTCGCTTAGAGAGGAGGATTTCCTACATATCACGTCAGTCTGTTCACATCAAACATAGCAGAGGTTAACCACACCTCCATTTTCCACATGAGTGAATCCTTTCCTGTCTGTTGTTGACATGTGTCACTGGGTATCTCCATGCTGATTGGGTTTCACGACACAATTATCAATCAACTCTCATGAATAGATGTTTGAATTAAGTTGTGCATTGGACATGACTCAAATTCGCACAAGAATCAGCTTAATTCGCTTTGCGCTGCACGATTTGCGTCTTTTGCATTGACTTTTAATTTAATGATTTTACTGGCACTTAGCGTGAACATAAGGTAAGAGCTGTATTCATATTACATATTTTCAAGTATGTTTCCAGTACCTGATGTGGTCAAGGATATACAAATATCTATGTGAATTGTTCACCTTCCAACATTTCAAGGTTTTTACTATTTATTTTACTATAAGCATCTGTTTCACTGTCTTACATGTGCAGCATCAGCTACATAAAGTGTCTATCTTAAAAAAAAAAAGAAAAAAGACCAAGAATGAAAAAAAGATAGCCCATTAAGTCTATCATAAACAACATTAAGGAAATGGTTTCCTTAGAGTGTTATTTCTCTCCTTTCATTTCCCTGGTCCCCGGGTCCCCGCGTTTTGCCTCCAGTCAGGAGGACGCTCATGACAGCCAGATTCCATTATGATATAATTCTCTTCCAAGATGCCTTTGGAGGACCTGTTTTTACCTTGGCCAGTCCTGCGAGTCTCCCCGTCAAGCTGGCTCTGATTTATATGGGTGCATCAGCCACATACCTACATTTAAAAATAGAGAGAAGATATTCAGTGGAAACAAAGTAAGACAAGAGGGAAAAAAGCTGGAAGGAAATAAATGGAAGATATAAAAATACATGAGGTGTAATGGTTCAGCCATACTGAAGATATTAAGAGGGGATTAAATATATTAACATGCACAACAAACAGTAAATTTTTGATGTGATGCAAGCACTAATGGTTGCCTGTCTTGGCATGGTCATTTGCTGTGATGTAATGCACACAACACACAAAAAGATAAACACATATTCACATTAGGAAACAACTAAGATAAAAAGAAAGTTTGAAGAAATAAAAGGAAGTGAACTGTTTCAGCAGGGCAGACAGTTTTTTAGCTGATGGTGCTGTCCATGGTGCTGAAACCTTCACCGATACCAAGGCTCAGCTATACAAATGCTGTTCGTTTCCTTTTCAACCAGAACACTGGCTGTGTACAAACATAGACACCATGCTTCCCCCTCCTCCCATTGTGACAAGTGAAGCCAAAATTCTGCTTTGATCGGTGCGGACTCAAGGACTGGGTAGACCCTTTCCACTGACTAAAGCACGCATTTAAAACAGAAAAGAGCACTCAAGTTGATGCTGTCAACAATAGAACTGATTCCTTTTATTTGTTATTTGTATGCTTCTCATAATAACAAGATTGTTTCTCACACGTTCACCACTCAGTTATTCAGTGCAAAACAATTGGGAAAAACTCAAAGGTACTTAAGCTCATAAATACGAGCACAATTAGATAAGACAAATAAGTTGTCAATCAATCATGTTAAGATAAAATAATAACACAAAGATAATGCACACTTGCATTCAATCAACACAATAAGAATTAACTTTGTTTACAGCTGTTTTTAATATGATTTTCCAGTTTCACTGCAGCTAGTCATCAAGAGGAGCTTTTAGACATATGGCTTCACTCAGGGTAGCTGTAGTTCTGTCCATTATTTCATACAGTCTGTAGGCAGGAGCCACTGACTTATTTCACCACCATGATAAACGGCCTCCTCTATCCTCATGTTGATCATCAGTTTCACTGCTCCAAACCCGAGCACCAAACATTTCAATTCTTCACTCATGAGCAGCAGTCAAAGGAAAAAGATGCAATGAAAGGTCTCATATATCTCCATGTTCCTTGCCAGCAGTAGTTTACCATTTCTGAGATGTCTAATTTGTTTTTATTTTCTGTATTGTGGTCATACATAGAGGTGAAATGCCATCCATCTTTGTGTTTCTTAATGACCTGGTGTCAAACAGGCAGCATGAATTGCCTGGAGAGCAGCTGGTGTGCATTGTAATAAAGCCAAGCAATCATATTTCAGAGGCAGTGACTGCATCCCTCATTTGTTTTTTGACAGGGTTTGTGTTGTTGTTGAACATTTGCTTAATATGCATAGAAAGCCTGTATGGACATAGGCAAACAAGCCTGGAGGAGGATATACAGAGCACTACATACTATATATCAGGTCCATAGTGGCTTTAACCATGTTTGCCAGCTTTGTGCAACAAACACAGCTACATCATGTATTACTTTAGATTTCTGCATTTTGTAATTGCTATAATTCATTTTAGTAATGGCTGCCAGTCTGCTGCGGGTGAAATTACTTTATTTACTCTGTGGAACAACTGTGACTGCCAGCTTGAGAGGAATCTGATTGGTCTGCCGCCAGCAGCAAAAGAGTACAACAGTGAGTCAGACTGTAAATCAGAGCTCAAGATCAATGTGTTCTCTAATCGCCTTTTATTTCCTGTCTTAGCATGAGCCCTTAGCTCATTGGCCGCCTCATGTCTTTCCCTATGATGCTAAAGTATCTCAGCGGCATATCAGTGACAGTGTAATTGAGTAACGGCTCCGATAATTGGTGCTTGGAGGATGTAAAGCTGGCTGTGACCGTGCAGTCTGGGATGATGCACAGGCTGATTATTTGTTAGTGTGGAAGTGGTGATTATTTAGCCTGGCCCTGTATGATCTGGAAACCACACCTGCATGTGTTGGTGTGCTTAATGGACTTTTACTCTTTGTGTGCTTTATCACTGAAGCTACAGGGGAGATCCTGATGGATAAACTTATCAAGAGCAGTTTGGCTTTCTGCACAGTTTCTGTTTTGTTCTCAAGATGTTTTAATTTATCTCTGGAGTTGTTACCTCTCACAGTATAAGATTAAAATTCTCACAGTTTATGTCTCTGTCAGCGTAATGAAATATAGACACTTGTAGACTACTTTGTAAAATTCTGAAAAGTCATCCATCACTTTATTCCTTATACTTTCTTCAGGAAATACCCCTGCAGAGAGTCAGCTCCAGCGGCTTCTCATTTCTTACTTCCTGAAATTTTCCCAAAAGTCTCAGAGCTTTACCCTCCCCTTCTCTCCTCTCCAGGCCTGTCAGTGCTGCAGAAGGTTCTGGACACAGCTGCAGAGAGGAACTGGTTGGTGACTTCAGTGAATGTGGAGACCATGACTGAGGCCTCCTTCTTGAAAGTGTTCCAGGATTTGGACAAGAGAAAAGAGGGCCAGATTATCATCGACTGTGAGACTGAGAGGCTCACTGGCATCCTTAAAAAGGTAACAAGCTCCCTCTGTTTTGCATTTTTACAGGAGATTACATAAGAGTGTTGCGATATATAATGCAATCTCAGCTTGAAGAGTGTAACCTCATTACAAAAGAATAAAATAAATTCTGTATGTTATGCATTAGCTTCATATTTATTACTATCTCCTTTTGGTCTTTCATAAACAAATTGATATTGAGCTGCATGCAAAGGTTAAAAGATCTTCAGAAGAATATATTGAACACATTTAGCATGCACATGGGAGCGAGGCTGTGCATGAGTTAATCAGATGAGGCAGAGAAAGAGTGGGAAGATAACAATGAAAAGTGGGGGGTTGGTTGGTGGTCTTCCGCAGGGGTTCAGTCTCCTGCAGCATCAAGGACAAAAAGGATAAATAACATGGCTTTGGTTTAAGAGTCTGAAATTCTCCTCTGATAGGATAATCACTCCTTCATCTCTCTACTGTGTGAAATAAAATGATTTTGGAATCACAGCTAAATGCCTCTCTGACTGTAACCCCTCACCCAAACAGAGATTGTCCAATCACATACTGGCAGCCAGGCATGACAGGTCTGCAGGCTTTGGATCTCACTGCAGGTTTGAGTGGTGTACATGTGACTGGTGCAATCGTAATCTTCAGCATGTGTTGAGCATGGATGGAAGTGAGTTTATCCAACCCTTCTTTGTAGCTAACAGTAAAGGAAAGGTGTTAGCAAGCAAATCTAGGCTGCAACATTGTGTAGCCAAGCTTCTCATTGTAAAAGCAGTAACAGGAAATAGGCTTAGCACATCCACTTTGGTGAGAGACTTTTGGGTGTTATTAAAATAGTAAACTATATTAAGAATAAGAATACCTTTATTTATCCCTGAAGGTAAATTCAATTGTCTGTAGTCTCATTTGTCATGTCTAAAAAAGTCATCTACTATTTGTAGAAGAATTGCAAATTATATTGTATTGTATATTAAAGGTCTAAAGCTTTACTCCAAACTGTGCATGAGACAGACAATCAATCAATCAATCAATCTTTATTTGTATAGCATATTTCATACAAAACAAAACAATGTAGCACAAAGTGCTTTACACAGAAGACTAAAAGAAACAAAGAATACCCAACTCTACCCCACCCCACCCCCCCATTCCCATCCCACAATCCAAGCACAACAGAAAGAGTATTTAAATGTATTAACCTGGAAAGACCTCAATTTAGTAGAAACAGGAATATTCACACTAAGGAAACAGCATCTTGAAATCCAATATGGGGAAACACTGCAGGTGAGGTTAAAACCTAAAGACAAAGTAACATAAAATGAAATTAAAGAAATAATAAATAAAATGAAATACAAACAAAAGTAAAAGATACTAAAATAAGAGCACCAAAACAGCTCAATAAGAGACGATCCTGACATCGAAACTAGACAGAGATAAATGCTAAAACACTCTAACAAGTTAAGTTAATGGTATAAAATTTTGTTAAAAGCAAGACTAAAAAGGTCCACCTGTTAAGAAAAAAACAACAACAAAACAAAACAAAAAAAAACTCAGTCATACCAAAGTTTTAGCCTGGATAATGTCGCCTCAGCTGTAGACCAAGTCCACATGCGTACAGATTTTTTTGGGATATTATTAAAACTTTTCTCTCTGAATTCAAAAACATCAGAGGTTCATTTTTAACATTCTTCTGTCCACATCACAACCAAAAAATAGTTCAAAACAACCTCACAAGCATATTTAACACCACAGAGAAAGGATGTACACATGCAAATTAAGGGTCTGTGAGCAACTTTCTTTAAACTGGTTACAGAGTAGCAAATTAAAAAAGAACACTGGTTGTAATATGTTTAGTTCCCCATGCATCATGGGATGATAACAAAAGAAAGCTAGTTAAACATGCAATTAACCCCAACAGTTCCAAGCACACATAAGTGGTGGTCTATGCTAGTATAGTGCACATGTTCTACATATACACAACAACATGGATGGTGATTTGAAAAAATATCTGCTTTCAATGACACAAAAAACTTGCCTAGTTGCAAAAAACAAGCTATGTTTTAAAACTGAGTGCACAGGGCCTTAGTCGACCTCAGTCTTAGTCTGCACTACATACTTTATGAAACCAGGAAGTGACATTTTTTAACAATATGAGATTTCTTGTCAGATCCAAAGCCAGCTTCCACAACCGATTCACTTACATTAGTCTTATTGTTGGCTAGGGAGAGGTTTCATTTACGGTGTTAAAATTGATTCTCTCCTGCTGGAAATAAAAAAAGCTGCATCCACCAAAGTGTAAAACCAAGAGTCTATTGCAGTTATTTAATCTTTCATAGCAGTGTTTTGGCATGCATAGCAGTAAAAGCAGTTGCGAATGCCACCTTAATGGGCTGGCGTCAGTATATTGCCATGCTTGATAGCTTACTGGTAAAGCTGAGCTAGACAGTAAATGAATCCGAGCAATCACTAACTTTTTTTTTTACCTGCTTTCTCTGCAATTACAAGACAAAATGACTGTCATGGCTGAACTTGAAGAGCGCATATGCGTCACACAAGAAGAGAAAGCTTGATAGACACAGCAACCATAACCAAGAAGGGGCCAATAAATGATGTTCAAACAAAACAGACCCTAGAAGCAGTTCATCCACTCAGTTAATTATAGTCTTAAAAATGTAAACACATTTATAACCCTTTTCCCCTGCTGATATGTTGTTGTTTTTCCTGTTGCATTTCTCTTTCTTTCCGTTCATTGCTGTGAAAAAAAGCACACACACTTGCACTTTTATGTTGTTCCTACGGCGCACACAAAGAGACAGGCCCCATCTGTACGCGTAAGCTGTGACTCCTCAGTGTGAATGTTATTGATGGCCTGGTGTCTACAGTTAAGGTTATTGCATCAGTTCTCACCAGTTTACAGAAGCTGAGCCTGAGAATTTCACCGTTCAGACGGCCACCATCAATCATCCACATCTGCTCCCTTCCTCTGCGCTGCCCTGTGTGTACACCCAAACAGCGACATCCACACACAAACACACATATTCATATGCACTTCTGCTCCCCCTGCCCTTTAAACTCACCCATGTGTTCATCTCCTACGTGTCATACAGTACACAGTATCTACTGCGATAATGTCGCTGACAGCACCCCGAGGGTGACTTCTTGTAATAACTGAATATTGATGTAGACTCAGGGGGACATTCACCGCAACAGAAGAGCTACCTCAAAAACCTTTCAGTGTGCTTTCTTCCATCAGAGAAACAAAAAGTGACCCACTCTCTTGGGGCTGAACTCTGAATGACTCTTCAAATCTGCATGCATTATTAAAAATCCACTTGCATCCAAACATTTCCATCTGACGGTCCACTGTGGCAGCAGTGTGTGTGTTCCTCCCCAAGTGTCGAGTATATTGGTGTCAATGTTGGTGTGTGCCTCTCCTCTCCTCCCTCCCTGCTAGTTTTTCCTTGCCTGAGGCTTGGCTGCAGGGCCTGCCTTGTGCTGGGGTCACCATTAATAACAAATGCCACCTTCTGTCATGACCTACAGCATCATTACACACGCACACGCACAAACAAACGCATGCACCCCCCTGTAGTACACACAAGGGGGGATGCTCAAAGAGAGGAAGAGGGGGTAGAAACGTGTGAGGTCATGCGTAGTGCCGGAAAAGACCACTGAATGAGCTTCTTACTGCTCTGCTAAAGGCTTTTAATTGGACTGAGCATGGCTTTGAATAGTCGCTGCCCACTCTGCCTTCATTTAAGTGAGTGCCCAGTATGCCGCGATGACACACGTATATATATTAGCTGCTGGGCATTGTTGAACTTGGCAGTCGCCACCAGCTAGACAGGGAAATCTACTTTAAAATGTCACTCAAAGTGTTCTCCAATTTTGCTCATGTCATTTCTAAATAAACCAGTTCTGGCAGTTCACTACACCTCTCACTGTAATGTTCAAACAGCCCGACCCTCTGTGCTTGGCTGACCAGCAAAGCCTGCAGGTGAAAAATGACAGCAGTGCCAGCAGGAGTTAGAGGGAGTGTAGGTGTAAGAGAGGTGGCCTGTACACTGTGCAGCATTAAAAGAGTTCATTATTTGGTGGTATTGTTAGACCCTGATGGAGTCTTAGGGAGATAAAATATTCCAAGTTATTCGAGTATGAGACTAAAGATTAAACTATGGCTCTCAAGGGAGCTATTTAGAGAATGTAAGTCAAGGAAGGAAGAGGAACAGGGAGGGAAGCATATCATGGCGTTATTGCTACTATCTCAGGTAGAGGGCAAGGACTTCATGAAGCATAGACAAAGGGCTCTATTTTGGTGCCTCGCCGGAGACGTGCCGCAAGCGCAGCGTCAGTCAGATCCGCCGTGCTGACAAGGCGTTCCCAAGCACATTTTGGTATTTTGGTGAGCCGCGCAGCCCAGCGTAAGTATCCCCCCTCCCTAACTCAGCTCCTCCCAGCACCATAAGTAGTAGACGGGGAGTAGAAAGGGCGTGTAGTTGGTTTAACACAGCCGAGACCTGTTTTCACCAATCACATAGGCTCCTCTCCTTGCCTTTAAATCCGCCACAGGCGAGGCGTATTACTATTTTCATGGAGTAGTCAAAGAGATCAAGAGATGTCTTAAGACAGTAATGCCACAAGATGGCGACAGAGGGCAGCTCCTCAACAAGTGTCCTCCACACTCTCTCATATGAGCACAGATGGATTTAGTGTGCGTAATGTTGGACCCACTGGTAAGACAAACACCCGTTTCCACAAATAAAGACACTCACATAAAGTTGCTCATATTCAAACCTCACGTGACAAAGGTCGGTTGAGCGCACAGATCACAACATAAACTCCAAAAATGGCATTAAAATTGGAACCATCTGTGCGTAAATGACGCATCGCGCTCCGTGGCCTGGCTCTTTCTTTCATAGATGTTGGGATATAAAATAAATTTGGCTCACAAAACTGAACATTATAATATCCGTATGTCGGCTTAAAGTAGATAACGCATCTGAGCACTGAAACAAATCATCTGTTCAGCTGCAGCAGCAGCAAGACGGACAGAGGACACGGAGACGTGTCCAGGTCGAGCTGTGCGAGAAATAAGAGGAAGAGGAAGAAAGAAAAGGAGGGAGACGAATTACATATCTTGTTAACTTCATCATGTGTGTATATTTACTAGATATTTAATTTAATTTGATGCGGTTTCAGCTGTGTTGATTCGGTCAGGTTGTGTGTCCAAACGCGTGCCAAACGCGCTCATCAGATCAGATATAGATCAGAATATATCGATATAGATCTAAATGTATGTGCTGACTCAGATTAATAGTTGATGATGATTATTTATTGCACTGTAATGTGCCTGACACTGTGGAAACCTGCCGGTGAGGCATCAGTGACGTATGTCAATACGCCGCCGGTCTACCAAAATACTACAAGACCAGCTGCGTTCCGCCTTGCGCTGAAAGCTGACCAGGTTTGAATCGGCGAGCTTTCAGCGCACGTTTCACGCCGGTGGCGAGCACGAAAATGTCACTGCGCCAGCTGATTCTGTCAACACCTCCCCCTGCCACGCCACCACGCCCAGCTTGGCGGATCTCGGCTCGCCTCCGTGCGAATCAGTCCACGAAAATACCAAACTCGCCTTACGCCGGGCTTCACCAGACGAAAATACAACTGCGCGGGGCTCGCCGCCCTCCGCCGCCTCACCGGCGCGAACGAAAATAGAGCCCAAAGTCTCAGTAGATGGGTGTCTTGACCATTTGTTGCAGACTAACCTGGTTATCATCACAGGTTTGTTATGTAGTTTATTTGGAAATCACCTCAACGTTTGTCCCCATTAGATGAACTCATGCCCATGTGTCTTTGATTGCCAGCTGCTGGACACTTGTGAGCTTAGGTTAAGAGACATGTGAGACCATGAGAAGAGAGGCTGGCTGGGAACCGCCCAACCCACTAAACAGAGCCCTCTGCTGTAGGGTTGGGTGATAAACCGAAAGTTTGCAGATACTGAAATTTACAACAATAACCAACGTCATTTTGCCCATATAGGTATATTCGGTGTAAAAAAATGAGAATAAATAAAAGTTGGTTTGGATGTATGTAGGTAGGCTATGGTCTCTATGTCTATGTCCCTAAGAGCTATGTCCCTTTAAGATGCTGTTCTACATCAGAGTCCACCCCATCTAGTCCGTAACAAAGAGGGAAAGACAGGTGAGGAGATGAAGTTAATATGGGAGAGGGTGAGCAGCTTGTGGAGTAGTTATCGTCAATTTATCATTATCGAGGTGAACTGCTCAATATACCTTGATATTGATTTGAGGCCATATCGCCCAGCCCTACTCTGCTGTGTTTGGCCTAAGTTGAACTTTGTTGAGGGAGATTGTAGCTTTTGTGGACACCGCTGTGCTACATGGTGAGAAAACATCTATCCTACTGAAAAGCTCTGTGATCCATGAAGCAGCCACAAAGCTACTGAATAGTCAAGCTACTGATGTCACCATTTGCCACACCATTACTGTCCTTCACTGAGTACGGATGAGAACCAACAATCTACGTATGGATCACCTTTAACCTTTAGTATTTCAAATCTTACACATGCATATATGTAGTCTCAGCGAGCAACCAAGGATCAATTCAATGCATGTTACGTGTTTGAAAACAATTTAGATGAAGTGTAGGATGTGTCACGTTAAATGTCAGTCATCACACTTGAAAAGCAACAGTCAGCTGTGGGTAACAGATAACATAGCACTCTGAATCTCTAAATAAAATGTTGTATAGAGCCGGCAACTGGGTTAATCACTTGGAAACACTATTCTAAGCGCAGGCCGCCAAAAGAGATAAAAACAAAACAACAACACAGCATGATCGAATATAAAAAATACAATAACTATCATAAGTGGTCTGAAGAAATCATATCATATACAAAGTTCAACAGCAGTCTCTCCTGTTTAGAGTTAATTTGGCTTATACCTACATTAAACTCTTGCAGAACAGCATCATCATCAATTTAAATAAAATATATATGAGAGTTCATTCATGCTTCTCCAGTCAGTGGTGTTTCAGTCGTTGCATTACTGAGAAAGTCTAAAGATGAAACAGCCCTCTGAACTGTGAACAGCTTTAGCAGTAGACACGGGCGTCACCAGAGGAAACTTGAGGAACTTTAATGAGCATAAGGACATTATTAGTTTAATAATAATTTAATATTTTAAAAGTTTAATATTACATGTAATATATTTTTAGTAGCTGATTGTAATTTTACATTAAAAAAAGAGTTTTGTTTGTTTCCACGCCTGTTGTTAATGACCTTAATAACTGGCTTATATCCTAAAATACATGCAGCTGCTGTATGTTGATGTGTGGAAAGAAAGAGAGAGACATCTGTAGTCAATAATTTTATCTAACTTGCTCCAGAACAGTCATATTCTATTAGCTGCCTTAATGCGTTTATTATATGTTGTCAGTAAACGGCAGCTGGTAATTAAGGTGTTAATGTGTCGACTTTGAAGCTACTTGCCTTTTATTGTGTTGACAGTCTCGTGTTCAGTGCCTCCTTTCTTATCGACCTACTTTGTGTCTGTCCTGCACAAGGTCAAGTGCTGTTCACTGTACCAGGCACGCTGCTGGGAGACTGTCAAAACCTTAGTCTCTGTTGTAAACACACACAAACGCAGACATAAACTATCCTTCTCTTTGTGTATCACAGGCTTTTTATTCTCTCTCTCTCTCTCTTTCCCCCGTGTCCTTGTCTTCCAGATTGTCGAACAAGGCAAGAATGCAAAGAGCTACCACTACATCCTGGCAAACCTGGTAAGGAATCTTTATTATATCACAGCTCCTCAATCCAGTCAGATTTCTGCGGATTTCTTCTGTGTTCTCTTACACCTCAATTCAATTTGCTCCACTATTAAATTTGTCTTCTAACAGGATTCCAGACCTTCAGCACTTTATTGCCAGGTTAATAGACTTGCATGTGCCGAATAATTTAGCCTAAAACTATCTGCTTTTATGTCTTTTATGTTCTCTCTTCCCATTTTCCTCCACTGCTCCCTCATATATTTTTTCACTTCACTGTCAGACGTTGCGGCAGCACAGAATCAAACTAACAGTAAAAAGCACAGACTAGACTGTGACAGACAGAAACAGAAATCTATGCAGACTGACAGTGACAGAAAAAGGTCAGGCGGCCTATGTATGCAGGCTTATATCCATTAGCGTTCTTTGTGTGCTGCCATTTTCTCTTCGCAAATGGTATGCAGACTCTCACAGCTCTGATCAGACTCACAAAATGCAACCAAATGAAGAGAAAATTGACATCAGCAGACGCTGTTGTAATAACAGCATTAATATGCAGCTGCTGGCTTGAACAATTTCTCACTGCTGATTGGCTCAATCCTCCTTGTCTCGCCGGTTTGCCAGATTTAATTTATAATGATAAGACTTGGACGGTAACAACAGCTGATAGGCAAAGTGGTCATTTATTATGGGCCCATTAAAGGTTTGCACCAAAATTACTTTTTCTGTGTCCTTGTACTCTTTCAGGAATTCCTAATTTTCTTTCTTTGTGTGTGAAGCTGCAGCTGCATGTGTGTGTGTGTGTGTGTGTGTGTGTGTGTGTGTGTGTGTGTGTGTGTGTGTGTGTGGGTGAATTTGAAAGAAAAGAAAATAGTGTGATAAAAAAGAGAAAAGGAACAAGAGTAACAATGAAAATGTTTTTTTTTTTTTTTTTTTTTATGTCTGTCGAAAAAACACCCCCCTCCATGTCCACTGATAGCAAAGGCTGGTTTCTATAGTAACCTCTTCAGCTCACTGCACTACATTAGCTCATACATGGAGCAGAAAAAAGACATAACTCTGACTGTTCACCTGAAAAATATGGACACCTCGCAACACACTTAGGGAGAAGGAGGTTAGACAAGGGAGTGCGAAGGGCCGAATACGTCCTCTTTTCCTTGATTTCGCTCTTGAAGCTTTAACTAGAATATTTTTAATCACTTCCCCAGTTGACTCCCCCATGAAAAGATCTGAATGTATATTTCTTAACAGCCAGCACCTTCAAAACACGATATCTTCTCTTCACTGTATGGATATGAGGATTAGAGAAAGTAGCAAGTGCAATTTTGAGAGTCTTGGTTTGGCTTACACTTATGGCTAAGAGAGAGCGAAACCTTCAAAGCACATGAAAGAAACATCAGAGCAGGAGAGACAGCAAAAGGACAGAAAAGTGTGTAGTGAGACGGATGCCTGGCTAGCAGGAGACACTCCAGAGAGGCACCTTTTCTTCTCATCAGTCAAAAGTTTGCTCTTAAATCTTTGACAAATCACAGACAAATCTTCTCTCCTGCTCCTGTCTCTACTCCCACCCATTCCCACTTGTCTGCCTCTTCCTCTCCCTACGCTGACAGCCTGCAGCCTGCTGAGAGACCAAATCTGTCTCTCCCACTCTCTGCCTTTCTCCCTCTCTGAAAAACAGCCTTCTCCACATAATAGTCAGGGGAAAAAATACAAGTAGTAGATACCATTACAGTAAATCGCTTCTTTCTTCATTCTACTGTGCCTCAGGCATCCGTGGTATTGTTCACATTGGCCTATAAGGTTTTGATCCAGCCATTGTTAACAATAGCCTATGAGGACTTAGTCTATCACAGATTAGCTTCGGAGGGCTTCTGCCATGAAATTAGTTTTTCTTTCTTTCTACTCTGGCCCCTCTGGAATGACAAGGAGGAGGTTTGCACAATTGGAAAAACCTCTTTGAGTCGAAAGAAAGATTTGTCATTTTCATTATGTCATTAACCTTCACACTTTTGATGGCTGAGCTTGAAACACTGACAACAATCTAATGAGTTACCATGTTTATTAGGAGCCCATTAAATCCAAACCATTTTGGCATGTGACCCCAAGAGACTGAAATGCCACTTTGTCACAATTTCTGCATTATGACCAGTTACAGCATAACTAACATTAATTTTTATTGTTTGTTGCTCTATCAAGTAACCTCTATTCTGCAGTTCATTACCTGGGCAATGCAGTACAATATCAGATAATACATTACAATACGTCATGATGATTTACGTTATGATACGATATGTTACAATACGTTATGATATGATACATTACGATACGTTATGATATGATAGGTTGTAATACGATATGTTACAATACATTATGATATGGCACGTTATTATATGTTCCAATATGACACGATAAATGAATACAAAATGATGCAACACAACAGAATACAACACCGTATCCTACCTACACCATACACAACCATACGACAATATACAGTATAGTATGGTGAGATGTGACACCATACAAGGCAGCATTATAAAATGCAATATAGTTTCATATATGACACAGTATAATGTTATATCACATGGTACAATGATATATAGAGCAAGTACATAAAATACAATGGTATGCTGTAACTTGATAAAATATGGTTTGACACAATACATTAAGATGTAACACAATACCAATGTGAAGCAATACGATACGATACAATATGATAGGATATATGTGACAAGCAATGATACAATTTGATAAGATAAGATAAGATGTGATATGAAAAGAGACGTCATTGCCCTTTTGGGGAAAACTCTTTTTAGACTCTTTGATTTCAAGGCCTCAAAAATACAAAAACCGATCAGAAGGATCGAATGCACTTTTGCTGTATTTCCTTTCTTTTATGTTTTTGGTCAATACTCCTGTTTTGACCTTCTCCGACCCCAAAAATCCTCCAAATGAAGTCATCTCTGAAGAAATGTTTGCTTTATGGACTTTAAACTTCTCACAGCTGAAGTCCACAGTGAGTCATAACCCCCCTGATGGAAAGTTAGAAGTATATATCGATCTGTTGTCTTGTGACAACTTTTTGGGGTTGCGTCCCACAGGTGGAGAAAAACTAGACTGAATGTCAATGAGGAGTTCTCTGACGACATTTGACAACAGGGTCCCTTTGGAACCATGTCTTACCATCAAACAAGATTTTTGAATCACTCTTATTGATATTTTCAGCGGTAGTTTGGAGTGGTTGAAAGAGCAGGATCACAATCACAATCTTGAGCACACAGTAGGACATGTCTGCCTCTGAAAGGACATGAAGTAAGACCTCTGTGTGTTTGTGCTGATTACACAAACTAAACTGAATCTCTGAATGGAATATAGACAGTAACTTGCTGTAAATCTGTGAAAATGTTATATTCATTCACATATCCCTTTACTCTCCTTTTTGTCTGCTTATGTCGGCTCATGTCTCTCTTTCTCTCTCTCTCTCACAGGGTTTCCTTGACATTGACCTGACAGACCTGAGAAAAGGAGGAGCAAACATCACCGGTTTCCAGCTTGTCAACAACTCTGAGCCCAGTGTGAGCCGCGTGGTCCAGCAGTGGCTGGAGTTTGACAACAAAGACTCCAAAGTGCCCAAGACTGGACTCAAGGTACTGCTAGTTGTCCTTCATTTCAAACTTTTGTCTATCATTTTCTATCCATAAAGCAGGTTGTGTGTTGCTCCTCTGTCTTGGCTGAAGTGGGTCAAACTGAACCAGGATCGTAGTTTTTATGAATTGCATCCATGGATTTTCTGTGTGAGGTTATGGTAACAACGACAGGGTTTGTTATTTCCCCTGTTAGTTAGTTTGTTTGTGACTGTCAGCAGAATATTGAAAAGATTATAAAGTTTCTATTTCATTCGTTGGGCAGATAAGCCCTGATCCTTTCTGATATCTGCCTTAAAACAGTTATTGATTTGTCGCTGTCACAGCCAGATGAAATAGAGGATCAATTCTAAATCTGAAGGGTCATGAAATTAGCATTTAATTTGAGCAATGGAAATCAAAGCCTCTGGTGTAGAAGCAGAGCTGGAGGATTTGTTCAAGATATTGTTGTTGTTTTTTTGAAAATCATTGAGATGCTTCATTGTTGCTTCAGCCAAGACCGTAATCAGTTTTATTGCTGTGTTTTCTTCTCTCTCCCTGCAGTACACAGGCGCTCTAACATATGATGGGGTGAAAGTCATGTCAACAGCCTTCCAGAATCTGCGGAGACAGAGGATAGATATATCTCGCAGGGGCAACGCTGGAGAATGTCTTGCCAACCCACCAGCACCCTGGGGACAGGGCATAGACATTCAGAGAGCCTTGCAGCAGGTCCGTGTACACGTACATGGCTAATATGTGCACACGCATGCTCGTGAATCCCCACACACACAAACACATGCAAATTCCTGAGTGGCACATCGACTAACCACTGGTGAGCTGGGGCTGGCTGAACAAATTAGGTCTCATTCTGTCGCGTAAAGTTCACATTAAGTCATAGGAGAGCTCTCCAGTATCAAATGTGACATCACGGCTAGTAAACAAACCTGCGGGCAATAACACTCACCCGTGATCATCATGAATCATGACATCAGCAATTGAGTCCAGAAATGTAATATTTGGCCTGGAAACGCAAATGCTGGACTGGCTGACACACAGACACTCACCCATTGAAAACTATCGAGGAAAATACAGACCATATACCTATAGCTATATTTACAATTACACAACTTATGACAACTTAGATAACATGCATTGCAAATGTTTGTGGCTGTATCTAGTAACCTCTTTTCTGCAGTTCATTACCTGGGCAATGCAGTACAATATAGTATAAGACGATACATTATGAAACATTACGATACCTTATGATACGATACGTTATGAAACAATACGATAAAATACCATATGATATGTTATGGATACAAAATTATGCAACATTTGGCCTTGAAATGCAAATGCTGGACTGGTTGACGCACAGACACTCACCCAGGGAAGACTACGTGTATCGAGGAAAATACAGACCTTTTACCTATAGCTATATTTACAATTACATTAAAAGAGGTTTTGGAGACAAAGTTTTCAATTAAAAAGACTATTAAAGATCAAATATGTTATTTACTCGCTGCGTAATACAATTTGAATTAACTACGGAGGTAAATTAATTGTTTGGTATTTGTGAGGGCATATTTATAATTGCATGTTAGAGTGGATGTAAGTGTGTATGCATTTTCAGCCCGAGGCTCTGTCTGCAGAGTGGTTGTGCAGAGGCCTGCGCAGAGTCAATCTAACCATCTGCCTGCGGATAGAGAGGAGATTGAGGCCCCGCTCGCTCAATTAACTCCATCACATGGCCAAGACAAACACACTGCACTGTACACACACATGTACACCGTCTGTCATTCACCCCTATAGGAACCCAGGCTTTAATAAGTGCTGTACAGACTCTATTATGCTTTACATGCATCGCGTGGTAATATGCAAACGAAGAAAACGGACAGTATGTACGTCATGCTGCACAGCAGTCACTATTTACCCATCTGCGAGGAATGTCAGAGACCGTGTGACTTATTTAAGTCTCTGATTCTATTACAGGTCCGTATAGATGGATTAACTGGCCACATCCAGTTCAATGAGAAAGGTCGCAGAACAAACTACACTGTCAGTGTCATGGAGCTTGCCCCTTCTGGACCCAAGAAGGTAAGTCTGCAGCCTGAGTCTCTATTTAAGGTACTCAGTCTTGTTCAAGGAGCATGTTTAAAAACCCTCCCTGATAGCTTATTTTTGTGATAACCTTGTGGCCTATTGTAGGTCCTGACAGCATTCAATAAAAGGTGTGCGTGACAGTTTATCTAACTCCACAGATTTAAACCTAAAAAAAACCATAAAGAGACCACTTAAGGGTATAAAAGTTCTTCAATGAGACACATTTATCAAGAGAAGTACATCTCTGCGTCAGTGAAAGTGAGCAAGTAACCTTTTAGAGCAGCTTTCAAGTGATCACATGATTAATCAGGTATGCTTTGAGCAGGAAAAGACAGATGGAGACGAGCATTAATCCAAGAGCCACCTGCATACTTCTTTATCGAAAGATCTCACAGAACCAAACTGAAACCACATTAGAGATATTAGATACTAGAGATACAGAGATTTTTTTTTTTTTACTGAGTATTCAAGTAACAACATGAGTGAATCAATTTAATAATAATAATAATGCATCAGATTTCATATAGCGCTTTATCAGAGACCCTCAAAGTGCTTTACATTTGATACATCATTCATTCGCTCACACAGTCACACCCTGGTGGTGGTAAACTACCTCAGTAGTCACAGCTGCCCTGGGGCAGACTGACAGAAACGTGGCTGCCATTTTGTGCCCACAGCCTCTCCGACCACCACCACACAACACTCATAATCACACACCAGTGGAGGACACACACTGGGAGCAAGGCGGGTTAAGTGTCTTGCCCAAGGACACAACGGACAGACTTGGGATAGGGGGGAATCGAACCGCCAATCTTCCAGTTATTGGACGACCGCTCTACCTCCTGAGCTACTCCCACCTAGTTTTCCTCACTCTGGTACAGGATGTCTTTCCCAGTCCTCTGATCAATACAGGCCCTGGGTTGTAAACATGTTCTCCTCATCTCAGGTTGGCTACTGGAATGAGGATGAGAAGTATGTAACTACAGCCAGCTTCATGAGAGGCAGCAACGAGACCTACGGCCTTCAGAACCGGACCTACATAGTCACTACTATCCTGGTAAGTCTTAGTGAAACAGGAAGATTAAGGCTTGTGGGGGAGGATGGGGAAGAATAAAACAGAGAAAGGCGAGGTTACAGTTTTCATTTTCTTTCATGATAGAGTTCTGAAAGTCCAGGCCCCTGAGGGAAGTCAGAGATGAAATAGTGTTTCTTTTGGGTGTTATGATACTAAAAGTGTTTCCTTTATGTGGTTTTGATTTTTCCTCTTACTTTCCAAAACCACTAAACTCACCCACAAAAAAGAGACAGAATCTCTGAGGCTGTCCGCTGATACATATTCATAATATTGTGGATAACTGCACCTGGACACCTTTGTCCTGAATTTCTGGATATTCCTGTATTCTTCATTCGGCTGAGACGGCACCATCAGGCTGTTCAAAACAACACACCAGGATGTTTCAAGCGTCTCGGCCTACATAACAAAGGTGGAGCATCAGCACTCACTGAGAGCTTGAAAACAGCGCAGCACAAATTCAATCTGTCCAGCTCATGTGGCTCTCAGGTTACCATGACATTTCCTCAAAAAAGAAGAAAAAAAAGCAACACAGCTGGCAATTTCTGGCTAATAAACAGTAGCGGGTAATAACAATGGCCATACTGTATATCTTTGCAGGCACAGGATGTTCCCAGCGTCTGCATCTTGATGAAAATTTAATATCAGAGAATACTTCCAGTCTGGAAAAGCCTGGAGCCCAGCGCTGATCCTTTTTGTACTGCTGTTATACTTCTCACGTGGGATTTGCTTTTATCTTTGGAAATCTCTGTTCCTGGTAATTCTGTTTGACTTGGAGCAGATATTCAATAGCAAACCGATATAAGGGAAGCCATACAGTGTTGGTGTGAATGAACTCTATTGTAAATTCTGTATGTACTTTCCTATAAAGAGATACACTACAAGCTAAGTGGGGGTGGTACAAGAAGGAACATAGGCATACTCCAGTCTTTGCAGTTCTTTTATAGAGGTAAGCATTTAGTCAAGAACCTTGTAGCATCAATAGGAGACATCGAAACACAACAATGTACTGTGACATAACCAATGTGAATCATCAGACAATGCTGCATTCGTGTCACAATACAGGATGTAAATGTCAGTATCTGAGTCAGGAAAACCTTTTAAAGCAGCCTTTTATTTGTTGTTTGGATATTGACAGTTTAAAAGCAACTGCACAATATGTGCCTGATGTCACCAAAGCAATGTCGAAATGAGACTGGGACTGAAAGCTATAGAGTAAAACGGCCCTGAATGCATTTAGATACCTACAACCAATCAGAGCTGCAAGACTTCGTGCGAGGCTGTATAGTTCGGTAATTGGCTCAAACATCAGATTCATACTGCTTCATGTTCATTATGTTACACAGATGATTTGCATGACATATGTATAATGGGAGCTGCAGTCCATAGTGTCTAACACAGATATGGCACGAATTTAAGACAAAGGCGTACAACAGTGGTGGACATCTCATTTCTCTGTGATACTGTGTACTGATTTTCATGAAATTTGTTTCAGATTATACAATGGTTTATGATTTGCCAGCCTTGGATGGAAATATTTTACTGAGGGAGACCAGATTCACCTATTTGAGCCAAAAAAAAGAGTTAAAACAAAAGGCGTCATTCACCAACTGTTCTTGAGAAAAATCTGTCCTCGAAACCCAGTGGGACAGTTTTGAAGAAGATTCTGACATACACCAAAGTTTTCTCAACAGAGATTTGTTCTGAGCAAAGAAGAGAAAATATGTTAACACTTTAGAGCATAATTACCTGTATTTGATGACATGCCAGGATTTCCCTCTTTTTGTACATTTATTGGAGGACAAATATTAATACACGCTTGCAAGTATGGTCTTCAGCCCCCATAATTTTATGAACTGTGGTACACTAGTTTAAAGGACCACTATTATGTAATCGTGGTATCATTTTAAGCACAATATCAAAATCTATTTTACTTTTGTTTTTTTCTTAAGACAGAACTGGTTACAGTGTAGTAGTATCCCCAAACCCTATCATCACATACTGAACATTTGTCATCTTCTGCTATCATGTAAATGTTTTCCTCCGTAGATGTTCATGGTCGAATGGATTGACATTGAGTCAGATGCGATTGCAATGAAAAAAAAAAAAAAAACTGATAACAAGCCAAGAGGTGTGAAAGAGTGTAATCAGGAGAGACAAGCGCAGTGAGGATGTTGGCTCTGAGTTGCGGCTTGGTCGATCCCCCTCTTGAGCTCAGACACTTTGAAGCTGATGATTCTTCAATGGCTTGTGGAGATGGCGAGGTAGAGGGGCGTGTGACAGCAGCATGAAGGAACTAGAGACGGAAAATAATTGTCTCCAAAAACTAGCAGAGAAGTTACAGGCAAACAATACAGGTGTGGTATGGTCCTATTGGAAAGCTTGCGTCAGCTGATGAGACGGCTGATATGTCATTGATTGCCCAAAGACAGCTAGTAAGTCAGTAAGCATGTGTGAGAGAAAAGGATGAAAATTATCGTCTACTACAACAGTGAAAGCAAGTTGTAGTCTCCCTGAGCTTACGCCAAAGCTTCATTTAACTAACAGAAATTTTCAAACACTATGATCGAGAGCCTCTGCCACTTATAAAACTGATTGACAAAATTAACTTACTACTGTTGTTCCAATTGAAATACCATGTTTTTCTATGTAGTCAGTTGGCAGCCGAACATTTTTAGTGATTTCAAATAAAACATTTGAAAAGTGACTGGTGTTGATGTTAGAGGTAGGCCTCAAAGATCTCAAAAACAGTTCATATTAGTGTTGAAATTTAGGCAAACTATATAAAACAGAACATGACTTCTATTGGCATCTAATTAAAAAAACATATAGAACCTTCGTTTAAACCCAAGGGCTGCAGTTTCCCTAGAGAGCGAACCTAAAATAACTCTGTCTAACATCATCTCCTATCAGTGTCCCCTTTCTTGGCAAGATAAATTGGTTCGCTGTCTCTGAACCTAAGAGAAGAGATAAGGTGTGAACAGCTATTGGGCTGTTGGGTGGCAGTGGAGTTTGAAACTGTCTAACTTTTCAGCTCACTGATTGGTTGCTCGAGAGAGTGTGTTGTGCACTTTCTGCTTCCCCCACAATCCCTGCGGTCTCGGCGTGAGCGGGCTGGGGTTAACGGCAGATCTGGAGGTGTGAAGCAGAACATGTTCAGCAGAGTGGTCGAGCTCGGTATCTCCGCCATGGTAGCTTTACACATAAACTAGGACATGAATGGACTTATGGGATTTAGTTTCACTACACTAAGAGTTTGTCATAAATGAGGGTAGTGTACAAAGTGTGTTTTGTACAGTTTTCGCACTTTTTTTGCACTCACATTCATATGTGCTCTCGGTGTCTCCTCTTGGTTTTTTTGTGCGTCTGCATCATATTATCATGCCTGAGTGGCAGCTGATCTCGGAGGAACTGTTTCGAGGTCAATGAGACTGAGTCCACCGAGACTGGGACCGAGAACTTTCTGTATGCCAAGCCATGTCTCTTTATGCATGCGTGTGCCTGCGTACAAATGTGTGTCTATGCGTGTAAAGGGCACCAAGTATCTTCACGTGTGTGTCTGACTTTATGTGCATACCCTTTCCGAGCACAGCACAGCAGACCATCCTCACTAGCGTCTCCCTGGGGTGCCATTTCTGCAGCGATGGACCTGGGGTTTTCATGTGCAACAATGATCACATTCACCTCCACCACAAAGGGCAGGAGAAACCCGGATAACTGTAACACACAGAGGAGCCCCCTTTCTTCAGACCCCGGTGAAATATGATGGCAGGATTCGCTCGGCTCAGCACAGCATTAGCTAAAAGCAGGCACACATAACAACTTGTGGGAATTGAGATCTGACATGTGGCGCTGGACAATTCGCACAGGGTTCATCAGTTCTCTATATGAAATTCATTTTTTTCCCTGCGATGCTCCATGTGTCATGTCAGCGGTAATTTCTCAAGACACCCAATCAGTACGGGATGTTCAGATGTTGGTTTGTTATAACAAGGGGAGCAGCCCCGCTCTGGAGCGGAGGTCACAGTGGATCATTTGTGTGTGTGTCACACACAGACACACACATGCGCATTAACTCATATGTGCATTGCAATCTCAGATACCCCTTCATCTTCAGATCTGATGTCTTCATTACTTCATTTCTCTTATTAACGCTTCTTTCAAGGTGGAAGCGCTGCTTGAAAGGTTACACTTGAGCACCTTTTGTGTTTTAATTACACACCATGCCTTCATGAACAAGGCCAAATAATACATCATAAGACCACATCATTTTCTCTTCTCCCTAACCTTTCATAGAAACAGTTAGAGTTGAGTTTGGACTGTCTTCCAAAGCTATAAACAAGTGCTAAAAATATACTGTATGGGGTGAATTACACCAAGTCATAAAATGCATCCATAACATTCCTTCCCAAGGTTTGAACTAGTCAAATAAAACTTAACTATATGCTAAAGCTTTATCGTCAGCCATAACTCTGTCTTTGACTTAATTAGCGTTACAAATGGGGTTGTAATGAAAATATCATTTTATGGGCTTTCACATCAGCTCATGTCAAGAAATAATGTCTATCAATGTACATTTTGTTCTCATGATGTGAAGCCAACAAAACCGATGACTGCGGAGATAAAACGATGTTACTCATGGTTGTCCTCCATCCAACAGGAGTCTCCATATGTGATGCTGAAGAAGAACCATGAGCAGCTTGTGGGAAACGACAAGTACGAGGGTTACATCGTGGAGCTGGCTGCAGAGATAGCCAAACATGTTGGCTACCAGTACAAACTGAAGATTGTTTCAGACGGAAAATATGGAGCCAAAGATACTGAATCAAAGATGTGGAATGGCATGGTGGGAGAGCTGGTGTATGGCGTAAGTGGACGTAGTTTTCTGTGGAGTTTTTCTGCCTTTAAAACCTGCTAAATCAAAGCTAACTTTTAGGAGTCTTAAATTGTAAAGTGCCAAAACAATCAACTACTTCAAACTCTGCTCTTTAACTTGTTGCCATGCTGAGGGGCAATTTGCATTTTTCTTTGGTGTTTTGATCTCTGTTTACTGTTAGTATTGATTTTAAAATACTTTATATCCAACCTCTCTCTTTTTTCTATGCAACGCCCATATCCTCCATAGGAGATGTTTACGTTTCTTATGTTAAACTGTATATAAGAAGTTTTTTAAAAAGGCAATCTTTATCTTTACATTGATTCATTGTCTTTGTGTCTGACCCAGCCATGTTTGACTATGTTCCAGTCATGAATAAGTAAGCCTGCTAATAATTCCTGATATCGGTCTCTGGAGTTAATTTAAATCGACAAAAAGGATCTTTCTATCTCATACTTTCATTCACATGCTTGTTTTTTCTGTCTCCTTCAGAAAGCAGATGTGGCAGTGGCCCCCCTGACCATCACTCTGGTCCGTGAAGAAGTGATAGACTTCTCCAAGCCCTTCATGTCCCTGGGTATCTCAATCATGATCAAAAAACCCACCAAATCCAAACCCGGCGTCTTTTCCTTCTTGGACCCGCTGGCTTACGAGATCTGGATGTGCATCGTGTTTGCCTACATCGGCGTAAGCGTTGTCCTGTTCCTTGTCAGCCGCTTTAGCCCGTATGAGTGGCACGCTGAGGACTACGAGGAAGGAGGTGAACCGCAGACACCTACCCAAGCTTCAGCCACCAACGGGGTGCAGCAAGGCCAGACTCAAACGCAGCAGAACACCAACCAGCAGAGTCCGGAGCAGACCAATGAGTTTGGCATCTTTAACTCCCTTTGGTTCTCACTGGGGGCTTTCATGCAGCAGGGCTGTGATATCTCACCACGGTAAGAAACTGAGCCCACTCTTTTTTCTTTTTTTTTTGAGTGATTGTGTTTGCTGGTACACAAGGAGAGGCCAAGCATCACTGACTACACCTACACTTCAGCAGGCACTTCTGCATTTTTGTTTGACTCGGCTGGGCTTTGTTCATTGAGATTTAGCTCTTTGTCCACCACCTGTCACGTAGAGCACAGATACAAGTTTGATGAAGAGCACCAGAGAGAGCTTCTGATGTGATTTTAGAGTGTTGTATCATCTTTACCTTGCTCCAGACACCTCCTGTAGTTCAGAAATTCGTGAACTTTTAGGCTATAATAACTTGTTGGAAGCTCTTTCGTTGTTTTCAAAATGCCATTTTCTAGTCTTTCTCACCATTTGCATATTTATCAATCAATCTGCAGGTAAAGGTAAATATCAAGCCTGTTAGGAAGGATCCTTGTGTGAGCATGGAGTGAAATGTGTTGCCTCCCCCCGAGTGCTCTCATGAGCGATGGGATGAAACCATTCTCCAAAGGTCACCAATTAAAAATCTCATTAAGTGTCTGAAATTAGAGACTCTGAGGTCGACTTTTTGAGCTTTCCAGAGGGACCAGAGGGAGGAGATGGGAAGATAATGTCACTGTTATCACTGTAGGCTCTGAACCAGCAGAGACAGGTTAGGTCAAAGAGAGACGTTCAGCTTTGTGTCTCTTTAAACATGGAGCTACATAGGTTCAGTGGGTCGGTGCGCCTTCGCTTAATGCAGCTAAAGATATGCAGTTTTACTGTGAGGATAAGGAGACTAGTGCTGTTTGAAAAGAATAGTATGCAGGTTTGGGAGAGGAACTGAGAAGCTGCTCATGAAACCATCCTCGTGTGAAGGCGTGCACTCAACCAGAGCGACGTAATGAATTTGGCGGGATGACGAATGTGCTAAATTGTCTTTTTCTTTCATTTTCTGGGAGACAAAGGAGAAGATCAATACAGCTCTCAAGCTGTATGAAAGCTATCAAGCTATGAGATGGTTAACCAAAGTTAGCGATTATATTGTTAGCAATTAGCCCGACTCTCTCGGGGTGAAAAAAAGCTAACAAATGCACAATCAAGACACTAAAACTTAAATGTAAGATTAGTGTATGTCTGATTTTTGAACACATTCAAAATTACAACAGCAAGCATTAAAAAGAACATAAACATGCAAAACAATACCCGGGTCAGTGTTGAGTTCTTGTTACCTGGGTTCAGGTATAAGCCACATAAAACATCATGGAACCATTGCCTGAGTAGCTTTGGCTCCTAACATTGCCATTATTACACTAACAATGCTGTCAGCAGCTCAAACAGGCTATATTGGCATGTCACTGACCTTTCTGGATGCATCTGTGAAGTATGAGCTTGTCCCTGTAGCTTGTCTTGCATGCATTTGGGGTAAATTCCTTGAAAGTAGAACTCATGATGCCCAGACCCTTTTTTTTAGCATCCCGGAGATAACTGTTGCTGAACCAGATGGCATGTGAGTTCACATACAGGTAAACACATACTGTATAGACTGTAAGTGAGGGAATATATATATAGGCAACAAAACAGTCTTAACAAGTCCTCTTCTCTATCTTCCAATTTCTCGGTATTCCACTTCTGTCAATGTCAGAGTACCCCTTTGAAAGTGTCTTTGCTAAAAATATCTGCACTATTTCTTTAATAATTATCTAAAAAACTGAAAGAATCACAGTTAACCTGTTTTTTGGTAGGTTAACTACTCTAAAGAAAGAGACGTCTTGAGGAAAGGGTACAAGTAGCGTCAGTGGAAACTGTTCACATCAACATTAGAGACACGTCTCGAGTATTTAGGACACTGTTTAATGTGTGATGAATTTTTTATGGAACTTTTTGAAATGTAGAGGAGCAAAGAGAAAGATTTCTACACTTCCCTAAAATTGAAGGGTAATCCCGGAAACATCTTGCTCAGTTTGACGTGAGCACAACTATCTGGACACAGGGATGAATTTCAAAAACATGTTTTTGGAAAAGTGATTGAAGGCTGCTTTATTTAAGCTCAACTGTGACCAATACTAGAAGATGTGTTCGGTCGCAAGTCCCTCGGGTTTCAGTGTAATGACTTGTTTTTGTACCTGTGCGACTGAGACACAGCAGCAGAGCTCAGTCAGCTCTCCCTGATTGAGCTCCTGAAGGTCGAAAAAATTACAGCAATGTGCAACACATTTTTATCTTGACTTCCATCTTGTGACATTTAAAAATGCGTTTTCACTTTGCTTTTAGCTTAGACAAATATCAAAAAGGAGAAATCACCTACACCTACAGGTCTGCACCCACAGGCCTGCGTGCTGCAAGGTGCTCAGCTGTGCTTGATGCATGGTACACGATAGGCACTGGATTTCTACTCCCACGAGCCTTCACCTGACATTTACCGTTTTCTGCCTGGAGACTCGGCAGTGTTTCATGCAGGATGAAGCCTATTGTCCCTGTGTTCTTCTCCTCTAGACACAAAATGCATCTGCAATAACTATTGATTTCCTTGTACGCCTTTTGGAGACAGAGAGAGAATGTCACCATGCATCCACACATTGTCCCTTTCCCTTCTTGGTTTCTCTTTCTATGCACGTAGACACACAGAGTCATATTTTATTTTGTGTGTATGCAGCTGTGTCTCAGATACAAGCTTGACCACACACAGCTCCATGCATATTTGTATTTGCATTTGGTTTGCTTGGGGGGAAAGCAATCTCTTCTGATGCAAGACCTCTCACAGACAGTTTAAGAGGACAAAAATGTGTTTTCGTTTTTTTTTTTCCTTGACTGGCGGCACTTTTCTGGATGCCACTTTTAACTGCAAATGAACCAGTTGTAAGTTATTTCATATTTCATCATCAGGTGTAATAATTGCGAGAAGAGTGTTGGCTCGATGTTATTGAACTCCACAGATGTGACATAGACACAAAACAATTGTAGCATATTTTTCACCGGGAGGACTTCAGGATTCTTAACCTACTTAAATGTGCTCACAGACATGTACTTGTACCTTTTATGCTCCAATTTTAAACAGGTGTCACGCAGAACGGTTTTCTTAGTGGTATAATCTTTTAGGACTTGTATTCTCAGAGGACTCCTCCCTTGTCTTACCATGTCCTTTCAAGGTGACTCTTTTGGTCCTCTTCTGTGTCTTCAGTGAGAAACAGTTAAGGAGTGGCAACCTGCCATAATAGGAAACCTCACTTGCTTTAAGGTGTGCAGCGGTCCATGTAGTTGCGATCAGCATGGTGGATTCAACTCAGTGTCATGAAAACCAACACAGTGAATGTTTCACCCCAGTGAATGCTGCCCTGAAGGAAACAACCTCCCCTTGAAGATTTGGGTCACCTACTTGCTCGAGTTAGAACAGTGTGAATACACACACGATGCTGCATGTTGATGTACCTCCTTGAGCGTAACAAGTTCTCCCGTTCATTTTAAAAGGACATGTAATAGTATCATTTGTGGTTTGTCAGATGAAAGCAGTGGTACTCGTCATCTCACGTATTGTGCTGTCAGAGTTTCACATGCACACGGTGTGCTCCGTATCTGTGCTGCTGAGTCTTAGGGGAATGACAAGACGGGGCTTTTGTGAGACCATTTTTGTGTTTGTACGCATGTGAGGCGACAGTCATTCCTTTATAATTCAAGTTAATTAACAACCGCTATTTGTGCACTTTGTTTTATTTATTTATTTTTTTTTTTTCCAGAGCCTCTAGTTGGTATCTTGTTTCTTTCTCAATGTATTTTAATTAGCATCACTACAGCTGAGAACAAACAACATACACATTTTGATTTTGTTAGATCATTAATGATTTATCAACACTGTTGTAATATGCTCCCTCTTGTTCCAAGATCAGTAACTACCATAATATGAGTTCTTATGGACAATACTCCCTTCCTGTTGCGCTATGCTCAGGGTGGGAAACTCGTATCATGAGTATGTATTGTGACAGTGTTCCACGTGGTCAGTCATATAAACCTCAATATTCTGACTAACTGTAAAAAAAAAAAAAAAAGTAAAGACATGAAATTGTTTGTTTGTATCGCTTATTATACTGAGCAAATCCATTGAAGGTAAAATGACTCCTGCAAAAACACCCATGATGACATTTCTGTCCTTATTCAGCTCTTCTCAGAGCTGTACAGTAGACATATTTTTAGAAACTGATAAAGCAAATGTCACAGCATTTAAAAGGGTTCCTATAATCACCACTCATTATGTTTTAACTTCACAACAACTACTGACCTAGAGATGCACTGTTGCCATGGCCTGGATTGCAGGACAGAATGTTGTTTCATATTTTTGAGATGATTTAGGCCCAGTATAGCTCCCAGGCTTTACCATGAAGAATGTATCACCATTATCATAGACCATGACCATTTGACCAATCAGAATCAAGTATTTTATACAGCCTTGTACAGTATACAATTTTTTTTTAACCCTTTGATGCGCAACATGGGTCAAAAAAGACCCGGCTGAGTTTAAATTTTATATATCTTTTCAAAAAATTAATTCCATCAGTCGGTACTCAAGGAATTCCTCAATTAACTTGTTTTTGACGACCCTACATCCTTATGTTAATTTTTCTTTTTTTACTTTTAGAATAAAAACCGTTTTTGTATCACTACCCCTCTAATGCACAACATGGGTCTAAAATGACCCGTATCCATTTTCAATGTTATTTCATGTATGGCTGAGTGTTTCTATGGTTTATCTTTGAAATAAATTAATTTTATCATTTACTATTCCAAGTATGCAGTAAAGATCTTGTTTTAGTTGAGCACAAATAATCATTTTTATTTTTCCTTTCTTACGTTATGAGGAAGCACAGATTTTGTATTTCTACATCAAGTTTACATACATGGGTCAGAAACGACCCACATACAGTGACTGTAGCATTTAGCATGAAAAGACCATCTAATACATGTAAGTATGGTTTTTCAATTGTTCTGACATTATCTTAGAAATTATTTGATGACAATTGTGAAATATAATTGTACATAGATTTGATTTGATTAGGTTTAGGTTACCTTGAGAGTGAGGACATTACATGTTGGAAAGTTACACAGTTACAGGTAAAACAGCTAGCGTTATTTCAGCTAGCTATAATCAGACGCATGTGTATGTGACAAAATGACAAATAAACATGTTGCTGATACAAAATACAAAAGTGTTTGGCCCATAGACTGTATAAAGAATGGACAGCGTCTGCCTCCTTGCTGGGTGAAGCCGAGAACAGCACCCCCTGTTTACAGGCTGCAGTATAGGTCATAAATCCCGCCTCCGCCAGCAAACCTTATGGAGCTGTGGACAAACTTTAGAAATTTATTACACAGAACATAAATTTTTCTCCCCCCTGCTTGTGATGTTGACATGTAGTTACTGTCAGACTGGTTTGTGCCCAAGTCCTCTTTTTTTCTGTGAAGCTCCATTTTTAAAAGTTATTAGGGGGTTCATGTTTGCTATGATTGACACCTGATACAGCCTATGGGCGTTCAGGGATTGCGTAGCTCTCCCAGGGGATATGCTGTTTAAGCCGAGTGTCATCACAGCGACTCTCTTCAACTGTGCGGCCAAATGCGCGCATTGCTACTGTGCAGCGCTGGTTTCAGGAAATGAAGAAAAATCCTGGAAATATCGAGAGCTATTTGGCTTCAAATCTGTATACAGGCAGTAGGTGGAACGAAGTTGTCCATAGTATATACAGTCTATGGATACAGCCTATGGGCGTTCAGGGAATGCGTGGCTCTCCCGGGGTGATACGCTATTTGAGCCGAGCGTCATCACAGCGACTCTCAGCGACTGCGCGGCCGAATGCACGCATCGCAACTGCGCAGCTCTGGTTTCAAAAATGTAGAAAAGTCCCGGAAATACCGAGAGCTTTTTGGCTCCAAATCCGTATACAGGCGGTAGGCGGAACCAAGTTGTCCATAGTATATACAGTCTATGGTTTGGCCCCACTCACTGCTAATTTCATTACTTGAAACAAATTATTATTATAGTGTTAGGTAATTCAATATTAAATCACACTTGGATGAATGGGTCATTTTTGACCCATGTGTGTAAACTTGATGTAATAATATAGAAACTATATTATTTCATAAAGTATGAAAAGAAAAATAGAAATAATGATCAGTGGTGATCAAAAACAAGATATTTAAAGAATACTTGGAATATTCAATCAGAAAATAAACTTATTTCAAAAGATAGAACAAAGAAAAACTCAGCCAGCATGAAATACCATTGGAAATGAATGCGGGTCTTTTTAGACCCATGTTGCGCATTAGAGGGGGTGTGGATATGTTGCGCATCAAAGGGTTAAACATCCGAGAAACAAACGTTTTATGTCTAAATCTGGTTACCTTTCTGAGCAGGTGCCTGTAAACAGCACATCTCTGAGCTTTTAAAAGAAGCAGGTGAGAACAGAATGTTCTGGAGGTGCAGTCAGCTCAGAGGTAGGCAGCTCAAAGTGCTTCATTCTCCATGCTTCCCCTCTAAATCAGAGACAAAAGGCCAAGGAACAACACTGACGATCCACTTTGTCCTTCATTAATCAGTAGGCGTGTTTAATTTCCCTGTCTGCCTGTATCTGTGTGTGTGTGTGTGTGTGTGTGTGTGCCTGTGAATGCATCTATGTGTGTGTCTGTGTGTGTTTAACAGTGTGTGTGCACTCTATAAAAAGCCAGCACTTTTTGCCACTTTCTGCTGCTGAACAGCCTCTCAGCGTCACTCTCACAAGCAGTTGTGTGTACGTGGATGCAGACATGTGCTCATACTGTATTCATACACGCTTGTAGACATGTCCTTATGCATTGGTTTAATACATTAATTTTCACAGTTATAGTCTAGGTGTGTGCGTGTGTGTGTGCGCGCACGCATGTGTATGTGTGTATTTGTCTCCCTGCTCCCGTCACCATTTATTCTCTGCGAGACCTTGTTTACTGTGCTCTTTCTAAATGTCAGTACTGTCAGTCAGGCCCTCCCATAAGCCCCAGTCCGTGCTGTTGGGCTCTACCTGTGTTTATCTCTGCAGACAGGTGGACTCTTAAACGTAAGCCCCCCAAAACCATTCCATCCATCCATGTATCTGTCCATCCGTCCATCCATCCATTTACTTTTACAACAGTTCTTTTTAGGCACTCTTGCCTCTCATCTGCTCATCTTTTTATCCTTTGACTTCCCTGCTCCTTCATGTTGTTGTTGGTCAAGAATTGTCCAAATTATACATTCAATTAATTGAAAGTATGTATCAGCATAATAGGCCTCCTTAAACAATAGGTACCTGAACTATAGTTTTATTATATCTAGGGCTGGGTGATATGGGAAAAAAAGTTTATTACAATATTTATTTTTTTAGTCGATAACGATATATATCACAATATATAAAAAAATCACTTGTCAATCTTAAATGTTCCCTGTTACTCTCAAACGAAATATAACAGTGCTTATTGGTAGCATGTCTTTTGCAATACAATAACCTACTGCATCTGTGAGGTCTTTGTGTCTCTTCAACGTTTTGTCGTAAGGCGTTGAGCTAGAGAAAGCAGACTGAATGGTCGGCTGTTTTGGTTGCACAGGGCTCCTTGCTCCGCTCAGGGTTTATAACTTTTTGCATTGCATGTGTTCTGCCGCGTGGCTCTGCTTCAGGTAGTGAAAAAGATTTGAGTTATTCCCCGACTTTGCGAGAACTTGTACTCGACATAATTTGCATTGCAAACTACCCTGCTTCATGTCCGACCTCAAAAAACCAAAATACCTCCACATCACCAACGTTTTCGTGCCAGTATGTCATCATCTGTGGAGCCTTCATCTGCATTTTTGCCGGAGGTAGCACTTTTCTTTTTTCTTCTCAGTGACAGTGCTGTCAGCTTCACGTGTTAAAGTGCTATGGTTGTGTGTAGTTGCAGCCTGCTACTACACGTGTTTGCTACTTGGTTCTAATTCAGCACATGATTGGTTCAGCACAAAGCGGACCTGGAGCAACTCCCCTTTTCATCGGCTATTCGTATAGTCTACCAAAACATGGCAGAATGCCTACTATTGAAAAGCATATTGACCATGTTTTGTATTAATAAAGAGGGAAATTAATCTCGTGAATACTGTTATCCTTTTATCGCCCAGCCCTAATTATAGCATACGTCATAATAGTTCCATTACAAGGAGGCTTATAGAAACATGTCAGGCAAAACTTGTGGTTTGGATCAAAAGTAAGAACTTCCTAACAGGGTTTCCGATGTCCTGTATAAGGCCCTAAATCACAGTTGTGGTTTTGGGATTTTGGTCTTGAACATGTTGAATAAGGGTTTATCTCATGAAGCACCAGCAAATCATGGGGATAGAAAGCCAATTGGAAAGTCAGTCATACTGTTTGTCGAAGATAAAAAAGACACGGTAAAAACAGGAATGCAAACAGCAGCATATACAATCAGCCTGTGTTGAACTTGTGGATGTTTACTTGGCTCCCACTCACTTTTAAAGCTCACTGGGTGGGAGATCTTGGCAGTTAGAGAACTTGAGTAAAAGGGCGTGGGTTTGTGATGTACCTCCAATGTGTTTGGAGATGTTTATGTCTGCACCTGATGTTAACGTTTGCATGAGTCTAGGTGTGTGCTCACAAAGTTGTGTGTGTGTGTGTGTGTGTGTGTGTGTGTGTGTGTGTGTGTGTGTGTGTGTGTGTGTGTGTGTGTGTGTGTGTGTATGTGTGTGTGTGTCTGATGGCCCCATGGAGTTGTCTCCTCTCCTCAGCGCCCGTGTTGCTCCCATTACATGATTGTAGACTGAAATAAATCAGCTCTGCCACTCACACGCTGCTTGCCACAACTGCAATTTCTCAGCCTGGCGGTCAAAAGCGTTCGATAATGGATGGTATGGATGGTGTGTATGGAGTACAGTGCAGTGGTTACCCAGGGAGAGTCAGTATTTCTCTAATAGCATTTTTTTTGTCACATAGAGATCCTAGCTGTCTATTTTAGATTTCTAATAACAGAAAATGGGGACAAACCATACCAATTATATGAGGAATTCTTGCAATATTAAAGTAGAGCTTGCATTGGTGTTTGCTTTTTAGACATTTTTGATTGATGGGTTATTTTACACTAGTTAGAGTATTGGTTTGTTTAAGTACTTATCTTGGCAGAGGCTCAAAAAATTGGATGTCAGAGGTACATTGAACAAACCGTGAAAGACGTTTTCGAGTTTTTTTTTTTTTTTTTTAAATTTATTGCGGTCTCTTTCAAAATATGAATACAATCAAAAACACTAATGAAACCAGGCCGAAAAGGTATAGGCTGAAGCATAGCTTATTACGCCTACACATTTCAACTCAGTACAGTCAGCGCCAAACTGAGCGCCAAACATTAGGACAAAAGAGAGAAAAAAAAGAAAAACACACACACAAAAAAACCAAGCCAAACAAAACAAAAAGTAAACAGATAAGCCGAAAAAGAAAAACATGAATATACCTTTACATGGACTTATGATGACTATTATATTTCCAAAAGACAATTTACACAAACACAGATACTTAACCATTACAGTTATACTTATTGAGCAACCTATTCGTCAATATTTTCCTAAATAATTTATATGTATAATTTATACATTTATATGTATAAATTATACATTTGTATATATAAATCGTCCCGTTGCAACTACAGAAAGAAAATATGAAAATGCTTTTTATGGGGACGAATCTGCCTCATGTTTCACATTCTCTTTAGCTAGTCAATGTAGAGAAAGAGATAAATTCCAAAATATTAAAATAAATTTTCTCTTAAGACCAGAACGTTTTCTGAAACCCCCTAATAATTTTTTGCATACTTGTGCTTTTCATGTGTTTATATGTATTTTAGGATGCAAACCTAGTTGCACTGCAGGTTTTTTTGCTCCTCCAAACTTTCTTCAAAGCACTTAGTGCTCTGCATATCCCCCCTCTTGTGTCTGTAATGCAGCCAAACACTGCATACAAAGTCAATCAAATCATAAACATAAGTGCTGCTAAATTAGCAGCTAATAAAGTTATCTGACGAGAACCGAGTGTATGTTTCTGATCAAGGAAACTATTGATCTCGCAGAGGGATCAATCGTGTGTCACTTTGTGATGTTGTTGTCGTTTTCATCATTAACAGCAAGAAATCAGATCGTGTTACACACCACTGAGTTACATAATTGTGGTGTTAGTGAGCTGCTGCCAAAGCAGTTGGGGAAGACTTGGGAGGAAGGAATGATTTATTCATGCCAGAGACGGTTCAGTTTAGTTCACAGCAGTGCCTATGTTTTATTTATCTTGAAATTGCATCAAGGCAACTTTTGATCATACATGCATGCACACTCACTAACAGGAGCTAGTGAGGCACACACCAACCCCCAGAGGATCTCACTGGGGTATCACACTTTGTACACAGACAAAGACACCGACCCCTCTGAGGCGGATACTCTGTCAGAGCTGCATTTAAAATCACAGTCGCACAGAGGTGCACATATGTTTCCTGTAGCAGAGTGGGATACACACTTATCAAGCTGTGACAGAATATGAATGTCTTTCCTGCAAACATGAATTAAACACGAAACCCAGAGCCACATGGGAAAATCTACCTTTAAACATCAGCCTCAGTTTGACTGGAAAGATGTGCACCATGATCACAGACCACATAAAAACATTGGCAACATGACAGCTCTGCAAAAGCAAAGCCAAATGTGAATATTATGTTCTTATATAAATATTCTTATCATGCTGATCAATTTCAAAGTGTTCATTTTTGTAAGAAGTAGATTTTAAGTAGGTATTTGATGCTACAAAAGGGTTAGGGGAGATAGGGGTGTTACGTATGCTTAACATTTGGGGTTTACCCCACACCATGAAGGGTTTTCATTAGTAATCAAATCTATCTTTAATTTCTAATATTAAAGAATCCAGAATATGTTGTTTTCTTGTATTTTAGCTTTGAAAAGTCACTCGACAGCGATTTTTTTGAGGAACCATAAGAAGGTACCTGCCCAGGGTGACCAGACAAAGTACCGGTAAAGTAAATAAAGCTCTTATTGAAAATGCAAACGGCTCCTAGCATTTGTCAAGTAGTTGATATTGATGTACTGTAAGTTCCCCCGACAAAGCAAATAGCCAACAGTGGTTTAGGATTTCAGGGTGGATGATTCAAGGAGTGGCCATAGTCGCCCCTGGCAACCCCCCTACCCTGACACTTCCTGTGGTGCCGTGTACCAGATAAGCAGAGTGGGGGAGGAGCAGTAAGAAAATTTGAGACAATTAAGAGTCCTTAAACCTTGTATAACAGGGATTGTCAGCGAAATACCAGCTATACATCAGAGGACTTTGAAAAGATTTGGGAAAGATTCCTGGAAAACTATCAGCTCACGCCTGCTCACATCTAAAGACCAGTGCGTAGAGTTTTTAGTCACAGCCTAGTCTCAGACAAAAAAATTGACAAAAACTGTGAGTCTTGCTTGGTCACTATTTGGGGGGGGACTTATTATTCAGCTGTGTGTTCGCATATGACAACTAAGAGCTTATTAATGCCAATCCTCGGCCCACGTGCCACGCGTTGCAGCCCGTGTGCATCGCATGTACTGATACATACAAAGTCCAAAGTAGCTTGTAAAAAAAAATTCATTTTTGAGGTGTGTCGGCTTGCGATAATACCAAACACATTTAATATCCAACGGAGAGTTCCCTGCGGTTTGATTGGTGTAAAATTTAGGGGGAAAAGTGGCATGTCACTTTTGTGAATTCACCGTTAAGACCCCGCTGTGCAGACTCTGGTCTTTAAAAGACACCACCAGCACAATATGTTGAAGGGGTGTATTTTGGCTTCACTTTTGGACTACAGCAGAAGTTAAAGATTCGTCATCTATCTTTATATTCAGTCATTGGCTGTGATGCTGAAAAGGCTCGTCACTGCTGTGAGAGTGTTAGCCTGTAAACCGGTGGAAGCCCTAATGAGAGCTTTCACTTTGTGTTGGCAATCACATCCCACTATATGGGTGGTTGCCCTTATAGAGAGAGAGACAGAGAGAGGGAGAGGAGGGGGAGTGAGATGACTAAAGTCTCTCTCGGCTCAGCTGTACTGTTTGGAGTGAAGAGAGTGTTACCATGGCAACCGTAAAGGGACAGATTTTTTTTTTCAGCAGAGCACATCAAGTGTTTGTTAGAAACTGCGTGCGAGTGCACGTGTTTATCATCTTTTTTTTTTGCCGTAGATAAAGACTAAATGTGCAATAAGTCAGTGTGCGTGTGTGTTGTTGATATTGATTTTCAGTGAGCAACTGTGATGGATCTGTGTGTTTGGATTCCTGTTTTTCTTGCTGGAGTGACTAAGAGGCTGTGCGTACGTGTGTGGGCGCAGAGCGAGCGCTCTCACAGCTCGCCAGCACCGACTTATCTCAGGTTACAGGCTAAGACTGCATCCTCGATATCATTCAGCAAACCTATATGCACAAGCATGAGGTACAATGATTACAGTCAGCTCTCGATCTGATCAATTCCTCTGCACCAAAACTCGGCTGGATTCTAACTTGTTGTGTTTTCCTACACTGGCATTCACAGCAAATGTATGTTAAATTCAACCTTTTGATTTAGCTTCCTCTTTATGAAACAAGAATTCAGCAATTTCCTACTGTTTTTAACCATAATACTTTTGTCAAAAACAAGGACGAGCTGTATCACCAGCTTTCGGTGCGTTTGCTCCAGGCATGTAACAACATAATCTTTTTTTTTTTTCCAACATGGTAATACTGCCCTTTACCAAAGGAGAGAAAGAGGTGGAGTGAGATGCTTTAATAAATCATATCTTTTTGCTCCCTGCTTTAAGCTTGCATGCTAGCGTGGCCCAGAAGATGAAAGCACTCTGGAAATATCTAATCTAACAACCGTGAGCCTGTCAAAACAAAAGCATGAGCAACCAAGCCAACGGAAAATCAGAAGTAAACCTGGTACTTTTGCAGTAACATCAGCCATAACACATTCTCATCCCCCTGAGCCTCATTTAGTAATATCGAGACAGAGAGAGAAAGAATAAAGTGGTGGGAAGCTACGAGCATTCAGATAAGTGCATTTCCAAAATGTGTCTGCTGTTTTGTGTGGCCAGGTGTGCGCTAAAAGCATTGTGTGCTGCACATTAAATCAATTTGGCGCCTCTGCACGGAGCTCAGTTCAGTTTAGAAGCTGCAGCAGAGGACCGCAATTGCCCTTTAGCGTGTAGTTTCAGAAACCACAGTGACCTATATCCGGGCAGAATAACATAAAAAGGTAATCAGGTTTATAAATACTTTACTCTGGTTAATTATCCCATATGCTCACAGTGTTATGCATGTTTCTAACGGGCGGTTTAGCTCTGAAGATGCTACAGGGAGTCCAGAGCTTGATAAAATTTTTATCAACTTATAACATTTACAAGCAGTTAAGGTACAGTTTAGGAAGAAATAAAAGCAGTCAGTTTGGTTCAATAATGAAGGTTTTATTAACTTAAATTGCATGGAAAATCACTCATTAAAGATTTTTATGCTTTTTACTGATAGGATGATGAAGCAGCTACCAGTGTTATAGCCAAGACATCAAACCCTGAGTCAGAATTGAGTCTTAAACCCCTCTGTGTTCAAGATGAGTCTTCATAATCTGTGCCCAAGTCTGAGTTGTGTCCCCATCTCCTGAGTATTTATGATAAGAGGGACCTTTTCAAACTATTCACTGTCTGAACTTTGGCTAATTGTGTGAAAGTTCTTTGGTATGTAGAAAACATGCTCCATTTTTTAACATGAGATCTTTTTTTCTCTAAAGATTAAAATTAACAATCACGTATGTAACAGGTCTTTGTGTAACAAAGAGTGCATGTATTTTAATGGAACAACAGCAGGAGTAAAAGTAAGCCAGTACGCAGCAGTACGCCATACCAGGAAGACATAAACAGCAGTTTACAGCCGGTACCCAGCGGTATGCAAACTGTCACCCCTGCAATGTATGTAGGCTACATTTGCTTATCTTGTTGTCGCATGTCAGTCTGCACTCTGCATTGTAACCGTAGTAATCCAATAGGACCATGCTGCTTGCGAGTGAGTCGTATTTGCCTCTGCCAACAAACAAACTCCACTTTTGATTGGACGCTGGTTGCCTAGGTGTTGGGGTTCGCCTCCCGTCTTTTGTGGAAGGAGGGAACTTTTAAAGAGACAACTCCTTCAATCTCAATGCAGAAATGATTTTATGTTCAAGAGAACATAAAATGTTGCATCAGAGTCGGCACCTCGTTAAATTTAGGTCTGCTCTTCTTGTACAAAGCCTACGGGTACAGTATCTGCAAGAACCTTATCCTACTTTCACCCCTAAACACCCCTCATCCTTGTTTTGCTGAGGTTGGATCACTGCAGGTCTCTAATAAACTCACAAAAAGTCTACAACTTCAACATCCTGGGCGGTTACCGTCATAGCTTTTATAAAAGTAAAGTCATTAATAGTCCAAGTAACTTTAGCATCTCTTATTCTGTCCTTGGTGCATCCAGGACAGAAGTCTAAGTTTGAGCTTGTTCCTCCCTTCTTCTTGGCAGTTTCTCACTGTGCTGCAAAATCTTTGAAAGCATTGTGGCACCAGACAGCAGATACAGGTGAACACATCTGCAGACGCTTACTCCAAACTGAATAAATCATTATGACCTTGTTCTAAAAAGAAAAAAAAAATCCAAAACAATAAAACAGTCTTTGTGAATAATTTAGTTAAATTCCTGCTAACCATCTTGTGAGAACAGATGCTGTCAGTGCTTGAGTCCAGGTCCAACTCATCAGTGCTTAAGTGCAAGTTGAGTCACAAGTATTTTAAATCAGGATCCAGATCTGGCCTTAGTTTGAATCCTAGGCTCAAGCGCTTCAATGTTTTGTTTTTTTTTCTTCTTTTTCTTTTTTCTTCCGATTTGATGTGTAAGAATATGGTAATTATAAGAATCTGATAATTATGACAGGAACTCAGACTATTTTAACTCAAGAGAGGATAACTAATTTAATATCCCTGAAATTTGGTTGTCATTTGACCAATGAAGACTTTTATTTTGTTAAATTTCTGTTGCTATTCCCATGTTCTAAATCTCCAGAGACACCTAAGTCTGATGGCCTACAAAGCCACTTACACATTTTGTCTCTTTATCCTATCTGTGATCATATTGTATTGATCTCCAAGGTATAGTCTTGATATAAATAATGTTCTGGTGTTATTTTTCTCCCTTCGTAGCTTTGTCATCATTATCACATCTAGTAAGCTGTGTTTCCTGAAGACAGTTCCTGCAATTCACCACGGCAGTGCACCCTAATTAGTCAGCAGATTCTCAGACACCTCACCCTCTGTTATCACACTGTCTATATGAGTGTATACCTCCCTGTCTGTGGGGTTTTTCTTATCCACACATGCCTTTTGCTTGCAGGCTCCACCCTGTTGCTCTCATTTTATCCTTTCTACTGTCTGAGAGAAATCTAGTCAATCCTCACGCAGACATACTGGGAGTGGCTGTGCTAAGCTGGGGCAAAGCACAGCTCTCCTGCTCATTTTTAAGGAAGTAAAAATAAAGAAAGTGTTACAGAAAAGTCCTTATCCGTCCCTGATTTGTCTTAGAATCACACCATAATTAGAGAACATTTTCTTTCCCATTTAAAGCTCTGTAATTCCTAATCCATTGTAATGTGGCCATTACTGGTTCATTTTTTACACTTGCTAAAGTCATTAGTCATTGCTAATTAGCATATCGAAAAGAGGGGGCCAGCCAGGGGAATTCTAATGAGGCTTTAGTGCTACAGCAGATTCTCAGGGAGCTGTGGGTGGAGATCTTTTAACAGAGATCTGGATCGGACACATTGTTCAGACATGGTCCAATTTGTTGAGCTGTCAATCAAAACTGACCACCAAAGACACGTACCTGGAACAGTGTGTTCTGTGCGAGAGAGCATTTATGACTGCTGACACAACGAGATGTATGCAGGCCTTTTGCTAGGTAGGAAAAATACCCAGTTACCTTTATGTAGACATTATCAAATATGATAATGGCCCTGAGTGTTCACTGGTTGTGTCAGACGTACAGTGATAATAATCTCGCTCATTTGTTTCCCCCAGCTCCAACTAGCTGATCCACTAGCTGAGTGTTGCATTTATCAGCAGCAACACCTATTTTCATTAGCAGCTGGTGGGAAGCAAAAGCAAGACTGGTTTTATGGTTCAGGTGTGGTAGATGTCCTAAAATGCAGTTGGCATGTAGCGAGGGAAACTAATCTTGCATTTAAAAAATGTTAACTTAAGGCACCACTGGCGATCTAAGCACGCCAGACCTCAAGTGGATAGTCTGCGTTCGATTCCAGCCTGTGGCTCCTTTCCTGCATGTCTCTCTCCCAATTTCCTGCACTGTCCACTTTCCTATCTGCTGAAAAGAATCAGACATTTGTACTTTAGAGGCAACACATAAATGCGATTGATACACCTGCACATAATTCGCACAGTTTTCTAACATGCAACAGGTTGTTGTATTAGGAGTATTGGAGTTATGAGCAACTTTTCACAAACTATGCAATTAGATGTACATTTGTCCACGTAAGCCTCTGACTACTCTGCATTTAAACTCTACCATGTTCTCAAAGTTTGATGAGACATGATGACGTCAACAGTTGTGTGTGTCTGTGTGTGTGTGTGTGCAAATCCAATCAGTTCAGCTGAGCACTCATTTCTTAAATGTGATTGGTTTTTCACAGTGTTGTGGCACAGGTGAGCAAAAAGGAAGAGCTGTTTTATCATTGTGATGACAGAGAGACCAAAAACAGCCAGAAAAGAAGCAGTAGTGAACGTTTTCTCAAAGTTCTCATTTAGTATCACTATTCTGTAAAAACTATCAGTACCTAGGAGTAGTTGGTAAGTGGTGTAGCACCCATATTACAGCATCAGTGCACCAGTTTTTAGTTGTGGGAATACGACAAATTTCAGTAAAGGCCCACTTTAAGAAACTACCAACTAACAGCTCAACCAAAGAGGATTTGAAGCAGGATTTAAGCAGATTTTTCAGTTATGAATATCATTCTTACAATCATTTTTCAGAATCCATTGAACAATATATTTAATTTCTGTTAAATTCGAGTTTCAGCAGTGAAAGTTGATCTCGACTGTTAAACTATATAAACAATTATCATTGTCATTGAATTTCTTTTTACACAGCTGTATCACATTTCTCCATACATTGTTACTGTCGAGCTGGCAGTTTCGCTGCTCCCATTACCGTTCCACTTCCACTTAATGCAATAAAAGAAGCCGAGTGAATAATTGATTAATCATTGCCTTAACAAGACTATGAAATTACAGAGCTGCTTGGAAGATTTCCTTTTCTGCTATAAGACAGCTTAGTTAATGTTTTACCGCAGCATCAAGGTTGGATGTGGTGCAATAATGTATGAGGAGCGGAAAAGGAGGCTCAAAGGAAATGAGTTCAAAAGGAAACAAACAGAGACAAACAGGTCTGTGTTTGCCAGTGACTCGGCTCAACCAGGGAGGAGGAATGCTGCAGGAGAACCAACACACTCCCACACACACATGTAAACATCTCTCTCTCTCACAAACACACACACACACACAGAGCCACTCTCTTTCTCCTCAGTCACAGTGCAAATGGTGACCCGGTTGTTCTCTTGCACAGACGAAGTCACACTCTCACACATTGTCCTCAGGAAAGAAAAGTACGCCATGTGTATGTGTGTGTGTGTGTACGTGTGTGTATGATTGTGTGCATGCATACTTAAAAGCATCAGTGTCAGTGCCAAGGTGTAGGCCATTGTTGTCTTGGCCCAAAACCAGCCCCTGTCAGCCCCCCAGCAAAAGAAAAGACAGGCGAGCAGCACAGTGGAGACGCGGGGTGAACGGAGAAGAAAGGAAAAGAGGAGGAGAGAGAGAAAAAGAGGGGGAGCGAAAAAGAGGACGACTGAAGGATTAGACAGCTGTTTACTGCCATCTCTAGAGGCCAGCAGCAGTCAAAGCTAAGGAGTTTGTCAGCCTCTGGTGGTACCATCCAGTTTACTTTTCATCTCTGCCATTTCCCCCTTCCACTTTCGCCCTCTCCCTCTCACATGTGTTACTGTTTGAACTGCACATATTTCACTTTTTTCTCTTTTCTCCTGACCTTTTGGTATGTCTGTTTGTCTAAAAGTTACTATATTTTTTTCCAAAACATAAACAAGATGACTGAGAAGCACCTAAGTCATGATTTTAACAAAAATATCAAGGAAGTTTAAATTAAATCTGAGCAAGGACTCCATTTACCAGCTTAAGTTGCTCCATTTAAGTATGCAGTAATTCATAGACCTTCACTGATTTTACCAGCTCATGAAATGATCAGAGGCATCCAGCGTTGAAAAATCTCAAAGGATTTCCAGTTAACACCCTTGTATTTTTGTCACTCTAAGTCAAGAAATGGATTAGGGTTGACATTCATGAGAGAAAACAAGAATTGCATCAATCAACAAACGTGTGGCCTGCCTGAGAGAGCTGAAGCAGTTATGCTGTTTTCTCCAATCTATGCTGGGTTGCAAAAATTTGTTGGACTCCCCAAGCGAACAAACAAAAAGATGAGTGATAACTACAGATGATGAAACTGTAAAAAAAAATGGTACAAATCCAAAGAAACTTCAGAGTCAGAAAGCATTTAATGAATTCTTTGAAATTGCCTCATCTATCCAAAAACAAATCTCAATGAGATTTCTGCTCTTTCTCTTTTGTGACAATGTGTTATTGATATGATATCTACGTGAAGCTCATCTTTTGTGGTTGACTATTTGGATCTTTTTCCTGTTGCAGAGTAAATGGAAAAATATTTTTAACTGATTATGTTTGTTGTTTTTTTCTTTTCATTCAGTCTTGTAAGAAATTCCTGGTTCTTGCAGCTGAAATGTGACAGTTTGCTGCTGCATTTATCCAGACAGTCATACCTCTGGTGTACTATGCTCACAGACCAAGTTTGACATCAATAAGGGGATACTTTTCAAGGTTTTGGACCATGAGTTGGGCAAAATAAGCACCTCAGACTTTAGTTATAGTCAACCTGTTCACTTCCATGATTTTATGGATGTTTACTTGCAGCATTATTTTAAGATTTACCTAAAAAAACAATATTTTAATTTGGATTAACTGCATATTCTGCTGAGCACGGCTACCATTAGCAGAGCTAGTACCTTCAACCGTCAGTCAACCATTCTTGTTAACCTCCACATGCTCGTGCTAGTTATGCAGTATGATTACACACCATTACAACCTGATGAATCCAGTTTTTATCTCTCAAATAATGCCAAACTGATGGGGCTATGAGGTGCCATCTGTATTCTGTTCTGATTTTACATCCAGATCATAATAATACACTATAGCACTATGGCCACTATCAACTAGGATGACAGCCTCGTCGGTGGCTTTGCTATGGCTTAGATATAACATGACGGGTATTTCAGATCTACTATAGTAGTAACTTGTTAGGTTGACCAGTGTTCCTGACATTGACTGGTCAAGCATTGTCGTAAAGATCCTTATTTTTTTTGTTCTTTTGTAAGTGATTTCACAGAAGTTGATTCAAAGACTTACTGTACATATGCAACTTTTCTGTCTCTCTTGGTAATATTTGGAATACCTTTGAATGTGTTGCAGCTCCAAAAAATTACCTTTACAGAAAAAAAAAACCTGATGCTATCCACCAATAAAAATGAGTAATGTCTACGTTAGCTACTGTTATAATGTTTCTCAAAGCTTGTGAACCTTCATAAGAGTTCATTATTGATGGGAGAGATAAAAATTCAGCTCACTATAGCCTTTGTTTACAAGAATAATCTCCCCTGTTTTCTAGTGTTTTCATCTTGAAGTGGAAGAAAAACAATGTGACTTTACAACCAAAAGATCAATTACAAGCAAATTGTGGAGAATTATCTAATCAAAGTGCAAGTGAAGGACAAGCTGAGAGGGGAAATGTTTCTAGGTACAGTGGAATTAGAAAGAGATTCACGTTGGGTGTGTTTTGCAACCTTGTCCTCAGAGGATAGTAGAGCCTGATGATAGGTTGAGGACAAGTCTTATAATTTTCTCAAAGCAAGCTATGCAGGAAAGCCACAAAACATGCCAACATCTGTGTATCTCATAATTGTCAATCTTTGCCAAAGTTTAGTATGGATGCCCAAGATTGTATTGTGTGTGCACTAAAACAGGTCTCCTTTAACCACTTTTGATCCTTCTATTTAGTCATTTGATCACTTTTTAACATAAAAGTAATCCATCGGACATTGTGTACATATTTTATGTTGTTTAAGGTGTATGATCTTTGTTTACAGTATACTGTCAATCAACAGAAATTACTGACCTTTAGGAGGAGAATCAATGCTACATTCTGATTGGTTGGTTTACACTTCAACGATATTTCCACGAATATGATTTCAGAATTCTTTGTCCGTATGAATCTGACCAGGAGACAGTTGGAGGATCAGTCTGTCTACAGCTGTACAACAGAGCTGAAATGGAGAATTTTGACACGACCACTTACTGAATGTGAATGTGCTGCAGAACTAAATCTGCACTAAGGTGTTTAGAAAAATGTGTTGCTTTTCTCACAGCACAGAAAAAGCTTAACCTTACCCACACCTTTTTGAACAGTGATGAGTGAACAAGTGGGAGAACGCATACACACATACTCACACAAACACAAACACACCCTGCAGACATCTCCGCACTCTCCCCACTGATTTTCAAAAGCTCGACATCCCAGTCTGTGTTTGCTCTCCTCTCACTCCCCAGCTGCTCTTTCATCATCCACCCGTCATCTGGAAAGCATCTTAAATGATTATGTTTTAGCGTCTCCCCCCTATTTCCCCCCATTCTTAATCTCGCCTTCATGTTCATGCTTCATTTGGCTTGACGGCACAAAGGTGAATCATGAAAGCCTTTTTTGTTTCAGATTTATGTCATTTTCATTGCGTAAGCTCTGCCGCTCTGTGCCTGCGCGCTTGTCGGGGACGCGATATGTAACGCAACATGATTTCTGCTGTTGCTGCTCAAGCTGGCTTCTCTCGAGGTGAAGAGACAGAAAAAGAGAGAGAGTGGCAGGGATTTGACTCTGGGGATTTTGCTCACAAATCATCCAGTGTGTGTGTGTGTATGTGTGTTTTTTATTTTAAATTGCAATTAGAGTAGTCGCTAAGTGTTCTCCTCTGCTTATTAATCCCCAACAATTAATGTGCGTGGTTCCATGAAACATATTGGCAACTTTCTTAAAGTGAGATTAATTTGGCAGGCAGGAAGCTGAGTGGGCCTTTGTGGAGCTGGTTATCTTTCCTCAGCACATTGGACTAAGCTCTTCAAGCCTGGTGGAACGCAGAGAAGAGTGTGTGAGTGCAGAGGGAGTGTGATGCAATGTAGGTCATTTGGATGGTGTGAACATCTAAAGGTTTTCAGATATCTGTTCATGATTGTGTGAAAAAAAAAGTGATAATGCTATTTATTTTCCAGCTCTAATACATTATTGTTAAATTGATTCAGTTTGCAGAGATGAAAAGATGAACTCAGCTACTGTAAAATAAAGATATGCACGAGCAGGTAAACTGACTGTGACTCTTACATAACCTCTTTTTGACCGAACTGAGTGTTTTCCCTCTTTTTTTAGCTCCTTGTCTGGCCGAATTGTCGGAGGCGTCTGGTGGTTCTTCACCCTCATCATCATCTCGTCCTATACTGCCAACCTGGCTGCCTTCCTGACGGTGGAGAGGATGGTGTCTCCTATAGAGAGTGCAGAGGATTTGGCCAAGCAGACAGAGATTGCCTATGGGACACTGGATGCTGGTTCCACCAAAGAATTCTTCAGGGTGAGAAAACAAGATTTTTAACAAGTAGATACTCAATTTTTAATGTGGCGTGCTCACATGGAAAAACAAGACTCTGGTACCAAAACAACAAGATGAGAATAAAAACATAAAATAATAATAATTAATAAAATAATGATTAACCAACTAACTACAGTGAAGGGTAAACAGGTGGTTACCTGGATGAGAAGAGTCCTTGATTATTTTGGGGCTCACTGCAGATATCAGCTCTGTATTTGTCTGTAAGAGAGGGAAGCAGTGTCTTTATAGTATCCTGTGCTGATTTATTCACCACCAGCCACGATGCAGCCTGTGAGTCATGATGCTCTCTACCAAACATCTATAGAGGGACAGCAACCGTTTCTAGGACAGGTTCACCTTCCTTAAGGACCTTCAAAAGTTCAGTTGCTGCTGCCTTTTCACAAGATATGTGGGAATTATTGTTCATTAGGGGTCCTGAGAGATGTGTGTCCTCTCCACCATGTCTCCTTCGGTGGAAGGAGGAGCAGGTTCCTCCTAGCCTGGCTGGGCCATCCAGTTGCGTGAATCACTTGCCGTTCCTTCCCACAACAGTCTGGACTTCGGCCAATTGGGAGCCCTGAAAGTGGGCGGGAGTACTTTCCTTGATAGACAGACTACTGTAACCAATCACCGTAACCAAACATCTGACGTCATCAAGTAAAGTTTTGGTAATATTTCAATGTGTGCGAGCAAACAATGTCTTTTACGTCTTCTTCTGCGGATATAAACAATTTCTGCCAACTTTGCAAAGTCAACTGCAAAATTTATGGAGTTCTGAATGAACAGCGCTTTGAAAAGTCCCGCAGCATGTGTTAGACGTCACCATCTACACATGGACCAATCAGGGGCTGCCTTTCACTGTTGTCCGGGGAACAGTGGAAACAAAGTCACTGATTGGCCCGGTTATTTTCTGATTTCTAATACACGCTCCTAATTGGCTGAAGTCCAGACTGTTGTGGGAAGGAACGGCAAGTGATTCATGCAACTGGATGGCCCAGCCAGGCTAGGTCCCTCCCTCCTCCACCTGAAGTCAATGACCGACTCTTTGGTTTTCGGTACCAGGTTGCTTTTAGAGCGCCACATAACAGGACTTGATCCCTGTAGGCCAACTTGTTTTTATCCTGGATCAGATATGATTGCCATCTTGATGATGTAATCACAAGATCACAACAGCATACCTTTTATGTGAAAGGACAAGATGGTGGATTGAGCAAGAAGCAGCATGCAGGAAAGGGGCTGAATGCCAGAGTTGTACCCTTTACATTTTCTTTATTTTTTGCCTACTACATGGCGCTCCTTATTAATCATTAAGATTTAAATCCAAAGTGCAAAAAGTGGTCAAACAGACTCACGACTACAATGTGTACAAAAAGGCAGCAGACAATGCGACGGATAACTTAACAGTGAGGAGTTTTAACAGTTCAGAGAGCCACGTGTAAACAAGCGGTCACCCAGACATCTCTGCTGTTCTCGTCCTGCAATAACTCTTCTTCTACAACCTTGGATGTCTCTGTTTATCCTGATATGTCTTTGTGCTCCTGAGTTTGCAACGTATAAATCCTCTAACCTCTGCCTGCTCCATCACGTTGACTTCTCAAGAATACTTCATGCTGTATTCTCTCATCAACTCACCTCGACAGTCCTTGAAAATTTATGAGGGTGTCTAGCAAGAAGAATTACATCAGAAGTTCGGGTGAAAATTCCAGCATTTTACTATCACACATAAAAGCTAACCTTTTAACTTTCGGGCAGTTTTTAGGAGTTTGTGCATGTATGAATACAGTCAATTCTCTAATGAATCAAACGTCATTGTGGACACTATTTACATGAAAATTACTTAAAATGCATGTAACTGCACTGTGAATACATTTAACAGAAATGTTGAGAAATGAAAGGAGCAAAATTAAAAACTAAATGTAAAAATTATGTAAAATGACAGCACATGTACCTACGGAAACCAATGGATGAGCACAAACTAAACACAGACTCGGATAACAGGATACAGTCTGTGTGTCCAGTTGATCCACTAGCCCTGGAAAAGGTGCATAAAGAAAGTTCAGGGTTGTATTAGTTCACAAAGTTGGTTGGATGTTAGGGTTTAGGGTTGGATGTTATTTGTATTTGCACTGTTGTACCTCACACCTTTGGGGCTCTGCTTGCTTTTGATAGCTGGTGTATAATTGCTTTGGAAAGAGGTGTGGACTTTGCTAACCTTTTGTTGTGTGTGTTAGTGATGGGCTTATAACTGTTGTATTTGTTAGGACGACCCCTGTGACTGGCATCCTGGCATCACCCCAGCAACCACCACAAGTTTGAGGACTGTAACTTTTATGAAACACCTCTGACACCATCTGTTTTATGTCTACTCTGTACCTCTTGTTTGCATTTCTCGCCCGCAGAGGTCAAAGATCGCTGTGTTTGAGAAGATGTGGTCCTACATGAAGGCGGCAGATCCGTCTGTTTTCGTCAAGACCACAGATGAGGGCGTGATGCGGGTCAGGAAGTCCAAGGGGAAGTATGCCTACCTGCTGGAGTCCACCATGAATGAGTACATAGAGCAGAGGAAACCCTGCGACACAATGAAGGTGGGGGGGAACCTGGACTCTAAAGGTTATGGCATCGCCACACCCAAGGGCTCCCCTCTCAGGTAAACCCTTGCTACTGCAACTTGGCTGGATAAAAGCCCCTTGGTGCTTTTATCCAAGTCAGTGCAGGAGCTTCTTAAATCACCTGCTGATGTGTCCATTAAGCTTACAGAATTTATTTGATTGATAATCTTTACTTGTTTTGATATTTTATAGATTTAATTTCATTTATGCACCTTTTTTTTATCACATTAACACATCAGTGTTTGTGCTTTTGTTCTACATGATTTCAATCCATTTCAATCAGACATTTACACAACACTTGACAGCAAGACTTCATTGAACTTCCTTCTTTGTTTTGTTCAAAGTTTCCTCTTTTGACTGAGACATTTATCTCTTGACCGTGCCCCATTATCACCACTTGAGGCTATCTTTGTTTCATGTCTGGAGATATATATACATAGAGAGCCCATTGAAAGCCAGCGTGTGAGCACTAGTCGAAGTGTGAAGTAGAAATATGTGATTTTTTTGTCCTCTTTAAGCCACACTTGTCTCCCTGCCGGCTGCTAATTACATTCTGAACCTGCTTTATGAACATTTGCTGAGGCTGGTCTCAGGCGGTCCGCTTTGAAACTGAAGCAGCCCCTCAAACACACAGAAACACTCCTGCAGAATGTAAATGCACCTCTCAGAGACCAACAGAGCCCTTGGAGTAGGGTTACAGCTTAAAAGGAGCACATCCCATATGGCTACTTTTCCACTTCCACCAGGGCTCACACCTTGAATGTGTAATTAGCAGAGCTGCATTCCTATTTGCCACATTCGATGTGATAACTGATGAAATGAGCGATAATTCATGCTGGTTGTACTTTTCGACTGTTGATGTCCAAGAGCAGCAGCTGTCACTTCACATCACATTAACACCTTAAACCAACTTCCCATTCATATTTGTCATGCACCGACAGAGACAGAGAGAGAGCGCAGGAGCTGGTGGCATCTGAAGCTTTTAATCTATCTCTAATAGGCCTCATTCATTTTAATGAAAGGAGCCATATGGGGAGATTTCATTCAAAGTCGCTGAGGATTCATCCGGGGTTCCACCTTGGTTGACAGCCAAAGGTCAGAACACACTGGCTGGAAATGTTGAACACATGTATCTCTGAGGCTCCCTTCAATGTATAAATCAATTTCCATTCAGCCACTCAGTGCTGTTTTTGCAGCACAACAAGTGGTCAAATTAATCTGCTCCAAAGTCATGCTGGAAATTTGGTCTAAACCTACAACCATGTATTCAGATATCAGTGATAAACAGCTGAGGATGTCTCCTTTATCGCTCTCTCTCTCTGTGTTGATTACTGACTGAGTGATGTATGTTATTCTCAAGTTGCAATTCACAGATGTCTGATACCAACTTTCATTAAAAGATAACAAATATTCACGACCAGGAAAACAGTATTAACTAGTGAATGTTGAGTAATGCAGACATTTCTCCAGTTAAAGTAGAAATGGACTAACTGTGCTGCTCATCTGGAATCAGACGTCAGTGAATATTGAATGTATTCAAAGAGGTGATTTCAATCATACCTGCGGTGAACTGACTCCTGAATCAAAAGCGACTTCTTTCTCCCTCTTTTGAAGGATGACTGCTCAGCTAACAACAGATGTGCTCTGAACATCAAAAAATAGATCCTTGCTGCACTTGCTCTTTTTATACTGACAGTCAAAGGGACTTTTTATATCCCTGTACCATCTCGCCTTCAATATGAATGGCACAGAGGCGTAATGGTGAGGCCAAGTTGTGTCATCATCATGTACCCATCAGAGGTAGTAACAGAGGTGTTTGGAGGTGAGGATACAGAGGGTTACTGTGAGTTAGCGAAGCAGGCGGGGCGCAACAGCTCTGCGTGTGTACATGGCTGAGCGTGTGTGTTTACCTCTCATGCTTCTGTAATGCCATAATGGTGTGTGAAATCACTCTCTGGGATATAGGTGTGAGGTTGCCCGAGTTTTATCGTGGCACTGTTGCCACATATGGAGAGGGCGTGTAAAGTCATTTATACGTAGACTTACTAAGGCCTTAGCCTGAAATGTAAGGACAGACAACAGTAGCCACCTACACACTGAAATCAATCGCAGTGCAATATTGATGCCCCACTGTATGATCAAGGATTACATTAGTTGGCACCACGTGTCACACACAGCCCTGTCCCGGTTTGCTGGGTTGAATGGTATCCATTGCCATTCTTCTCCTCACAATCCATATGGTACTACCTCTGGTGGCTCAGAGTCCAAAATGGACTTCTGCCCACGTGTGATACTTATTGCAGACAAGGCGCAGCAAGGGCAGAAGTATCCTACCTCTCTGTAAGAGCCAAATGTCAGTCCACCAATTTGGCCCAGTCTGACTTTTTTCAATGATTGTTTGATTGCCATGACATTTGTGGTCATTAGAGAGTCCTGCTGATTGGGTCACTCTGCCATCTTTCATCCAGCAGTTGTAGCTAATTAGTTAATGATAGCATGCTGGCACGCTAAATTATGATTACAAACATGGCTGGGATTACTCTCGCCTCACATCAGCATGTGAGCGTTGTCTTTTTGATTTTAGCTCTAAGGAGCAAATCATTGCTGTAGATGCAAACTCTTTGTGTTCTTTAATCTGAACTCAATGCAGAGACACTGAAACTTTTATCTTTCGTTGAGTAAAATGAACATTTTAAAGGAGATTTGTAGAGGTACCTACTTTGGTAAGAAGAAATATTCAGCTAGTTATTATGCAATACTTCAAAAACCAATCAAATGTCTGTGACATCTTCAGATCCAAAAAGGAAAGCTCGCCACTGTCTTTCAACAGCAGGAGCTTAATACTTTAAAGTCATCTCACGTCAAACAAGGCACAGAGCAGAAATTATTTAATTTGATTTAAAACTAAATCTGCTTTTTAAGATCTGTATTTGGACCAAACCCCTATGTGCACTGGTTTAGACAGATTAAAACATGTCTGACATTGCAGGTATGATTAAAAGCAACACTTTGCAATGTACAAAATAAAAGGTGGTAACTCTTTTTCTACAGGATGTACCGACGGTCTTTAAAATGCACTGATCGCTCTATGAAATGTTCTGTATGTTCTCTGTTTTTTCCTCTTTTTCTGTGTGAATTCCTGCCACCCCCACGTCTGCCTGACTGTTACTCCCATCTTCCAAACATACACCACAGCACAGTAGCCTCTTTGGCATTTGTTCACTCTACACCCCCCCTGACCAAACTAACCAGCTACCTGCTGCTCTGCAGACCATCCATGTCAACACTCTATGATTTCTTTCAATTTCTGTGAAAGAATTCAGAGGTTTTACCAGCTCTAAAAATACAAGTGTTTCCTGTAGCTGTGTTGTGCCTTTAAGATCAGGGATAAAGACTCGTCTGTGTCTGCTAGAGAGAAAGGCAGAATATCTCTAAACTAAATTGCAGCAGTAGAAGAATAGACGCTGACTTGATGTGTGAGACAATCTAAGAAAGGCTGTAATCTGTACTTCTTTTATGCAAATTCTTGTGACAAATTCTGCCTTTCTGTGATTTGTAAGTGCAGAGAGTCTTTGTCCAAGACCAGTCAGCTATAGGAAATACACACACTCTCTCGACAGAGGGAGAGAGACGGAGCAAACCCTATAGAGATTGATGTAGACTGATGCTTTAAACTCTGTCTGAAGTTGGTCGCAAGGTTTCCTTTCAGCCAGATTAGAAAATAAAGTTGTTTTGGAAATGAAAGTGACAGTTCAAACATCCAGAACCTTATTTTGCATTTGTCTCTGCTGATATAAATTAATCAACGCAGGCCTCTATTCACCAGGATGCAGTTATGGTTTGAATGTTGATAGGTTATTTACCATAGCAATCTGTATGCTGCTGCCACTGAAAGGAAATTACCATCTGTAGACAGACTTCCACATCACAAACATCTCCATTTATAGAGTTTGCTCTGCCTCCTCTCTGAGGCTGCTGCCTGGTAAAACCTGACTCTGCCACTGTATAGGCAACCCTGCATCACAGCCCCTCCTAGATTAACACATGACTAACATGTGCACCTAGAGTCGACACTCCTGCTTCACTTCAGTAGTCTCATGCAGGAGTTTCTAACCTGAATTCACTTTATTTCATAATCACCACCACCATGTGACCAGTCTCTTTTTATCTGTCTCATGGAGTGTCACCTAATGGTTATCATTTCATATTATTTTCAAGAAACCCAGTAAACCTGGCAGTGTTAAAACTGAACGAGCAGGGCCTCTTGGACAAATTGAAAAACAAGTGGTGGTACGACAAGGGAGAATGCGGCAGCGGGGGCGGGGACTCCAAGGTCAGAGCCAGTTTGATAAACCCTGCGGGTAACCCACCACCACTGGGAGTGGGGGTGTGTTGGGACGAGGGTAACCGGCAGGCTCACACTGCACAACCACTCTGGCAACACTTAATCTCTCTGCGGTGAGGCTGAGAGCAAAGAAAAAGTGCAAGCAAAGTGGGATGAGGCTGTTTGTTTGGCCTGCAGCGGCTGAATTTGAAAACTGGATAGGAACATTTTTGCTACCTCCTCTTCTTCATAAAAAAGTAGCGCAATTATGATTTAATATCGATCAATGGGAAGTAATTAAACAAGCTGAGTCCCTCGCGCTCAATGATATTTGAAGATGCATCCATTTAGTAGCTTTGGGATTTGTTCAGTTTCAGCTGTTACCTTTGGCAATTTACTTTTGACAACAGATTTAATTGAGACATTTGTGTTGCATAAGAGAGGATAAGCAGTGTGCCGGTTACCCAAAGTGATATAGTAATACACATCTACTGCTATAGAAAGTAAGCTAAAAAGCTAGATGGAGTATTAATGTCTATCACTTTGACTCTGATGCTTCTAATGATGTTTATACTATTTATTTGTGCGTGCGTGTATGTGTGTGTATGTGCTGTGTGTGCAATTAGTGGAATTTCAAATAACATATGTATGTAACTGCTACTCTGTGTCTCTGAATTAATAACATAAAATAACATGGTATAATATGTTATTTATGTTATTTCCTTATGGTTGGAAGAATCCCAGTAAACCTAGCGGTGTTGAAACTCAATGAGCAAGCCGTCTTAGACAAACTGAAAAACAAATGGTGGTACGATAAAGGGGAGTGTGGCAACACGGACTCCGGAAGAAAGGTTAGTCTTCAACTTTAAACGTGTCACCTCACAGCACTTCCCAGCACAACCCTGTCCTGATCCCAGACCAGCCCCAAATCCAGCCCTAAGCCTCTATAATACATTAAACAGTAACCCCCATGTGGCTCTAGCTGTATGAGTGTATTGGCCTGAACATAAGACAACTGCTCAGCTTTGAGACACATGTTTTCTCTGTGAAGTCTTTCAATGATAAGAAAGGCAGATGGCAGTAAAGGCAACGGGTTCATATATTTCTGGCCTAATTTTACATCTGATCAGAGGAAATACTTCAGGAATTTCTGTGAGATGTTAAAAAGTAACAAAACAGTTCAGAAATGTTATTTACATTTGTTTTTTTGGCTAATTTTAAGCAAATGCATGATAAGAGCAATTATGTTACTAGGTGGTTTTTTTCTTTTTCAGAAATGTAGGAAAATTGTACATTTATATATCCTCTTTAACCCTCTTCCAGGCAAGCCATGTTAAAAATACCTCAGCTTTAGCATTAAAGGAATAGTACCTTGTTTTTTGAAGTGAGGTTATATAAGGGACTGTTATATAAGAGGCGTTTGTCAAGACTAAGAAAGGAGTCCTCCAAGAATGAGTTGCAACTGCTTATAGCACCAGAAACGGTGCATTATTTGCTGTATCACTGTCCAACTCACAAAGTGTACTGCTCTGACAATAGTCACACATTAAAAAAATGCCTGCGCCTGGTTCCGCAGGTTTATGCAGTTTACTCCTGTACTGCGTCTGTTTGTGGAGATGAGCTGTCAGCATCTCCACTCTTGTTGTGCAGAACCGCACTGTGCACATTAATCCTTACAGAGCTCAATTCTCTCTTGCCAGTTCATTGAGGAGATGATTCATGATATATGTGGCACTAATTTCACACCATATCTAATCATGATACAAATGACCCTATCTGTAGCAGTATATAGTCTAGCTACTGTGCCAGTAATCTAGGCAGTTTTATCAATAAGAAAAAGAAGCCATGCTGACTGGCACCTCCTGGGGGTTATACACTTGATATTGACAAGTACAAGGTCAGCGGTTGGCCTAGCAGTTTAGGCAACCACCCCATGAATAGAGGTTGTGATCCTTGCCACAGCAATCAGTGATTTGACTCCTGGCCACAACTCTTTACTGCATGTCTTCCCAGTTCTCTACACTCCATATTTTATCTCTTTTTTTCAGCTGTCCTATCTAATGAAAGTAAACATGTTCAAACAAATAACTATCAACAAGTACTTCATTCAACACCGCCTCAAGAGCACCAAATCGACCCTTTAACATAAATCAGCTAATAACTGTAAAGGGTCAAAGTTGGCATTATGTAACTTTACTTATCAGCAGTGGCTGATTATTGTGAGAGCACCTCACTTTTCCACAAGAAACAGTGTCTTATATTCAGGCCAGTACTCTGATGGCAGTCTAGTGTCTATTTGTCCCCACTGATGAGCTTGTGTTGTGAAAGATTTGATGTTCATTACCAGCGTGTAAATAAATATTGTGCGGTGGATTAGCTCAACTTGTTACAGTGGTTTGTTACACACACAGGGACTACAGTTACAAACTAGGAGGCATAAATCCTTGGCAAATAAATGGCCCGAACATCCAAACACACACATGCACACACACTAAGAGGGTACACGCAGATCAAGAGCGATGATAACCTTGAGTTTGTACTGTAATATGAATCACTCCACAGCAGTTGTAGGAGTACAAAGTTGCTCCCCGACCAAACAGAACAAAAAAAGCAACACAGCTGAAAACAAGGGAGACAGATGGTCACATTTGGATTTTGAATATTGCTTAACTCTTTGAACATGTTGAGACATTACATTTGCATTCTGGCTCTATCATAATTCAGTCTCAACTCCTACCCGTTAGAGTTTTCATGTACGGATGCAAACCTTCTCAATCTGCTACATTGACCCAAGTCTAGTCTGCACAACTGTGCTGGTGTGAATTTGCACTTACAACTTTAACACTCTCTGAGAAAGTGAATTCACCCTGACAGAAAAGCCTTCACTCTTTGGTTGTACATATTTGAAATGTCAGCTGGTTGTCTGATCCTGTCACCACACATCAAAGAAATTGTCCTTTCCCGCACTGGTACTTTGAAACTTGAGTGCCGGAGTGTCAAACCATGTGCTATGAAGGACTTGTAGAAGAGACAAATATTGCTTAAGTGCCCTTAGCTGAAACATACAAAGCTGTAGTGCAATATACACTGATTGGTTCATGTAGAGCGCCTCTGTAGTGCTGTCACGTGACCCTAGTTTTTATAAACTTGTATAACTATCATTACAAACACTCGTAAATTACCATAATGCTTTATAACAATAAGCATAACACATTATTAGCACTTTATCATGACTTACAAGGTCATGTATTATGTAATGTGTGCTTATAATCACAAAGCCTAATGATAACTAATGATTGTTTAAAATGATAGTTATACAAGTTTATAAGCAAATTATATCATATTATAAATATATGTATTATATTATCTATGTGGGCATTGTCTGCGAGTTGTTAACAGTTATAACACATTATAATACCTGACCTTGTAAGTCATGATAAAATGCTTTATTATGCGTTATGATTATTGCTATAAAGCATTATAATCAGTGATGAGTGTTTATAACTATAGTTATATAGTGCTATAACGTGATTATAACCCATTATACATATATTTATAATGGGTTATAGAGATAGGCGTCAAATATAGTGTTACCGAAAAATAATTTTCACTTTTTCACTGTAAGACTATCCCAACTGCGCAATTTTGTATGCTAACTATGACGTTCATGCCAGTAGCTGTGAACACTTTGCTAAGTCCAAAACATGCAAGAAGCCAACCTGGCACTGTCCTGAACCCATAAAGCTCATCATTGACAATACCTCAGTTTCTCGCACCAGCTTTGAGTCAGTTAAAAGAATAATGTTAAACTTTGTAAGCTGTAAAATAATAAGCCGTGTTTCCGGTTGTTATATTAACAAAAGCTAAGTACTTAGCATTGGCCTGGTGTTATGTTATCCATCTTCCTTTTCTTAATCTTGGCAGAGGTGTAAACTGTTTGAGCAGCGCTTAGATTCTCTTAATTAGCACAGATGTCACTTGTCACCCTGAATCTTTGGGTGCTGGTTGATGGACAATGATTTAGTCAGGTAGAGAAACAGGTGATGAAAACAGAACAAATTAAACTTACAATCCTCCAAAGCCGTACTGTTTGACACACCCTGTACACAAGACATTATTTCCATAACCTATTGCTATGAAACGACTGGACAGACTGTGTTAACACATTAATAGGAACTAAATATGCTGAAACTAAAATTTGCCCTTTGACTAAAAATTGTTTATTTGATGAACTATATGAATTAAAACCTGCTGTAAGTGACTTTAGGTCAGTGGGGATGATAAACTGGGCTAAATGTAACATCAAATGCAAGTAAACCTGAACACATTCATAACAGAGATATAGCAGTCCATTAATCTGACGTTGAGCTCTTTAAGTGATTCAAAGGGATTCCCCAACAGATCAACTTAAAATAACATCCTCATCAGACTATTTGTGCCACGAGAGCTTTTAGTTTGACTGACTCAAGTTGAAGTGATTCAGTTTTGCTGCAGAATAGTGGAAAAATAGGCACCACTGTGATAAAGATTAATGACCTATAATAGGGATCAATGTCAAGCTAAATACTTGTATGTGCTGTTGCTGCATGAATGCATGCGCTGTGTTGTGTTTATGCACTTTACCTGACTCTCTCTTATTTATAAAATGTAATTTTCTTAAGAATGTGTGAGTTTTTAAAATATTTATGTTTGAAAGGTCAATATAGGAATCGTTGTAAATGTTTTGAATCACATAAAGAAGTTATAAATTTTTTAGATTAGTTTATTTTCCAATACCTGGGAGCTGTCTTGATGTAGTCAACACAGTCAGGCTCTTTTTGATGCAGTGTTAGATTGTATTAATTTAATTAAGCATGAACAGTACACTGACAGTCAGTGGAATTTAATTTCAAAATGCTTAGTAGGACCATGTCCAGGATGAGTATAAAAAAAAAAGGAATAACATGAAATGTTGCATTAATGTTGCCTCTATTTATTCAGAGCAGCAGTGCAGGAGTGTGATTTATGAAATTGAATTACAACTTGATAGAGGCCTGTGACCAAACAGCAGCCTGCATAAATCACTGGGAGCTAATTTTTATCTTGCGGACATTCTTCCGTGTTTTCAATTAAAAAGCATGATCACTGTGTGTTATCAGGACGCTGTTAGATAATGTCTTATTTACAACAGCGTCCTCATTTTCTCTGCTCCTGCAGCAATGGAAAATGAGTCAAGCAGTCTACGTAAAACTGAAATAATTCCAATGCAATTAATATGCAATAGTAGATTTTATTATTGGCTTTTCCAACCACCCACTGTACTTGCTGGTTTGTGAGATGCCCTGGTTTATAGCCAGTCTGGCACACTAGGTGTACTAAATGATATTTATGTTGTATTTTTTTATTAATGGATTTGGTAAAATGTGCCAAAAGTTGGAAGATTTTTTTTTTATATGAGAGCCTTTTATTTACATTAAGCAATGTTTTGTTTTTTTACAACTACATTTCCCACCACCTACTGACTGTTTTGCAGCCAAAGATAAACACTTATCTAAAGCATATGTTTAATAGATTTAATTGTATTAGGAGTGATAAAAACAACACACTATGCTGAGTTTAGTATTTGTATGTTCAACACTTGTCAACTATTTTGACCTTACTTGGGTTCCATAGCATTGACAGTGCTTTCATACCTTTCTAATGGTTTAAAATCTGGCTTTTGTCTTCTGAAAAGGAAGTTAAGAATTAGCTCTAAAGTTATCAAGCTAACTGAATACGCTAGCATTGTGAGACAGTCTTCTAAAATACATTTTAGTTATTTTTTTTTATTTTCTTACTTTACAGGGGTTGTGTCTCTGTCTGTCTCTGTCTCTGTCTGTAATCAGACAGGCTTAGATGTAAACTGTGTGTATAAGAATGAAAGTGTGTGTATTTACTCTTAGATATGAATCGGATTAAAAGTGTGTGTGAGTACTTTAGTTTTTTTAGTTTGAATACTCGTCTATTGTGTGTGTATGTCTTCAGTTTGTGGTCTTATGTATCACGAGAGATGTTGACACCGCTTTCACTTGCGACCACTCACCCATGCCCTCCCTCTTCCTCCCTCCAGGACAAGACGAGTGCTTTGAGCCTCAGCAACGTGGCGGGAGTCTTCTACATCCTGATTGGTGGCCTGGGCCTGGCCATGCTGGTGGCGCTGGTGGAGTTCTGCTACAAGTCCCGGACCGAGTCGCGCCGAATGAAGGTGTCCACCGCGCGAGCTGCTGCCGCCTCAGCTGCTCAGGCCTTTCACTGCTCAGCCTTAGACAGTGGTGCTAGCGCCCCCTACACAGAGCTGCAGAGCTACGGCCTGTACGCCAACAACACTGTTAAGATATAAGGGCAGAGCACAGCCATGGGGTAGGAAACGCTGCGATCGATAATAATGATGATGATGATGATGACATCCGCCTACTCACCCCCGTCGCCCATCGTGATCACAGTAGGGCCACTCACGGCTTCCACTGCAGTGCAAACGCTCTCCTGTACCTCTCTCTACCTCTGCAGCTCACGTCTTTACGTCACTGACCTCCTGCAGTGTTGTTGATCACTTGATTTGAAAATTGCCCTCATGCCTGTTTGGAAATCTTCCTCATACATTACACAATCACATTAGCAGATTTATTAGCAATGCAATTATCAAACCTCTGTCAGCCATGCAGGGTTAGCATAGAGTACTTTTCATTAGTGCCTTTAGAGATCATTGTGAAAGAGTTTTATCTTTTTTGTTTACTCCACATTTGGTTGTTTCATTGTAGAATTCATCCAGCTCAGCAGCTAAGCAAACATTATGCATTTAGCCTTAAAAAATCTCCCCCAGTCTTTCAGCTAAATCCAATTACCACACTCATAGCACTAATCTGATTCACAAAGTAAAAGAAACTTGACATCGCAGCACAGGTATGAAGGCAATTTAAATCACAGTGGTACATCTATCTACTTCTGTCGCTCTGAGCAAACCTCTCCCTGCTCCTTCTTCTCTGTTTGCTAAACTGTCTCGCAAATGCAGGGCCCATTGTGGTGAACATCCTTTATATGTATACCATAAGGCAGGCCTGTTGCGGCTCACATGTGTTCCATCACTGCTTTAACCTAGACTAGTCCTAACACAAACTGTTGTTTATTCACATATCTAACAGCAAAGACTTGCTGCTTGTAATACTTCCCGGCGAGATGTGAACTCTCTCCTCCGACAGCAGCAACATGGTAGCAGTTAGTCATCTGCTGTGTGGATCAATTTTCTACAAACAACCTTTGATTCATTCTTCAGAAACATCAAAGCCCCTCGCTGAGATACTCATGCAAACTGCAAAGAAAAAAAGCAAAGGAGGGCCAAGACGAGGACTGATCTCCTCCACTGATCTCTTGTGTTTTAATCAGCTGTCGAAGAAACACCTGATCGGTATGCTGATGAGATTGGCGAGGAGCCTATTAGTCCGGCAGTGTCTTTCTGCTGTTTGCCTTGAAAGAAACAACAACTCAGATCCAATTAGTTGCCAGAAAAATTCTCCAATACCCGCGCAGATCTCACATGTTGCTTCAGATCATACACTGGCTTTGCCCAATTTAATCAGCTATAGAAGACGGGAGTGTAGGCAGATACCGAGGATACACATGCTCATGCACACACACACTCGTGCGTCACACATCATTAGTCCGCCTTCGGTCCCAGTGGTTCTTATTGCGCTAGTCTGGAGAATGAAGCTATTAAACCAATGAGTGAAGCCTGAGCTCCAGTCTTACTGCCCACACTTCGCTCAGCTCCTCCTGTTACAAATTAGGACATTGATGCACATCGGCCAGAAGTACGGTTTACCACCCCCAAGTATCACTCAGGCCCAGATAGAGAGGGTGAAAACCAGCACCCTGTGACTCTTAATGGCTCATTCTGCTTCTGAATATCTTGGTGTGCCAGCACTATATTTGGATACAGAGGGAAAAATAAATTTAAAAAACAGCTGCTTTTGCACATATATTCATGTGATATAGAGCACAGAAAAGGAAAATCTTTTGCATACTTTGCAATGTTTTTTCCTTTTCATAATGTCGATTAATCCTGTGTGCTAATAGTTCTGATTCTTGCAGAGAGATCCCTCTGATTTGATATAGCCATAATGCATGCAAGTCTAAAATCAGGTGTGCAGACTGACAGTTTGTTTTATCTGTCCATCAGCAATCCATCAACGACGCCATGCACTGCTCCACCCTGACCCGGATGAGTGGCAACGGAAATGGCGGAGAGAACGGACGAATCCTCACCCACGACTTCCCCAAGACCGTTCAGACACTGCCCTGCATGAGCCACACCGCCAGCATGGGACTGGGAGCTTCCGGCATGTGATCATCACGTGACTGTGCTGGCGGCGAGGAATCGGCAGGGTGGGGCAGGAAAAAAAGAGCACAATGACTCTGATGACCCCACAAATCATGGCTGTCTGGTTTGACCCATCTTTCATCCTGGCTGTTGAGGCGCCCGACTTGAACAAGACTTAACTTACTGCCAAAATGCACTCTTGAATTGCTTCTTACAAACTACAAACAGAGACTCGCGACATTTTTTAAATAAATGGATGTTTAAAAAAGAGATATTGAAAAAAGAAGGGAAATGTGCTGCAATAAAGAAGCCGTCACCTGGGCGTGTTTTTGAATTTTTTACGGTGTTCATTTGTGTGGAAAAAAAACAAACTCTTCTTCAGTGTGACGCCTGCGCTGTGCCATTTCAACAGAGCTGTTGACATTAGTCTGCGTGTGCAATATCTTCACCTCCACTGCTGACTTTGTACTACCTAGATGCTTCTGACGGCCGAAGGAACGTGTCTTTGCACCGGTGTGGCAGAGGAGGATCAATACTCGCGACCGCTATGATGATTTGATATTGTTTTGGGACACTCCCACTCTCTTTCACTCCGCCATCTACACGCCATTTTCAAAGGACGACTTGCTCTGTGTAGCATAGCCAGTTTTTAAGACACTGCACATGGTTTATACTGTCGTCATAGTGCAGAGAGCTTTGTCAGAAGTGGTTTGATTTGATTTTTCCTCGGCTAAAGGCTGTTTGAATCTGTGATTGAACAGGCTACAACAAATCATGCATTGCTGCTACACCTCATCTAACACATCATGCCTTGTCTTTGTGCCATATGACCATTCTCACACACACAGACACACATATACACACTTTACACTATTTGGTAATTTGGTTAGGCGCATCAGTTTGAGGGCAGAATCAGAAATGCTCATGTAATCCTGTTTGACAAAGGCTACAGATTACACACTGACACATTATGTACAGTACTGAGTGACCTTACACTGTATCCTACTGTTGTGACATTCATAGCATATCCATTTATATACTAGGGCGTCTGTTTGCAGCACATGCTTCAGAGCAAAGACAACAAACTCAGATATAATCTAGAGGAAAAAAAATCGAGATCTTTTGTTAGAGCTGCTGCTGCTTCCTGCCCTCCCTCCTGTGCTGTATTTCCAGCTGTTTCAATGTAAGAACAGCTATTTACTCTCAGTTCAGTGAGAGTGACAGATCCCCTGCAGATCATGTGTGGCCTATAAAAGGAAAGTTGGCCTCCTCACACCATTGCTAGCTCACTGGGAGGGAAGGAAGGAAGGGGAAGACTTGGTGTGACTGACAGATTCACAACCACCAATTTTTCCATGTTTAGTGACAGTCAAGGTTATGCTGGTCCCTGCGCCGCTCAGCTGGAGACTTCTCCTTTTCAGATCATGATGTCCAGGAATAAGGAGTCAGAGTGGCAGGCCCTAGATGGAAGAGAGTAGAGATGACAGGAGACAAACAGGCATGGTGACCTTGAAGTAGAATCCCACCCTGAAACATCTCAAAACTCAGCTGCTAATGAGTCTTGTGCAGTCCAGATAAAAGCAGTCCTGCTGATTTTGGGGGGTACTGGAGTCTTGATTGATAACACATTAACTTGTTGTGGATAGAAATACATAACATGCATTTTTTAATGTGTAATATGAGATTTAAATTATTCCCAATTTCATATTTCTGCTGTAAACATACAGATAGAGTTGAAAAACATCAATATATGATTAAGTCAAAAGATGGCTATCTTCATATTGGAAATGCTGACCACATTTCTCCATCAATACAACTAACTACAACCTTATCCAGAGGCTGACAAAAAGGTGGATCAGTAGCCTTAGCCTTATAACCTGTCAATCAAATTAGGACCTAAATGTGATTAAATATACATGACTCTTTGCCCTCAAAATGTCTCCCTGTCAACTTATCAAGTAAGTGAGACTTTTTTGTATTGAAGTTTGACTCTGTCTAAAAAATGAGAATTTTTAAATGGACTCTGAGGGATTTTCTTAGCTTTTGGAGCCAGCCCTAAGTGGACACTGAAGGGACTGCTGTTTTTGCACATCAGCATTGGCTTCAAAATTTAAAGCTAGGTTTTGGCGTGAACTTATAACAGGAAGTCACCTGAATTTAAATCAAGTTAAAATTTAAGCTTCCATGAGGAACTTCCAGGTCATGTCATGTGTTGCCCGCAGTGGACCAATTCCAATTTCTGATCTCTTTGCTGATTTTTTATTTATTTATTTTTTTCCATTTGTAAGTAAAGTTTTCTGATTGCAAGAACTGATCCTGGCGCATTTTGATAGTCAAAAATCTCACCCAAGACTAGATAATGGCTTTTTCAGCAGTGTGGTATTGATCGCCTACCTGATGGCAGCTTTCAAAGGCATTAAAAGTCGCTATGTGGGAATAATAAATCTTGTCCCCGCTGTATTGCTTTTGTTGCTTCGGTTATGAAGTGTTTCATAACCCGCTAAAAACTCCTCACAGGAGCTTCAAAGTGAGCAGAAGACTCGAAGTCATTCATCACAGCAGTCTATGTCTATGTGAAATGCACAGAGCATAAACGTTATTATCATACACGGTTCGTATCTGTGAGTCAAAGGGTGTGATTTTACTTCAAGGTGGCTGGAAGGTTGTTGCTTGAAAAAAGGGGTTTCCTTTGCTGCTGGAGGCCGGAGGTTGTTTTTAGATTATGTACGGCAAACTCTCTCTGACCTCCCATTTCACAGCAGAGGCCAAGTTTGAACAAAGGCAGCACTCCTCCTCTGCCTCCACAGCCAGCCATGTATTATTCTGTCACCTCCTCTGAGTTTCTGCTTTAAAAAATATGGAACCAAATCAAGAGGATGACCTTTTTGTTTCTCTACGCGGTCATATAACTGGAAAATGGTCAGTCAGAGTTTACTGAAAACATACATATCTCCACCTATTATGTATATAAAAGGCTTTTCTCTCCTCCCCAAGTGAAAATGTTCGTTCTCCCCATTGAGCCTCAGTGTACCTGGATTAGTTACCTGCTGCGTGAGTACTGTTCCTTTACTTCCCTCATCTCTGCGTTTTCTTTTGCTGATGTTGTATGACGTAGGACACAGCACAGCACTCTTCAGTGGAGGCTTTACCTTCAGACAGATGTTTTATATGCCATTACAGATTTGTACAAAAAAATATTAAAAAAGACACTCAATGTTTGTAATATACAGGGGAGTTTGGGTTCCATGAAAGTGTTATACACTTTAACGAGTGTAAAAAAAAAACAATAAAAAAAAAAGACACACTGGTGTTTAATAATCCGTAGATGCTAATGTTGTTTTTGACTTTATTTTGTTTTATTTTGTTGGAATTTCAAAAAGGATTTTCCTGTTGGTGTTTTTTTTTTTTTCTTTTTTAGTGCTTAAAGTTTAACAACATTTGAATATTTCTTTGTTGTTTCCCTTTTTCATGGTATTTTATTACTGGAATCTAATCACCAGAAACATCTCCATGTTTTTTTTATTTAATTTTTTTTTAACTATCAAAGGGGTGTCACTGAGTTTTAAACTAAAATATTGTTCTATAAATGGTTTTTAAGTTTAAAAATGTTAAAGAGTATAACTATAAGGAGTCAGACTTTTGGGAAATAAACTTTTTTTTCTAACCAAAGTGTCCTGGAAGGAAGTCATCATGCTTTTGTAACGGAATAAAGAAATAAACTATGAATATTTGTTTGGTGTTTTTTCCACGGGAGTCATATATCTTTCGCTTCCTGCCTCAGGTGAATTGGAGATGAGTTTAGGTTTTATGAGCGCAGAAGAATAAAGCAAACTGCCTCGGCCACAAAGAGACACAGTGATCCAAAAAATAATCTTAGACAGTTTCTCTTCCATGAAAAAGGAGAAGCATCTGTAAGACCTTTGGGGTAATTAAAAAGCCAACTTGTAACAATTTAATGGTCCTCGTCAGGGTTATAAAAATGTATCAGCGAACAGTTGTTGTTAATCCATGTAGTTTGACTGAGCTAGCATCTTGTACTGGTTTAGGCCTTAATGATGTTGGATGAGCAGAGGACATGTTGCATTTCTACACGCTCACCATGTATTTTCATTATGTATTGGCTTTTTACTCATGAGAAAACCAACACAGAGAGCAGGCGAGAACAAGTGTTTAGCAGTAAGTGAAGGAGCATTTCAACCAAAACTAGGGTGACCATATGTCCTATTTTACCCAGACATGTCCTCTCATTGGGGGGCTAACCAGGCTGTCCGGGTGTGTCCGGGGAAGTTTATAAGATCCTTCAAATGTCTGCGGTTTTGTACTTAAGTTTCGATTTTGTGTCACATGGACTTACTGAGTTAGAAGCGCGTAAAAGATTCCTGATCCAAACCGGAAAACTCTCAAAATTAACTTTGTGCGACTCCATGACTCCACCCCTGCGTAGTCGTGTCCTCTTTTTGAGAAGTCAGAATATGGTCACCCTAACCAAAACCACATGTATTTATACACGATAGAGCCGCCAAACACTGACAATATAATTCTTGCAGGTTAATCTTCTCCTTTTTTTTTTTTTTTTTCATATCTTTAATCGCATTTTTTTCCACTATACAACTTACTTCTCAAAAGTTTTTTTGAAGGCGTGCTACTGTCAGGCAAGAGACAAGGTTACTTGAAGGGATTTAACTTCAACCTGCACTGACTGAAACCTGCAGACCAAACAGCTGATCGCTGCGCCAGTAGTGGGAGAGCATGTTTATGTGTCCACAAATACCAAGAAAATTAAAATGGCTTTCTACAGGCAGAGTGCTGAAAAATCCCAAAAAAGATAAGTGCTTGGGTTGAGGTCTCACACAATTACTTAAATAACCTTCTGGTGATCTCTAACAACTACAGCCCTACTTAAAAAATACTGAAATATCCCTCTGAAGCCAAACGAGTACGCAACAGAGTGAATCTAACAGAGTGGGTTTAAGAGTTGAATGTGAAGCTTTTTCTTTATTCTTACACATGATATACCTCAGATATAGCTTTTTTTTCACAGATTTTCTTTTTTGTCCCAGATTTACTGATTGCTGTTGGCAGCCAATGATAAAGTCGCCTGCCATAACAAAAAACACACCAAGAATATATTGCAAACCTTAGGTTTTGTATTTATTTGGACAAAAAATAAATAAAAAATTGCTTGCTCTCTTACAAAATCAACACAGGCTGTGTAATATAGGTCTATGAAATTCCTTCAGACAAGTCATTTAAATCAATTATTATGCAAGTGTTCACTTTATAATGAAGTGATGTTTGGTGTCTAGGCACTGTACTTATTACACTGTACGAGGAACAGCAAGCTCAGCACAGCAGGGACTGAGGAGTGACGATAATAAGCTCCCCTTCAGGAGAATGTAAATTCAGAGCCAAAAGGTGGATACTGGGGTGTGTGAAAGGCAATATAACCAGCAGTGATGGTGGTAACAAGTGTTAGCAGACGTGAGCTTTCAGGCAAGAGGGTATCACAGTATGCATGAAAAAGAATGATGACTACACCTTGGTATGAATTAATTAGTCATATGATCGTTTTCAGAGACATGCATGGCCTGAACCAGCTGAAGCAGCGATGCAGTGACGGCAACCAGTGACAAATTCGTACAATATACTGTCGATGAAACAGGGGGGTACAGAGCCTTTCCATTTGCAGCGGCTTATATAGAAGAATGCCATTTTGAGACTCGTCAAAACCCAATTTCTGCAAAGTTAATCCAATCATCTCCACTCAGTTATTACTCCAAACACAAACTGACTGTGACATGTCAGCTGGAGGTGGTAGACAAATCCCCGGTCTACCTATTTGCATTATTGCGCTCGATGCAAAGTTAGTGAGTTGTTATATAATGGTTTATTGTTTTCTTCTCTTGTACAACACATATTTATTTTATACAAATTCCATCTTTGTGCATAGGGGCTGAGTCAAAAATAACTTTCATTACCTGGTAGCCACGTTTTCATGCACCAGTCGTTTCTCACATTATTGTTCAACGGTGGAAAAATAATTATTATGATGAAGATGCAAATATAGAATGTGTCATTGTCTGCTGTGGTGCTTATTGTGTAGGTCTGTGTTATAGTGCGTGCGTGTGTGTGTATGTGTGTGTGTTACACAGAGATAGCAGGGTGTCATGCTGTGTCACACCCCCATGATTAGTGACATCAACTACCGGAGAGGCCCCCACTCTTTCTCACTCTGACAGCCAGAGGCCTACTGTATAATTAACATCGCTCTTCTCTGTCACTCTTTTTCTTTTCCTTTCCAGAGATGCGTCAACCAGAGTTATTCTCTCTTTTTTATGACTTCTCACCCAATTCTCAGGGTTCCAGTTTTCATATGTGACTCCCAGAAACTTGTCATACACTCAAATGTGGTTTCTTGCATCACATACTGTACTTATATAATACAAGGCACATACAGCTGTACTCTTGCTGCTTCTTGCTATGTCTATAGGTCAGGTGTCTGACTGTACTTGTGAAAGTCTTCGACTGCTCTGGACTTCACAAGCTCACACCTTAAATGAAATTCTCGTCTTGAGAATAGTATTAAGTTGCTATGTTTTGTGAGTCGAGTGATCAGCTCCAATCTAAAATTAAATCTGTATGTGTCAACTGTCCTGTCTAATGAGGCACTGTAATTAACATCTTCAAATTTAGGATGTCCTCAAAGGCAGTATAAAACACTGATGTCGTCTCAGGGATGTCAACGGTTGGTTTATAAAAAGCCTTAATATTGAGTACAGAGATGGCTGTCACCATATTGAAGATGCGCACTCCAGCCCATAGACTGTATAAACTATGGACAACTTGGTTCCGCCTTCTGCCAGTATACAGATTTTAAGCCGAAAAGCTCTTGGTAATTGCACGTTTTCTGTCCATTTCCTAAAACCAACATTGTGCAGTAGCGTTGTACACACTCCACCACTTGCGCAGTAGCATTGTGCGCATTCATCGAGAGAGTCGCCGAGTCGCTGTGATGATGCTGGTCTCAAACAGCGTATCCCCCGGGTGAGCTACACAATCCTTGTCCGCCCATAGGCTGTACCAGGTGTCAATCATAGAAAACATGAACCCCTCAATAACTTTTAAAAGTGGAGCTTTACAGAAAAAAAGAAGACTTGAGCACAAACCAGTCTTAAAAAACTATATGTCAACATCGCAAGCAGGGGGGAAAAAAGTTTATATTCTGTGTAATAAATTTCCAAAGTTTGTCCACAGCTCCATAAGGATGGCTGGCAGAGGCGGGATTTATGACCTATACTGCAGCCCGTCACCGGAGGGTGCTGTTCTCGGAGTGGCTTCACCCAGCAAGGAGGCAGACGGTGTCTATATACAGTCTGCTGTCCAACCAAAGTCCAGTCCAACTAGAAACTGAGAGGTGACGTTGTGGTTATGGCCTTATCAATCAATCAATCAATCAATCAATCAATTAATCTCAAGATGCTTTACGAAAAAAGGCTGGACTAGACGATAATATTTACAGAGACCCAACATCATGACGAGATAAGACTGAGTCCACGAGTGTAAGACTTCGCAGCAAGAAAAAACTTCCTTCAGCAGGAGAGCTTGACTCTTGTAAGACAGTCATCTGCTGAGACTGTGTAAGGGTTTAAAGAGGGGATAGAGGGAGATAATGAAACAAGTATGTGTTACAGGAACAGCATGTTAATGAGAACAGACTGATCCTTGTTGGATTAGTGAAATATTTTGTTAACAGGTCACAGAATAACAGTAAGTAAAGTTTATTTAATATAGCACATTTCACAGAGCAAAGTCACAAAGTGCTTCTCTAAGTAGCAATAGTTAAAAACAAAGACAAAAAATAAACACAAAACAATTCAAAATAACAATGGATGAAAAACACAATACATCAGGCAACAGTTACAGCAGAAAATAGCAGTAATAGCACTTGAAATGTTGACGTTAAGCTAAATAATGGAAGTTAATATTAGAACAATAAAGCAGAAAGAGTCAAAAAGTTCTACACTAACATCAGCTTTGTACTTGTAATAAAAATGCTTGTTAGACTGGTGCAAATAGATTAACATCAACTATCTAACAGAAAGGTCCACAGCAGCAGGATGTCTGCAGCAGTAATCCAGAGAGAACTACAGGATGAGGGAGCGCAGGAAGTCCTAAAAAACTGTAGTTTGTGATTTTAATGGGACATGATGATTCAAAGTAATACCACACAACAAGATATCACCTGGCAAACCACCACAGTGAGCCCACCTGTCTGTCAAATCAGCCTCATATTCAGCACATTCACAATTTGTGGACACTCAAGGAACAGCAGGTTTTGGACTTCAGCATTGGCGTCACTAAAATGGATTTTTAACACATGATGTTTCTGCTTTGAAATACTTAAAAACATGCAATGTCTCCTGGAGTAAAATAAATAGAGATGCCCTTTAAAGCATAATAATGTTGTTTTTCTTCCCAGACCCCCCCTGCAGATGTGCTGATTATGACAAAGACAGAGAAGTACTATCTTGTGGTGAGAGAAATGTTAGAGAGGAAACTGAAAATCAACAAAGAAAGATGGAAAGGGGAGAAAAGTACAAATAGAGATCTTTTTTTTCCAGTCTGGAGAGTCATTGGAAGTGAATGTTGGCTAATTGTGTCCAGGTGCAGATTCCTCACACCGTCTGTCTCTCAGAGAACTGACGATGAGCAGAAGCATCATACCTACACAAATCACAAAAGGACACACACACTCTCAAATACTCACACTGATCCACATTTTCACAGATGCTCTAATAGGGACGGTTGATAAGCAGCAGGGCTACTTTCCAGGAAACCTGAACAAACACAGGTGTGGTCTCACAAACACTTGAAACATAATTATTTTAGCCCCCTGGATGGATCTGTTTAGACATGTCTGTTACCATAAGATAATACTATCACAAAAAAAAAAAAAAAAAAAAAAAAACTTAACTGGATGTAATAAAACATATTTGGGTTTGATTCACCATTTCCTAAACTTCATGCAGCCAGCTTGTCTTTAAGAGTGAGAGGTGACTGTTTACTGGGGGGAAAACCCCTCACCCCAGGCCTGGTTCCCCAGGATTTGCTTCTGGATCTCCCTTGTGCCGAGTGGGTTTTGAACCAGGAGCGGCTTACCAACCAGCCCGCTTAACTGGCATTTGGGTGTCAGTTGTCTACCACGCTGCACCACCGGATACCATCCACACTTGGGGATGAGCTCTGTGTGCTTTTATCTTGGTACTTTGGCTCCTGGACTTTATAATTGGTCCTGGATAAGGCTCGAACCCATGACCTTAGGGGTCCCAGTCAGTGTTCTTATCCTCAAAGCCACGTGGACACACAGGAGTATGCCGTTTGCTTCCTCTTTCACTTTCCTCTCTAGACACTAGACTTTGGAATTCAACTGGATCTGATTAAAGTTAGTCTGCTTTGATGTGGATTTCTCTCATTTTAAAAAGATGAACATCATGCTGTATCAAACAAGCTTTTGAACCAGCAGTTAAAAAAATTGCACACACGCAAACAAAGACGCCACCTGTAAGACTAAAAGCAGGTTAAAGAACCATTCATATCAACTTCACTTTAAAATTAGGACTTTGCGCTCAGAGCTGGAAACCACAGATTTTAGGACAGGTTAAATGGAAACAGATGATTTTATCAGCATTAGCTTTTAGCTACTTCAGCTTGCTCAATTAGATTTTTTTAGTAGCTTGCTCATACTTTTCTCATTTTTAGTTATACTTATGGGAATTTTGGGCCTCACTGAACAGAACAAATGAAGAGAGGAGGACAATGTGGGATAATGAGGGATGGCATGACACAAAGGGAGTCATCTGGGAGATGACTGTAGCTACTGTTGCAACGAGGACTTGGCCTCAGTATGTGGAGCGCACTCTGAAACCACCAACCCAACAACAGGCACCCCTCTTTCTCCGGTTCTTTGACTTGATGTTGATTTGTGTCAGAGTCAGAACCCATTGGTCCTAAAAACATATCAGATAGTCACATACAGTTATAAAATATGGTTATAAGGAAAGAGGTTTGCTGTTGTTGTATTTCATAGTGGAGCTCATTATTACTTTGTTTGATAAGTTTGATAAGGGAAATGTCACAAACATAACTTGGCAGTTGGGCTCAATGACTTGTTCAAATAATAATAATAATAATAATAATAATTGTAGCCAAAGAATGTTAATGGGTTTGTGCAGTGTGGGTTGTGGTAAATTCAACTTTCCTAAGATAAAAAAGACATATCACAGCACTTAAATGCCGTTAATTAAAGTGTTTAAACACAAACAAGAGTTTCATCTGAAAGATGGAAAAAAACACAGTCTTGCATTAAAGCTTGGCAGTAGTTTCTGGAATGCTATTTATTTGTATAAACCACTAAGCTATGGAGCTTCTTGTGCTTTTACATTTTCAACAAACTGGGGGGTATTTTTGACTTTTTTAACTTAGCTTTGAAACAGATCAAAATATGAATCTGTTGGAGTTTCAATGGGAAATGCCCATGGGAGAACTTTGTGTGATCTCTCTTGTTTTGGACTATAACCGCAAGAACTTACATGAATTTATACGACTTCTGTACTAAGAGTACAAAAACAGTGTTTTTTGTCAGTATTGCACTTTGTACTTGATCCTGCACACTGCATGCTAAGTCATGGCTCTCTGTACAGAGAGGCTTTCTATCACAAGTCAAAGAGATGGACTTTTTGGCCTTGAAATATCTCAAAACAGGAATAATATTTAAACCTGTCATGTTTATTTTATATTTCGTGGGATAAAATATTGGACCACAATTGGGGTGAATTCATTCGGTAAGATTTGATTTTTGTGTGGTGTAAACATCATCCATTCAACTGGCTGTCGTGCAATTGACGGAAGATCTTGTACATATCTTTTTATTTCATTTTTACTCAGCTTCTGGTGCTATAGAAAATATGGCAAAACGTATGGTAAAAGGAACAGTAAAAGTTACTATTTTAAACATATTGCTCCTTCCCTTTACACATGTACAGTATGTTCTGCTGCAGACAGAAGAGACCCCTGATAGTCACATGACCTGTGCAGAGAAAACAGGGCAAAGAGGGTCATATGCATAACCAGTTAGCCCACAGATAATGAAATGTTGGCAAACAGGTAATAAGTTTTAGCTTCGATAACAAGGATAGCTTAACATTTGTAGTGTTTGACATTTTGGGGTAGCTGTGGCTCAGTGGAAGAGTGGGGCATCTCTACATTGAATTGCTGGTTATTAGATCCCAGCTTCTGCTATAATGAGGCAAACTTTCCTCGGACGAGACAGTGAACATGGTCAGCAATGTGTAAGTGCATGTGAATATGATTAATTAATAATAATTACTCAATTACTTACTTTATCAGCTTCTGTGTATGAACTATAGACTGTATATACTATGTACAACTTGGTTCCTCCTTCCGCTAGTATACGGATTACATTTATATACACTTATCTACATTTTCTGGTCAGACTCTCTAATGTGTTACTCACAATGACTATTTGGAGTGGAAATTATTTTCAAAAGGCTCCATCTGCAGCATTCTGTTAATGGCCCTGTCTGACACCTACCCCACAGCAGGGGGATCAGGCATGAACAACAAATATGTAAAAAAAAAAATAAAAAATAAAAAAAAATCTGCAGCTGTCCTCCTGATGGTCATGTTTGGATGATAAGGTGATGAATAGACGTCAGTGTTTATTTGTGTCTGCTTTATAACCAGATAAAAACTCCTCATTTGGGCGTAAAATTAATAATCATTTCTAGTCAATTTCCGTTTATCATAATGCTGCTTCATCTTGAAAAAAAGAGATGTTTATTTTCCACACATGTTTGCTTGACAAATAAAAATATTCCAGAAATGCCCCTCAGGATATCAGCATGTCAATAACCACATTTATATGGTTAGGTGTTTTGTGAATTCGAAGATGTTGATTCCTGTTTTCCTGTATGTGGATATTTATACCCTGGTGTGGGTGAATGTTTTCATTTACTCATAATTTTTGTTGTCTTTCCTTGAGTTAGAAGTATTGTTTTTCCGGTGTCATGGTGCAGCTTGCTATTGATTTTTGCTCAAGGTTTTTGTTTTCTCAATAAGGTCTGCTCCCAAAACACTCTTATTGTCTCTTCTTGCATTTCAATGATGCTGTGATAAAGAGAGGTGGTCCAACTTTGTTTAAGTGTCTCCTCCCGGCATGTGAACCATGTTTTTCCTAATCAAGGAGGAGAGGAAATCAATAGTGGTGAAGACGTTGCTGCCTGCTCCTGTTGGAGGGACGCAGTTAAGTTTCACAGCCAGCAGGGAGGAAATGCTTGTTTCCTCTATGGGTCTGCTAAAGCCAACTGCTTCAGACTATACATGAGGTTAAATCATGATCCCTGGCAGTATTTCCCCATGTTTCCTGTGCTCAACTGTTTTGTTTCTGGACTTTCTTATTTAATTATCTCCACAGTATGCATTTTGGGTCATCCATTTTTGTTGAATATGGGCCAAAGGCATGATTACACTCTTTTGCATTGCTGCCATGTTTGTGAGCTTTAAAAGTGTAACATCTGGTGAATGGCATTTCCTTGTCAGCTCCTGTCATTGGTTTTGTGGATATTGAACTACAAGCGGTCCAACCAAGACTTAATACAACAAACATGTTGGATAATTTTTGCTCCTGTTGCCTATTGGTAATGCTGACTCAACCTCCTTTAGCCTCCTAGCAGATAGCTACAGTGTGCCCGCCTGCCTGTCAAGACAACCATGCCTCTAATTCACCCCTCTCGTCACCTCAACGCCTTAAAAACGATCATGTTGAGGTCACAACAATTCAGTGGGTGCTGTTAGAGCCCTGAGTTATTTAGACAAATAAAGTTTTACTGACACCACACACCTGAGGATTATTTGGACAAACAGTGGAGCATAGGAATTTAAAAGGTGTATGTTTACTAAATAATTAAAATGTACTATCTGAGTATCAGTTCGTGTAGATGAGAAATACTTCCTGGCTATGAATTTATCAGTAACACAGTACAATCCGATGGTTAATCCCTGATCCATGTGGACCCCAACAGGACTTTTAACTACTAACTCTGTCTGAAGGTAACTGCACTGCATAAAGGAACATAGTGTACTTTATAAAACACGAGTAAACCTGCAAAAACTAAAACTGTAAAATCATGTTGTTTTTTCACATATAGTAGAGGCTCAACAGTCACTGAATTATATCCAAATTAGCAGGAAATAGACCACAGAAAGGCAAAACAACCTGTTGCGAGCATGTTGTTTCCTCTGTACTGAGTCCAGCTGACCGGGGCTGCACAACACTGCTGCTACGCTCCAAATACGCATCCTGTATGCAATACCCAGGGCTGCTGTATGGAGCAAATACAGATCCTGTATGTTTTCAGCTTTAGATAATAATTTGATCGAGTAACTTTCATTTTTGTCCAAGTAATATTTAACCTGGATTAGATATACCTTGACTCCACCAATAAAGTTGCATGTTTGTCCACCACTGTGCATCCCCTCATGTGTGTTGACTCTTGATCATCACTTCCATCTCTGAAGTCACATGAATTGCACCTGTCTCTCTGTAGTCCTCCTCCAGTGCCTGCCTCGTGTCCCTTCATGTGTGTTACTAACACCCACAAGCAGCTGCAGGCAGTGGCTGCACACATTTCTGTGTAGGAGGTTTTTTTTTTTCTGCTCATATATGAGAAAAGACATTGACACAGACATGAACATGGGAGCACAGAAACACAAGCACACACACACACACACACTCCTCCTACGGAGATGCTGTAAGACTGAAGCTTCCTTCAATCGGATGTAGAGCCTCTCGTCTCTTATCCATCCAGCCCTCGGGTTGTCTCTCTGTGCTTGAGTGAGTGGCACTCACAGCAGGACGAAATCTAAAGACAGCTTCCAACAACATATCGACTATACATACAAACAGCCACAGGACCATGTACTGTAAGAGCGTGGCCATTTCCTTCCATACAAAGACGCGTGTGTTTTAAATTACACACATATTGTATGGCTGAAAATATTTTGATTAGCAACACCTTTATAACAATTCTGCATCATACCCTAACTGCAGACACCATCCTCTCATCTGACATGTACTTCTGCTGAAGATTAAGTCATCTCCAAAACATGCGAGAGGACTTGTGGAGCTTCCAGGAAAAACTTGGACGAGCTTTACTGTGAAAGTCTGTGATTACGTCTATGGGCCAAACCTGCCAGTTACAGACTACAAATATAATATTAATAAATGTAGCTAAATTAAATCATTACCGTACTGACGCAGGATTCTGACATTTATATCTCTCAATTAATGCAGCAGTGGTTTCTACCTGAAATTCTACAAAAAATCACAGAATAAGATTTGAAAAAAAATAATTTAAGGACAGATACTAGTGGGCTTTCTTACCCAAGGACAAATATCTAACAGATATATTGTTCTTTCAACATTTGTTCCTGAGATATCATGCTTACATATAGCACAGAAATTATAGCAAGTAGCATCTTTTGACCAAAAATAAATCAATCTTGCTGACTTCTTGACAGTTAAATGTATCCATCATGAATATTTTATGAGGCGGTTGTATAAACAGAAGTGTTTCCTCATTGCACTAGATTTTGGCATTAAAATTTATGATATAAAAATGGTCAATCTTATTCCTGATTGTCTTGTTTGCTTTTGGAAAACATTTAAAGGCATTAAAATGAATTTCAGAACTCCTCACACGAGCTGCAAAAGGGCTGTATGTGTAAGTATTATAACCAAATCATAATTAACCCTAAGCACTAAAACGTTTTTGCCAAACTTGAAGAAGGATATTGAGTTTAAAGAACAGGCCTGGCTGTGAGAAGGTCCAGTGGTTCAATAGGTGAACCAGTGAGACAGCCTGAAACAGGATAAACTGCCTCTGGCTCTGACTGTGGCTGCTGCTGTCTTCGACATAACTAAGTGTGTCTGTGTTTTATATCTTTCATTATCTCTGAACCAATTCTTCATCTGTAATCTGGTCACTATATATTCCTCTAGGAGTGATGTACAACTTTAACAGAGCTTCCAGAGTAGTCAGTAGTTGGGGATGAATGACTCTTAGCCAAGACTTCCTTTTTCATGCAGTTCAATTGTTAACAGCCTGACTCACAACTAAAGGAGCTAGACTGGAGCTGGAGTTGGGACTTGACCTCAAAGAGCCAATAGTTAGCTCTACTTGCATGCATGTGTCTGTCTCTAAAGCTAAGTCTTTGATGGCCACTGCACAGTTTTGGGATTGCATGATTGCATTATCTTCCTGGGAGATTTTTATATCCACATTGACAATACTGACTTTAAATTTGGAGTTGGTATGTCGATGATGTCACATCCAAACTTTACTGGCAGCATCAGCCCTAGTCTGCGTACATTCACCATGACTGAGCACTTTATCATAAGTGTGCAGGAGCACCCTACTTTATGGGACAAGTCCTGTAAAATATTCCACGACACTCTCCTTAAAGAAAATATATGACAGGAAATAGAAGAAGACCTCAATTTACCTGGTGAATATATTGATGTTATATCAATCCTTAAACACAGATGTGTAACGTAGTTAGCATAATATGAAGCTAAGCTAGCTAACTAACCAGCTCGGGGCAACTTTTTCAAAGTCCAGTAAACATTGTACATGAAGAAAAGAAAAAGCGCCAAACTTTATTCGATTAGATTTTATTCGCATAATCGCGTTGCACCCGGTCAAACATTTGCCCTTTCAAGTTGCTTATTTGCGTCGCTTCACCTATTGTCTGGTGTGTAAAGACCTTTACTGTTGGGTCCTTAGTGGGATTTTTTTTTAAATCTATCCCATTATAACTTCAAGGTGTGTCAGCATCTTTAAACTGTAGTGAAACTCTGATGTATTGTCATTGCTGTATTGTGAATGCATACAGAAGTAATAAAACAGTAGCCTGCTGTACGGA